TTCTTTTTGATCATTCAGCCCGGCTGGTATTTTAGCATCACCGCAGTGTAAAACAAAGTTCGCCAAAACCCTAAGAAATCCCTTTTCGAGCATTCCCCGCTTAGACAATGGCCAACTTGGTGGCGGCAATGTCAAGAGCATCGACATCGGGGGTAAGACGGGCGAAGGCCTTCTTGGTTCCATCAGGGCTGAGAATCATGTTAGCTTTCAATCCATCTATATGCTCAGGAAAAAAAAAGTGAAAACATACCGGATAAGAGTGTTGATCTTGACGGTGTCAACATCGTACAGCTTCTTAAGAGCCTGCTTGATCTGGCGCTTGTTGGACTTGACGTTGACGATGAAGACGAGGGTGTTGTTCTCCTCGATCTTCTTCATGGCGCTCTCGGTGTTCAGGGGGTACAGAACAATCTTGTTGAAGTCCAGAGCGGGGCCGTGGTTGACGGACACGCGGGGGTACTTGGGGGACCGCGACAGCTGGAGAGTCTTGGGGCGGTGGAAGGTGGCCGAGGTGCGGACCTTGCGGGACTTGTGAAGCTGTTGCCACAACCGCGTTAGCGATAGGCTCCAAAAGGTTTTCTTTGGTCTGCTTCATCTTTTGCTACGTACCGAAGCACCCTTGGCAACCGCCTTAGCGGCGGCGTTGGCCTTGTTCTTGCCTGTAGAGAATATTTCGTTAGCCTGGTGAACCAAAAAGAAAACTCAAAAAAAAGTTCGATCGTCGATTGCCATTTGTGAATTTGCTGATGTAGATGTGGTAGGTCGAAGATTCAGAAGCGGAGGCGCAGATTTGAAATCGGTAGGCATATGGTGATGCAGAGGTGTTCTGCGATATATCCTGGTGTTTCCGACTCGTTGCGAGGCGATCTCCAAATATCGAAATTTTTGAATCCGAATATCTTCCTCCACTTCCACACGGCGAATTCACAATTGGCAAGGCGGCGATCGCAATATGAAGAGCGCAATAATCATTTAAACATACCGGTCTTGTTGTCGGAGGGGGCCATGGCTGTCGTCGGTCGCTGTCGATGATGGATTATCGCAGTGTCAAAAGTCGAACGGATTTGGAGTGTCTTCGCTTAGCGAAAACCCTAGTGTGCTGTGTGGGTCAGGTGACTTTCAATCCGCCGGGTCTGGGTATCTTTGGTAATTTTGGTACAAATTAGTACGGTATGGTTATTTTTTTCATCCAATCAGAATTAATATCGTATTTGACTCTTCATATTTTTGAACAGCTTTTCTTGTGCTTTGCCAGTGACCTCCTCTACTTTTTGTATATTCGGCCCTCAAAGAGATCCAAAGAAGTAATATATTCTCGATACTTATCTGAATCTATCATTCTAATCTTTTGATCTGTCGAAATCCTTAAGACATGGCTCCTCAAAAACGATCCAAGAGGCCGATGTTGTTGTCGCATAGTCGGCCTCCAATTGTCAAATCCAAGGACGCTGCTCTTTCAGCCAAGGCCACTCGCACTCTGATTCGAACTCATCATCGACTTCTCAAAGTTCGCGCTCAAGCTCTGGCCGCCGGAGACGAAGCCCGAGTCAGCAGTATTGACGCTCAAATCAAAGCCAATGGCGGTCTCGAAAGCTATCAGGTCGCCAGTAAGCTAGGCCAGTCGATGGACCGTGGTGGTGATTCTAGCAAAGTCCTGATCGATTGGATCAAGCCGCAACTGAAGCAATGGAACAACACCATTCCAAAGCTCCGGGTCCTTGAAGTTGGAGCTTTGAGCACCAAGAACGCAATTTCTACGAATCCGGCCCTAGACGTGACCCGGATTGACCTGAATTCCCAAGAACCGGGGATCCTCAAGCAAGATTTCATGGAACGACCTTTGCCCTCCAGTGATGATGAACGTTTCAACATGATCAGTTTGTCATTGGTACTCAACTATGTTCCTGATGCTACAGGACGGGGTGAAATGCTCAAGCGCTGTGTCAAATTCTTGATGTCAAAATGCCCCATTGAACTCGCTCCCAGTCTCTTTCTGGTATTGCCTATTGCATGCGTGGACAATTCGCGCTACCTCAATGAGGGAAGACTAGGGGAAATCATGACTTGCCTGGGCTTCTGTCTAACCCAAAGCAAGCGGACTTCAAAGCTGGTATTCCATCTCTGGGAACACACTGGTACCTACGCGCCCAAGACTTTTAAGAAAGAAGAGTTGAGGTCCGGCAAAACAAGAAACAATTTCGCCGTTATTCTCAGCAAGAAGTGATTATCTGCATGCAAAAGAAAATGATATTATACTCCATGTACAATGCTCCAAGTGGAAACTAGTCTGCAGAGAGCATGTCTTGTGGCAAGAAGGCCCAGACAGTCCCCACGGCTGCCAATATCGAGGAGACGATGATCAGAATCCAATCGAGGATGTACTCACCTCGACTGATCTCCTTTCCAAAGATCTTGAGATAAAATGCAAGAGGGAAGATGATACAGATCGTGAAGCACAAGAACGATCCCAAGAAAGCCATGATACGGTCGAAATCCGGGAAGATGACCGCCAAAACAACAATCATAGCCACTACAAAAACGCGGATCATTGCCCGTAACATTTTTTGTAGTGTTTCCGAGCCGTTTTGAGTAGGCACGTGGCCTCCAAGTCCACAAAGCACTTCAAATGTGGCCACAAGAGGTCGGGCACTATGTTCTTTGTCAGCAGTGTCCCAGGATAAATCCAAGGCATTGGACTCACTTCAATGGTACTTTCGTGAGCGGAATGATGGAAACGAAGACGACAATACAGACGGATATGGACTGTGGGTAACTGGTGATGGTGAGAACGTTCGCAGTGATTTCGTCGCGGACAATGTCGCCAAACATGAGCCAACCAATGATCGCCATTGAGCAGTCCAAAGTAAACTGTCAACTCGTTAGAATCGAACTTTATCCTAGTCACTGAATTTTCGTTCTTACTGTAAAAATATAGGTCACCGAAAGACTCTTCCCGTATTTCTGGGGGTGCCTCATATCTCTATAGATGTTAGGGAAGACACCGTGGCCACCCCATGGTGCTTTCCAAGTTAGCCTTGTTATCACAACTGCCTCTGGATATTTACTCACACATAATCAGACCAAAACTCAAAGGGAGGGTAGCCCAATTCTCGGGGAAGAGGAATGTATTAGCTGGCTGCCGCAAGGAGCCTGGTGCATCTGGCTTGATAAGGCCATCGATGCAAATGAGTACCACGACTGTCGAGCGTCAGTTCCATCTATCAGCCCCAACTTGGAATAAGACTCACTTGATGTGCACGAAATTATACCCAATATGCTGGTAATACTCAGGAATCGTAGCGGTAGGAAGTTGAGCGGTACAAGCACAACCCCACAGACGATCTTCCATTGTAGGATGCTCAACCCTGGCACCAGGGCATATAAACTGTCTGCAAAAAGCACAACCAGTGCTACGCATGCTCCCAAAAGTTCCAAGCAGAAGAGGAAACTGGTTATCAAACGAGCATGTTGCCCGAAACTGATATAAGCCAGATCAGCATACGTGACAACGCTCTGATCGACATCCAGACATTTGGCCAAAATCTTAGCTGTATAGGAAGTGGTGACTGCCGAAAAGACAAGGAAACTCAATCCCAAAACCCATCCGGCATGCTTCATCGCCAATGGAAGACTCAACAGGCCGATGCCAATTAACACATTGACCGAATTGAAGATAGTCTGCGGAACAGTGGATTGTCCAACGATGATATCCACCTGGGTTCCATCTTCATTCTGAACATGCTTGACGAGCAATGGGCCCCGATCCAAATCCCCAGACCCATCCACATGCACCTGGGGATGGAGCTCTCGGTGGAATTGAATCGCATTCCTCCGCGTCGACTCGCTCATCCGTGAGGAGATGGTGCCATACGAAGCCGCAAACGTTCTATCGAACGACGAAGCAAGCAGCCCAGCACTAGGTAATGCCCCCCTAGAAGGCTCAGGCGCTCGTGAGTCCCCGTCATCCTGGTCCGAGTCCGAGTCCCCCCGAAGCAGAGGCCGGTCTACATCTGAGTACCGACCCCAAGATGGAGAGCTTCTTGGTCCATATTCTTGGCCAGTGGCAATATCATATTCATCGTCTGAGTGCGTAGATACAAACGACGACCGCCGTGGGATGACTTCTGGGAAGGCCGCGGCTCTCTGCCAAGACCGCGCGAAATTGTCTATACTGTTTGGGCCCCCCGCTTGGCGGACTCGAATCGAGTACGACGATGACCTACGCAGATTAGTCCAATGGTCTGACTAGTGTCGACAAACAAAGCAACGTACCGGTGTCTACCGCCAAATTCTGACTCGGTGATCGGACTCCCACGATCTGAATGGCCATAATCGTAGGAGCTTGGTGTCGCATCCGGTATCCCGGACGAGCCATAGACAGGTTCACTGTCGTGATTTCCATCCGTTCTTTCAGTCCTTGACATATTTTCTTTCCCCGTTATCAGCACGATAGTATGGGCAGGTACTTTAAAGATAAGGTTTCCAAGTTTGGGAGTTTGAGGTGGGAAGAGACGTCCAGACTAAAAAGGAAAAACTCCCCTCACTTATCACATGGAGATAGCTTCCCAGTGATAAGAGTCTTGGAGGCAAAGAACTTGGAACCTTACGATATTAAAAAGAGCTTAGCGTTGAACGGAGCTTCCGTTAGTGTGGGGTGCGGATCGCAGCAATTTTGATAAGGAGATTTTTTTTTACATGACTAATTGAATGGAGTTGGTGAATATTTGGAATATTACTGATTTGATATATAACATAAACTGTCTCTTTTTAGATCTCCTTTTAGATCTCTTTGTATTACTTATTTTTCCCCCTTGATTTGAGTGACGGCAGAAAAGGCAAAAAAAAAAAAGCATAAAGTATGACGGCTTGTTTATATATAAACTTTGATATAGGGACTATATATACTATCATTCCTAGGCGTCCCTGTTTAGCACGAATTAGCATCGTGTTTTCCTTTTTAGGAAAGCCCTGCAGTACGGAGTACATAGAAATATATATACTTAGTTAACTATTAGGCATGTTTTATGTATACATAATTTTTTTAGTCAAACATAAAATCATTAATACAATATCGACTTGACAATTTACAAAATAGTAAAGACATCTGTTAGTCTATACCCTTTGCTTCTAAAGATGGAAACATACCCGATTGCGGGAAATACATGAACAAGAGCTGTCTCACAATACTCCCGATCAAGTTGTTCCTAGTCCCGGATTGTCAGTGCTGGAGGTGTTTAACGCGGAGGTCCACTTGACCTACTATTCTTGCCAAACTCTGGATTATTCATCATGTCAGGAGGGCATTCACAACAGATCCGGCCGATAATATCTCCAGCAAAGACAGAGAACATATGGCCGAGCCGGACGACATTGCCGGATCCCCTAAGCTCGGGTACACGAGCGTCAAGGAGTTTGGCTTCCTCGATGATCATAGGTTCCATCTCACCGATACCTATGCGAGAGAAGAAAAGCTCAAGTGGCTTGCTGCGACGACATTGCAGTTTGTGGTTCTCCGTCATGGTGTGAGCACCCGACATGAATAAGAAGTCTTGCTCGTTTAACAACAATCTAAATAAGATTCAGGGGAGTAACATACCGTCAAAGCCAATATCGGTCCTGTAGCGGGGCCAGATGGCCGCACGGCGGGTGTTGCCAGCCATCGTTGTAGAATTCCGGCTCACTGATGACTATCTTGTGTGGGTTGATACAGATAATTGGCCCTAGTAAGATGAATGATTGCGAATCAGTTTGGGCCCTGTTACCGCTATGCGTGGAAATACCAGTGGGAGATATAGTAGGATATAGCCCCGAAGAAGGCATAGAACTTTAGCGTATTTCTGGTGCATCTCCTCAGTTTTGTACACATAATTCCCCCGCTTAACCACATTGTCGTAGAACTCATATCAGCGACTGATAGCGGCAATTTTGGGTCTAGGAAATCTGGCCAACGGGTGAAAGTAAAGACGATAGACGGCCAGCGAAGCAATATAGAGGATCAAGCTTCCCGAAATGGAACCATAGATTCCATATTGTTTCAGCAAAGGGTATTCCCCCACGAGCAAGACACTCTGCTTGTATAAAGCCTTCGTCTTTGCCCATCCCACGCTAACGGAGCGCATAGTTACCAACCAGCAGATTCCTGTTGGAATCCCTTTGATAACCCCTGCTCGAACCCTTGCAGACCAAAATACTGAGCGATAGGCAAACTTCTGCATGACGCCGGACATAGAAAATAAGACTACCTCTGCATCCTGCGGCCTTACATCCCCAACCCCTGCATATTCACTTTGTCCGTCAACATCGAAGTCTTTCCTCTTGACGACAATAGGTATATATCTGAAATTCTGAATCTTTCAATGTTCACATCTTTGCTACTTAGAATTTCTCTTCGCTTAGTAACCTAATACATATCAACAGTCTCTTTACCTCATAAAAAGATAGCGGTAGCATGGTTGTCAATATCTGATTTACACACAGCGGCGCCTATAGGCCCAGCCGAAGCTGAAGCTGACGGACGGCCCGCGAACTGGTCGCTTGGTGAACATCCCTCAAAGCTCTCCCAAGCCGGTTCTGGCTCTGGCTCCTTCTCCCTGGGAGATGAAGAGAAACAGATGGCTGCTTGAGTCGGGGCAGCTACTACGGATCCTGCAATGCCGTTGGACTCGAATATTGTCGACTGGGACGGTCCCGATGATCACGGAAATCCAGTCAACTTCAGTGGTCTGATCAAACGCACTAATGTCGGCATCGTGAGTGCGCTAACTTTAATTACTCCGCTCGCATCATCTATGTTTGCGCCTGGTGTCCCTTAGCTCATGGAGGGATTTAACACTACAAATACGCTGTTGGGCTCGTTCGTGGTGACGGTCTATGTGTTGGGTTTTGCCGTTGGACCACTCATTCTGGCGCCGGCCTGGGAGCTCATCGGGCGAGTCGTTATCTACCATATTTGCAGTCTCGGCTTCACGGTGTTTAGCATTGCATGCGCTGTGAGCACCAACATGGGGATGCTCATCGTCTTTCGGCTTTTCCAGGGCTGCTTTGGCTCGGCCCCCGTGACAAATGGTGAGCGGTTTCTTTGATCTGTTCAATACCCCGTAACTAGATCTGATATGCTGATACTCCACGCTCCCCTGTTGTAGGCGGGGGTACGATTGTGGATCTCATCGTACAGGGAAAATGGGGAGGCGTCCTCGCCATCTACGCCCTCGGACCCTTCCTGGGCCCCGTCATCGGGCCAGTAGCAGGAGGGTACCTGACCGCAGCCAAGGGCTGGTGTTGGGTCTTCTGGGCTCTCGTCATTATGGGCGGATTCTATACCATCATGTGCTTTCTCTTCTGCGAGAAACCTATCCCACCGTCCTCCTGAAGCGCAAAACACAACGCCTCATCAACGAAACCGGCAACACGAACCTCCGCTCCAAACGAGACAACGGCCTCTCCACCGGTCAGCTCTTCCTTCAAGCCATTACCCGCCTATTTAAAATTCTATTCTTGTCGCCGATCGTCTTTGTGAGCTCGATTTACGTGGGTATAGTCTACGGGCACCAGTATCTCATGTTTTCGACCTTCACTGAAGTCTTTGAGAGCCAATACCAATGGCCAACTAAATCCTCCGGTCTAAGTTTCCTCGGAATCGGCGTTGGTGCGCTCCTCGGACTGTTCGTCATTGGCGCTGTATCGAATCGTATTATCAAGGCCAAATCCAAGCCCATCCCAGAGACCCCTTCAGGTGGCATGAAGCCGGAATACCGTCTGCCACCATTGGTCGTGGGTGCGTTCTACATCCCGGCCGGTCTGTTCATGTATGGTTGGTCTACATATTACAAAACGCATTGGATCGTGCCGCTCATTGGCGTTGCTATCATGGGAATAGGCAATATTGCCGTTTTTATGTGTATTATGAGTTACCTGGTCGATGCGTTCACGATCTACGCTGCTAGTGTGTTGGCTGCCAACACGGTCGTGCGTAGTATTATGGGTGCATTGTTGCCATTGGCGGGACCGGCCATGTATGAATCGATGGGACTGGGATGGGGGAATAATTTGCTGGGATTTATTGCTGTGGCGTGTATTCCTGTGCCGTGGGTGATGTTGCGGTATGGAGAGAGAATGCGATTGGCATTTGATGCAAGTAAACTATAGACAGTAAACGATACTTGACTGCAATTTTGCTATTGAATTAGGAAATAAATGGAGCAGAAAAATTATGAGTAATTTAATTCGAGTCGATTGAACTTCAAGGGATTCGCTTTGGGTGAGCAGAATTTTGGTCCTGCGCGTTTGGACATAAAACGAACTCACTTGACCGATGCAACAGTGTGGAGCTTTTTTTGGAAGGCTCTCAAAGCAACCTGCCATATGATATTTTCAATTACATGACTTCTTCAGACAACACGCCTCTATGGACCCAAATGGGAATAAAGAAGAGAATTTGGCTTCCTTCCTCACTGATCACCATCTCAATATTTACTTCGTGTACAAAATCCTGAATTGGTATGAGTATAACTCCTCTATTAGCATAATTCCAACGTTGCCATGCAGTATATAGTAACAGAAGGACACATCCATGTATAAAAAAAAGAAAAAAACGAGCCCATGTACCGGTACCTGACCACCTGGCTCTTGGGATATAACCCGGTAAGTACCAGATACGTCACGGGTAGCCCTGGCTTACCTCAGCGTGCCAGCCGACCCCTCGAACAAACTTGGTGTATGTCCAACCCCACGAGGAAATTTGCTGTCGCTTTAGAACGTCATATTCAGTTAAGGTATGTGCTCTTCGTTCCTGGATGAGGATTTATGGAAAAAAATACCATTTATCTTTTTTGCACTTTTTTTTTTGCACCTACTAACTGATCTTAGGTGTAAAACAGGCAAGCCTAAATCTTTGTTCGCCGACTTCCGCCCCATTACTGACCGAATCTTCAGGCGTCCGCAGGGCCTCCAATACTCTTCCTCCCTGATCAACTGTCGCCTCGCCAAGATGAGCGCCCCTCCGCCGAACGAAGCTGAGAAGAACATCGAGATCTGGAAGGTCAAGAAGCTGATCAAGCGTCTTGAATCCGCTCGTGGAAATGGAACTTCCATGATTTCGCTCATTATCCGTGCGCTGTCACTGCCCCCGCCACTTACAATCGCCGCTAACACGCCAATTTAGCCCCCAAGGATCAGATTAGCAGAGCGGCCAAGATGTTGGCTGAAGAGTATGTACGTGAACAATATTCCTTTGGTCTGTCTACGCCGAACACCGTCTAATCGCACATTAGGGTACCGCCTCCAACATTAAGTCACGAGTGAACCGACTCTCTGTGCTGTCGGCCATTACCTCTACCCAGCAGCGTCTGAAGCTCTACAATAAGGTCCCTCCCAATGGACTGGTCGTTTACTGTGGTGAAATTATCACCTCGGAAGGAAAGGAGCGCAAGATTAACATCGACTTCGAACCGTTCAAGCCTATCAACACTTCCTTGTATCTTTGTGACAACAAGTTCCACACTGAAGCATTGAGTGAACTGCTGGAGGCTGATCAGAAGTTCGGTTTCATTGTCATGGATGGTAACGGTACTCTGTTCGGTACTCTCAGTGGTAACACTCGTGAGATCCTTCAGCGTCTTACCGTTGATCTGCCCAAAAAGCACGTGAGTGCCCCCGACTGTTTGAGTACAATGTTACGATTTTCGTCCATACTGATCTAGACAGGGCCGTGGTGGTCAATCCGCTCTGCGTTTCTCACGTCTCCGTGAGGAAAAGCGTCACAACTACGTGCGCAAGATTGCTGAATTGGCTGTTCAGAATTACATTACCAACGACAAGCCCAACGTTGCCGGTATCGTGCTGGCTGGTTCTGCCGATTTCAAGAACGATCTCAACCAGTCCGATCTGTTCGATGGTCGTTTGCAGTCCAAGGTTATCAAGGTTGTCGATGTTTCATACGGTGGCGAGAACGGTTTCAACCAGGCTATTGAATTGGCTGGCGAGACCCTGAGCAACGTCAAGTTCGTTCAGGAGAAGAAGCTTATTGGCCAATACTTCCAGGAGATCAGCCAAGACACCGGCAAGGTCTGCTACGGTATTGAAGACACCCTCAAGGCAATGGAGCTTGGTGCAGCTGAAATCTTGATCGTCCACGAAAACTTGGAAATCACTCGCTGGGTTATGAAGACCGCAGAAGGTGCCCAAGTTATCATCCACACCAACAAGACCCAGGAAGCCAACAAGGACCTCTTCCAGGACAAGGAAACCGGATTGGATATGGAGGTTATTGAATCAGGCTCTTTCCTTGAATGGCTTGCCGAGGCCTACAAGGACTTCGGTGCCAACCTGGAGTTCGTGTCTGATCGATCCGGCGAAGGAAACCAGTTCGTCAAGGGATTCGGTGGTATCGGTGCCATTCTCCGATACAAGGTCAACTTTGAACAGCTTGCCGATCACAGCGATGATGACGAGTTCTACGACGGTATGTTTTATTCCCGGTTTACATGTTTTTATTGATACTAACTTCTCTGCAGATTGACGGTATTGCCCCCTCGCAGAGAGCGAGGATGAACGGCCAGAAGCTCCCGCGGCGAGTCTTTTGACGGCTCGCCCTGTGGATCATGCAGGCGGCTCCCGCGATGGAAGCAAGGCATCCGTGAAGGATAACCAAAAAAGGCCTGTTCCAAGCTCCGCGAAGCTGCTCAGAGGTGAGATATCCAAATAGACCGTCACTTGAGGGTTCAGCTCTAATGTTTTGAGTATAGTGTCGTCCAAGCTCCAAGATACGCACACTGAGGTCACCTCAGTGTCTGAGATGAAGATGAGGTTTAAATTGCAATTTGAAAGGTTGGGTGCGGTTAGCTGCAACATTTGGTCATCCACCGCTGCTTGCACTGCTTACTCTATGTGAGCTGGACGGCGTTGGATTGTTTTATTGCTCAGTCAGTTCTGTCATTGAATCTCCAAATGGCATTTTCTGGTACCTCGCTCGTTATTTGCTCGTTATTCTCAAAAAAAAGCACCCGAAAGGGTTGGTATAGAAGGTGCTATTTCTTGTTCATTAAGTTTTCTGTTTTAGCTTGCGATGTACATTTTGTCCATATCATCGACAGTACGTACATTTTTTCTTTCATTTATTCGTATAGTAAACCGAGACATTTTCAACATATATGACATGACGCTTTTAATGCGCTTGCAAAATCATCAACACATTGCTCTCAATTAAAAGACCAAGATGAGTCTCCAATTAGAACCAGTCTGTCAAGTCAAGCGTTGCTTACACTTAGCTGATCCTTCCAGGTCCCCAAATCCTTACATATCTCAGTGACTTGACGCAAATCATTGAGAGCCTTGTGAACTGCCTCTTTGTTCTTATCCGAGGGTGTTCTTCCACACTCCACGATAAAGATATACTGCCACGGCTTCTTCAGACTCGGCCGTGTGTTAATACTCGTAAGAGTCAAGCCATGAGCCTTGAATATCAACAGCGCATCCGCCAGTGCACCGGGAGAAGAGTGATCAACTGTGAAAGCAATCAATGTCTTGTGCGTGATTTCAATGGCAGGCTCGCTTTCCGATGTAGGTGGGTTCGGCTGCTCGAGTTTGAAATGGGCAGTGCGCTCGTCGAGCACATTTCTGAAGATCAGGAAACGAGTCGTATTGTCTGCTCGGTCCTCGATGTTTTCCACGAGTATGTCCGTCCCGTGTTGTTCTGCCGCAAAGCGATTCGCAATGGCAGCACCTCGTTCCGTTGTCTCTTTGGAGACAATCTCGGCCGCTTTGGATGTGGACGTGACATCCTGTCTCTCGACACCCTTGAAATATTTGGTCAAGAAAGTTTCACACTGGCCCCATGCTTGTGAGTGTGTGTATAGCTTGGTTATCGAGCCGTCGTATTCTGCCCAACCACCGGGGAATGTGCCCTTGCGCACCATTAGGCAGTGATGCACTGTCAGGTAATATTCCCCGCAGACTTTCACGTCTTTATATGAACCATCCCGGTCTGCTAAGAGGTCTAATGTCTGCACCACAGAGCCATTGGTCGAATTCTCGCACGGAATCACAGCGTAGTCGACTTCTTTCTTTTGGAGTGCGGCGAAGGCATCTGGGAATGAGACTTGAGGTTGTAGATCGGCAGAAAGCTTGGAAAAGGACTCTGCAGCAGCCTAAGACAGGGATAAATCACTAAGCTCGATCGCATTTGCGACGATGTGGGGTAAACAAAGTACGTACCTGATGCGAAAACGACCCCAGTGGCCCTAGGAAGGCCACTCTCAAGCGAGTCATTGTAATTGAAGTATGAAAAGTGGTATTTTCCGTGTCAATTGTGCTGAATCGACTTGAATTACCTCAAATATTCTACTAGCTTGTGTTATTTCACTGACAGGCGACATCGGATGTCCGAGCGGTGTGGGCTAAATCGTGCAGTCCGAGATAGGAAGTGAACAATAGACAAACAAATCAAACTCGGGACCAGTCTATCCATGGATTGCGTCAAGTGAACTTATGAGTTGATAATTGTCCAATACGGCCAGTGTCTTTGCCCATGAAGACAAATCCACTCCGACCCCTGATCTCGTTGCGATGCGGGCATCATACATGTCGCACATACTCCTCGCTCCGCGAGCGCTTGCATCATGAACTGACTACAAGGAAGCTTCCGTTGACTTACGACTATCTACACCCCCAACCTTCGCATCTCCTGAACCTCACACTCCGTGATCTTCTTCCACAGTCCCAGAACAACTCCGACTATGCTACTCTGCCGTCATTACAGAACCCGTCCCCGCTCCCGGTCGGTCACCACTTGATCTACTTCCCGCCACAGGTGACCTTGTCTCAACTACTCCCAGACTGCACAGATACGTTACACACACCGGGCGAACCATTTAATCGGCGCCTGTGGGCAGGCGGAAATTTAAGATTCCCCGTGCGCAGTCCGCCTCTGGATGGCAGTCGCGCAGTCTGTATAGAATCCATCCGCAACGTGACAGTCAAGGGCCGCGAGGGGGACGAGAAAGTGATTGTGACTATCGAGCGACGCATTGGCAATGTTCCTGAACAAGAAACGGCCGACCAGACCTGGGACCGGATATGGAAAGAGAACGAAGCTGACGCGGGAGAATCGTCGGTCATTGAAAACCGGGACCTCATTTTCATGCGCCTGAAAACCAGTGCCCAAATAGAGGCCGATAAAGCGCAATTTGGAAAGCCCAGCAGGACTGTGAAACGTGAGCATATACCTGCAACCATTGAACATAATGACAAATTTGCTAATTATTCTGGCGCAATGAAGCCCCCTCCGACGCGACGTTCCGCCATGCCCTCGTGCCTACTAAAGCGCTGTTGTTCCGATTCTCGGCGCTGACTTTCAATGCGCATTCCATCCACCTTGACAAGGGCTATACTCAGAACGAGGAGGGATACCCGAATCTTTTGGTGCATGGTCCGTTGACGCTCACGCTTCTGCTAAGTGTGCTTCAGCAACAGCTGAGTAGATTGAATCTCCGCATCAGTGACATTGAATATAAGAACCTAGCTCCCCTTTTCGTTGAAAAGAAGCTGGTGATTTGTGGCAAGCCTAAGAATGATACTGGAGCTTGGGATGTGTGGATTGAAGGTCCAGATGGAGGATTGGCTGTTCGGGGTACTGCACGGACGAGGTCGGAATAATATATACCAAATTATACCCATTCCCTATACATTTTTACATTTACTTGGGAGGGGTTGAATAATATCTCACTGGGAAATTATTCTTAACAAATCATAATAACAATAGAAACCTACTATGTAGCTAGAAGTGTCGAAACAAATAGAACAATCTATGTCCAATCCATCAGCCTAACTAGGTAACTAGTTGGGTGGAGTGGGCCATATAGTACGTAAGCAACGGACCTCGGAGAAATTCCCCCGAAGCGAGCTTTGCACACCTTTTTCTTTCCACCTGTCCTTCTCTGTCTTTCTTCAACCACACAGTAATTTGGCTATTTTGTGAGCGGCTGTAATGATCTAAGTCGCGATCAATTAACCATATAGCATCTTCTTCTTTCTCAAGATGGATGTCTTCTGGACGGCTCCCCCGGTCATTAGGTATGCAGGTCCTATTCGCCGATCCCAAGCTCTCATCACTAACTTGTCATGCAGGACCCTCACAGCCTTGACTCTAGTTCAATCCGCTTTGATGCATAGCGGCTTAGTGAGCTTCTACTGGGCGCCATTCATGCCGAGTTTGATATTCTCATGGCGCCCACAGATCTACCGACTGATCACCCCATTTCTACTAACCGGAAAAAGCTACAGTTTCATTATGGATCTTTATTTCAGTATGATGCCTCGGTATCACATTGGCCTGGCCTGATCAGAGTGCTAATGTACCTATAGTGTACCACTATGGCAGCGCTGCGGAGAGGACCATGGATCCTGGAGAGTTCTTCATTTATCTCCTATTTGTAGCTTTCGGCGTGATGGTAAGTGACTCAGTAGAGTCTGTTCTTTTTTCATTCTTTTTTCTTATGCGTTCGCGTTCATATCCAATCCCTCGCTATAACTGCCCGCCCAGCTTCGAAATCTAGCTGAATTCGGTTCCTGAAGGCGAGGGAGAGCACCCCTGCATCTGTGCAACACCATCATAATTCGCAAAATTCAGGTGTTGTGCAGGTGTGGGCATGGTGGGATTTCTTTCGAGCTCACTGGCGTGATTTCATTTCGCGTCGGTATCGGAGGTGCCCTACATTTCTATATACAACATCTATTTTTTTGCAATACCATCCACATCCTATTTTACTCGCTATCCTGGTAGTCCAACACATCTTTTAACTTTGCTAACTTTCCCAAGCTCACTGCAGGTGGATGTCTGGGAGCGTATTTCTTTCTGTCACGTAAGCTTATCATATTCGATCGAATTCTCAGGCCAACACTGACTTGAAACAGCTTTGATCATGGCTTTCGTCTACACATACTCTCAAACGAACCGAGGAACGAAGACAAGATTCTGGGTCGTCGACATCCCAACGGTATTCCTGCCATATGCAATGCTTCTCCTCACCATGGTGACGAATGGATGGTTCCCCGCACTGGTAGATATCACGGGAATCGTTGCTGCTCATACTTATGACTTCCTCACACGAATCTACCCAACTTTCGGAGGTGGAAGAAATTTCCTCACCGTCCCAAGATTTGTGGAGAGATACTTCACCAACCATGACCCCAACAGCGGATACCGAGGATATGGAACTGCGAGCCGTGCACCAAGGCCAGCTGAGCAACCCTCGTCAGCATCAGCATCGGGATCATCCTGGAGCAGCTGGACCTCTGCTAATTCTTGGAACGGCAGAGGCACTGGCCGAAGACTTGGTTAGATCAAGAGCCATGCATGCTTGACGCACGTTTTCGGAGTGCATGGAGATAAGACTTTGCTTCTGGCAGACGTTTGGACGTTCATTGTAGTGCTTATATGGACTTGTCATAGATAGTGATAATTAACACGGTTTTTGGGCATGTATTTGTCCACAATTACAGATTTTGTGGAATGCCAGTAGTTCGAAATTTTTGAGCGTATTTGACTACAGAGTAGATTAATGAGTATATTTTCTCAAATAATCTATATTAGCCAAACATCTCAAAAATTGGAACTCCTTAGAATCGGAGGCGTAAAAAAGTCGAGAACTCCAAGTCACGTGTGGCCTTCTCCAGGCGCTAAACCGCTTTTGGTACTGGAGCTGCCGCACTCGCAAAATTTCCTTCGACAAATTTTCGGGGTTTTCACCGCGCATCCTTCAACGACAACCAACAAAATGGCAGTCGTCAAGACCTCGGAGATGGACTACGCCATCAAGCCTGAAGCGTCCGTTCCTTCCGTTGATACATCGGATTGGCCGCTTCTGCTTAAGAACTATGAGAAGCGTACGCTTGTCCTTAAAACTCCACGCTTGACCAGCCAACATTGACTTTTTTTTGTAGTGCTCGTTCGGACCGGTCACTTCACCCCTATCCCTGCTGGCTCCTCCCCTTTGAGCCGTGACTTGAAGTCATATATCAGCTCCGGTGTCATCAACCTTGACAAGCCCTCCAACCCTTCCAGTCATGAAGTCGTGGCTTGGATGAAGCGGATCCTTAGGTAAATCAAACTCCATCAGGTTCCCTCAATTGTTTTACAACCTTACTAACCACCTTACCATCCTTAGATCCGAGAAGACTGGTCACAGTGGTACCCTTGATCCCAAGGTCACCGGTTGTTTGATCGTCTGCATTGACCGTGCCACTCGCCTAGTCAAGTCTCAGCAGGGTGCCGGTAAGGAGTATGTCTGCGTGATCCGTCTCCACGACAAGATCCCCGGTGGCGAGGCCCAGTTCGTCCGCGCTCTGGAGACCTTGACCGGTGCGCTCTTCCAGCGTCCCCCTCTCATCTCTGCCGTCAAGCGTCAGCTCCGTATCCGTACCATCCACGAGAGCAAGAACTACGAGTTCGACAATGAGCGCCACCTCGGTGTCTTCTGGGTCAGCTGTGAGGCCGGTACCTACATCCGTACCCTCTGTGTCCACCTGGGTCTTCTCCTCGGTGTCGGTGCCCACATGCAGGAACTTCGCCGTGTTCGCTCTGGAGCCATGGGTGAGGGTAAGGGTATGGTCACTCTGCATGATGTTATGGACGCCCAGTGGGTCTACGACAACAACCGCGACGAGTCCTACCTCCGCAAGGTCATCAGCCCTCTGGAGTCTCTGCTCACCGGTTACAAGCGTATTGTCGTTAAGGACAGCGCTGTCAACGCCGTCTGCTACGGTGCCAAGCTCATGATTCCTGGTCTTCTCCGCTACGGTATGTGAAACTCTTTCCCCCCTGAGTTTTCTTTTTGGCCGTTTACTAATTTTTTTTCAGAGGCCGGTATTGAGTGCCACGAGGAGGTTGTTCTCATGACCACCAAGGGTGAGGCTATTGCCATTGGTATTGCTCAGATGTCCACTGTCGAGCTTACCACCTGCGACCACGGCGTTGTTGCCAAGGTCAAGCGTTGCATCATGGAGCGTGACCTCTACCCCCGCCGCTGGGGATTGGGACCTACTGCCCTTGAGAAGAAGAAGATGAAGACCGCTGGAACTCTCGATGTAAGTTGCTAAATTGCCTTTGCTTTCATACAATGTACTGACTTCGATATCAGAAATTCGGCCGCACCAACGATGCCACTCCCGCTCAGTGGAAGAACGAATACAAGGACTTCAACCTTCCTATCTCCGGTACCTCCGCTGTTGCGCCCACCGAGACTAAGACCGAGCCTGAGGCTCCCAAGGCGGACTCCCCCGAGCCCGTGAAGGAGGAGGTCGAGGACAAGAAGCGCAAGCGCGATGGCGAGACAGCCGAGGAGAAGGCCGAGCGCAAGAAGAAGAAGAAGGAGAAGAAGGAGAAGAAAGAGCGCCGGAAGTCCAAGCAGCAGGATGATAGCGATGACAGCGACTAGATGCACTCCAGGAAGACCGTCAGGTTTCTTTCCTGTACCATATTTTGCTATTTCCGGAGTCTTGGGTCAAAAGGGAAATTTGTTCTATTCCAGAGTTTCATATTGAAGGCTGCCTATCTGTTGAATTTACCATTCGTTTAAATCTGAGTAACGTCGGCAAGTGAGTTATATAGATGTAACACTTGCTTGCTTTGTCCATAATACCTATTGGCTGGAATATATGTATGCACTTGAAACGAATCGACTTTGGCAACTTGACTACGTGATATCCCACTTTATACTGACGTTTGTGCAGTGGCCTTTTTGGCCCTCCTTCTTAGTAGCTTGTTTGATGCTTGCCCCCTTTTTAATCAACCTCTCTAGTAGTCTGAACTAAATAGTCGTGTGATATAACCGCAAATGGAGGCGGTCAATGTATGTCCTCGATGTGGATCTCGTGACCGGCCATTCCCTCCGCATTTCCTTCCCCTCAACTTCATGTCTAGACTGTAATCCTTCCTTCGGACTTGGATCGGAGATCAAAGAGTCTTGAGCATCATCACTATGGCAGCGGAGCTGACATCCACCAAGCTCAACCCAGAGAGTCACATTATCCTGGTAATTATTACTCCGCATATCCATCATGGTAAAGCGGGACCTAATCAAGCTGCTTATATAGGACCAACCACTCCTTCGACTGCCACATGAACTGGCCCGCAGGAATTTTAAAACTGTACAACGGGCCGTCGAGCGAGAGAAAGAATATGTTATCCCCGCACTCAAAGAGACCGCCGCCGCCTCACTCTCCAATACTCAAACACCCGACCAGACCCTCGCCGCACTTGATGCAATGATATCCAGAATGCAAGGTCTCAAAAGGAAAATGGAAAGCTTGCAGGAGGAGGAAAAGAAGATTCACAACCAATCTCGCAAACGCATTCAGCACTTAGAGGCCCTACACAAGATCCCGAGCCTAGCCGATGTTAAGTACGACCAGTGGTCAAGGGTACGGCTGGACCGTTTACTTGTTGATCATATGCTGCGCTCAGGTTACTCAGAAAGTGCAAAGCAACTGGCCCAGGATAGGGGAATAGAGGATCTCGTGGATCTTGGTGTATTCACGCAGTGTCAACGGGTTGTAGAGAGCTTGAGGCGCGGGGAAACCAAAGAGGCATTGCAGTGGTGCGGAGAGAATAAGGCTGCACTGAAGAAGAGCCAGGTTAGTTGGACCTAACTTATGATATTTTGAATTCCGGCTAACTTAATACTTATGAAGCATAATCTGGAGTTTGAACTCCGGTTGCAGCAATATATCGAAATGGTCAGGACACAAGACAAGTCTAAGAAGATTGAGGCTATAATCCATGCTAAGAAATACCTCATACCGAACCATCAATCCCAGAATTCGGAGATCATGCGCGCTGCGGGATTACTGGTTTTCACGCAGGACACAAGAGCCGAGCCTTACAAAGTAAGACAAACATTCAAATTTGATTAGTGGTGTTTTTACTGATACGGTATAGTCTCTCTTTGCGCTCGACCGCTGGAGAACTCTCTCGAACCTTTTCATTCAGACTCACCATGAGTTGCTTTCATTGCCGTCACAACCATTATTACATATTGCACTTTCTGCAGGACTTTCAGCTCTTAAAACACCTCTGTGCCATTCAGCATATACATCGTCCAGCTCAAATTCACAGTCAACGTCAACATCTGTGTGTCCAATCTGCTCAACTGAACTGAATGAGCTTGCACGCAAAATGCCATACGCCCACCACTCCAAGAGTTACGTGGAAAGTGACCCGATAGTTTTACCTAACGGCCGGGTCTACGGAAAGCAAAGGCTGATAGATATTAGCCGGAAGATGGGATCGGTAGATTCAGGCGACGTCAAAGACCCAACTACAGGAGAGGTTTACCATGAGGATGAGATGAAGAAAGTGTACATTATGTGAACTTGGGCAGGCATCTACCAAGGATGGAATGAGTTGCAACTGAATTTATACAGTTATTTTTTAAACATGATACATAGATGCATTTTACCCCTACTCGCTATCACTGGAATCATCATCTCTGCTCCTCTTCTTCCCTCCCTTCTTGGCCGGCTCCTTCTGCTTCACTTCAAAGACATACATCCGAGCCTCCCGATCTTCTCCCCTCCATCCTGCGCGTTCCCCATCCTTCCCTTCAATATGTCCTGCCGTTCTTGCATGCGAATACCCCTCATAAGAAGTCCAAGGAAACTTGAAACTAGTCACAACAACCAGTCCCGCATGCCTCGCCAAATCCTTGATATTCCAAAGCGTATAAGGCTCCCCCTCGAACAGAGTCACAAGAATCTGACCAGGCCCAGTCCTGAACCCTTTCCCGGTAGTATCATCATCTTTCCCCAGTTCTTGGCCCTCTGCTACTTCCTCATCCTCATCGTCATCCTCTTCGCTCTCCTCCCCATCCGCATATACCCACTCATCATCCTCGGCATCCATAAGCGGCGGCGGCTTCGAAACAAGCGGTTTGCACGCCTTGAAGAACGCAACCAACAGCTCCTGATTCGAACGAACCTGTCGGTTCACATCCGTAGAGAGCCCGCCCACGTGAGGGAAATTGAAGCAGATTACATCCCACGGCCCGCCGGGCTGGTACGGTGGTCCTGCTGGCTCGCTCTGCTGGTACCAGGCTGGTCTCTTGCGCTCGCGGCGTACGAAGCCCGTGCGAATTTCCTTGCCGCCGCCCGCTGGAGAGCCTAGTTTGCGGGCATCAACGGAGAAGACGACTTTGGGCGTTTGCTGATTGGGGTTGGGGTTGGGCTTGGCTGAATCTTGATCTTCAGATTTGCTCTCTTCTCCCTTAGTTTCGTTGTCGCTGCTTGTTGGTTCTGGCTTTGCTGATGCGCCCAAAATTTCTGAGACGTTCTGAGGAGCTTGCGGGTACTTTTTGTACAGCTCTTCTTTTGAGTCGTAGCATGTAGCGCATAGTTTGCGGCACTTGTATTGCTTTGCCAGTGAGCGGCCGAATGAGAAGTCACCTAATGCCTGTTAGAATTTATGCCTTCCAGATGTAATAGATAAATCGGCGTTGAAGCATGTTGCATTTTCTTTTATACAGGAATGCATGTTGGTTTCAATGTCCTATATCGAAGTGAAAACACAGCTCTAGGCATGGATGCCACAAGAAAAGATATACATATAACTTGATTGCAACGCAATTCTTGTATAGAGTGAAGGATGCAGAGCAATGATGTCAACTAAAATGTAAGAATAGCTCACCTTCACCAATCAAGAGAATTCGATCCTTCCTCAAAAATGGCACAATAGGTCTCTGATTTGCTTGTAAAGAAACTTTCTTAGGCGCATTTGCATTGCCATTACCCTGCTTTTGCCCATTACCATGCTGCTGTCCCTTGGCAGGGTTGGAAGATGGGCCAGATGGTTTGCCTGGTCCACGGGCGCGTGGTGGAGGGGCGCTTTTGGCTTTCTTATTATTGCGAGGCATGACTGGAAGTGAAGAGAAACGAGTTCTCTTATAAAAGATAGTTGTATGAAACGAATTAGGAGCCACCGCGTGTGTCTGTGGCCGAAAGATGATGCGGAAGAAAAGCGGTCCGGATAATCAAACAACCGAAGTATACGACGTTCTCGATTTCACTTCAATCTTCTGTGCCTTTAATTAGGTTACTTTTTTCTTTGAAATCCCTCTAAGTCCTGAGATATTGGCTTAAATATTTTTTTTAACTTAGAAACTATTCACTTTGTAGGACTGCCACGGGGAATATTCCGTGGTCCATGCCTCAACTAGGCCTCCATTAACGCTCCAGGCAAAGCAAAAAAAAACCCTAAAAAGAATGAATGGGCAATACCGAGTAAAAAGGATAGAACCGGATGAACGGGGTGGATGTGACCTGGGAAGATCACCAACAACATAGCTCTGGGGATTATCAGCCCCTACCTTGCGCACATTAGGAGAACCCTCTGCGCTTTTCATGGCTAGTCTCAGGATAAACATCAACCACGTCTTGTTCAGGGTGGGAAATCCCCCCAAGCCCTATCAATGAATGCATGGTGAGCCTAGATCCAAAAAAGAAAGAAAGGTATCTGGCAAATGTGGGAGGAGAAAATGTAAGAACCCCATGTTCAATCTAAGGAGGTGTATTCAGAATGGCCAATATGGCGCTAGATTCATGGAACAACTAGAGACGAACCTAGGATATCCTAACATTGCATCATGCAGTGAGTTAGATGCTGCAGAACAACATTGTGTCGGTCCCTGGCGGTCATATCCCGTTCAAATATCTTGTCAGTCTGGATTGAATAACGCCAAAGATCAGACTTAGTGCTCCAGGTTGCAACATCGCCATTGCATCCGCCAGTGCGGGCCCAGTGAATGAGGTCAATTATATTGACGAAGAGGCCCCGAGTTGCCTGTGAGAGCACATTGTTAGCAATACCAACCAAGCACAAGTGAAGAACAACGAACCCAAATGCCATCTTCACAGGTATTGGGGGGCGGATTGATCCCGACGGCACTACAAAGCTTTCTCCAGGGCTCAAGATCCCATATCTTGCCAAATAAGACGGTTAGCTCCTCAGCTAGCGCATTCTGGTATGCAATCCAGGTAAAACGATACTTGGGGCTTCGGGCATGCCAGCCATATACCATACGCAGTTGGCGATAGGACTCATGCGGTGGGAGCCTAGGATTGAAGTGAAGGCCGGACCAATAGCGAAAGAACCCGTTCAAAGGAGAGATGAGCATGGTATGGTGCGCAGTGGACCTATGGTGTTGTATGAAAAGCGGATGGGAGCTGAATGAGAGACTACAGTGGTTACACTCGAGGGGATCCATGTGTGACCTGCCGTGGTGGAGTAGGCGAGAAGACTAGGGTGAGTATGGAATACGTGGAAGCAGATATTGCGCTTGTGGGCGTGGGAAATAGAGAACTGAAGATGGTGGGCAAGGCCAGGCTTGGTTTTTGAACTTGGAGTTGCAAGAAGTACAGGTGAGAATGTTGATACGGTTGGTAGATGGTTGAAGGTTCAAGATACTTGATGTTGGATTGTCTATTTTTATACATTTTGGAGAATGGGAATGCATGACATTCTAGGCGAGAAAAGTAGGAGATGGAGGCTGGAATGAACGAAAGTGAGAGGTGAGGTCAAAGTGAACTGTTGAGCTTGGCTGGCTCAGCTGCGTGTAGTTCTGTCTGCGCATTCGATGAGATAGCCTTCGATGCCGGCTAGGCGTGCAAGCTGGCTTTTTGATACGTTTTGCGGTGTCTCCGAGTGGTATTAGCATGTCTTAATGGTCGGACGTAACGACGTCTACTGCCGCCTCGAGTTGCCTTTCCATTTTATAGCTCTTGTCCTGATCGAGTGTCTTATTGACGACAGATGCTTCGTTCCATAGTAACGAAAGATGCTGATGCGACGACAGGGCCAGTGGTAAATGCTGGCTGGTTTCTGTTTTCAACCTCAAAGTCTTCCATCGCCCTGGATCCGTTACATCAATCCTTATGGCCATTTATAATAAACAACATAACACCCCCAGAGCTGCCTGGCAAGTTCTAAAGGGTACATGATCCCTGGTGCAAGATAGACCAGTCGTGGACTTCCAATTGCTCAGTGAGCTATAGTCCACACGACTTACATGTGCATACTATTTTAGGATCGGATTTCCTGTGGGACATTTTGGGATGCGTGTATATGAGACTTGAAGTGAGAGACGATATGAAGAAAAGAGATATGAGTTTGGGAGGCAAGAAAGGACGTTTTTTATATCTTGGACCTGGGTAGGTTTCTCTAATAAACAACAAAGCAACAAACAAGGCAACATCGAAGGAAACACAGAATTTCCAAACCTGACCTGCCTAGCAACTTCTGGGTTTAGGTTGGAAAAATATAAAGAACCGGAATAATAACTCATATTAGTTAAAGGCACGTTCTATTAGAGTTAAAGATGTTAATTTAAGATTGATTAGAGTAAACCAACGGTTATATAGTATAGAGGTAATTCAAGTTTTCAAATCAGAGACCTCTCGGGAACCCATTCTCTGTCTCCATATCTGTATTTCCATGTTATAGTAGAGAAGATACCCTCGAGCTCCGTTGGCCTTAAAAAACCCTGACACACAAGTCTCGGGCAAGTACGAAGGGAATGTGCTTGCAAGCATCAGGATCTCATGTTCAAAGATTGCGAATTTGTCACTACCGGTAGATCAATTGCTGTTTTAGCTGAAGCCTCCCGGTATTATTGCCATGCTGTATACACATGATGCATTTTATCTTAGCGATAATAGATAAAATAAAGATTGGACGAAGCTAACCTCATAGAAATATGGTTTTTTCAGTAGCCACACACTCTTCTTTGGTGGCAAAATACTGTCGACTACAAAGACCTTGTCATCGACCGTGATTGTACCATTCTTGTAAATATTGATCAGGACGATGGTGTTCTTGGACTAGATTGGTATGTAGAGGGAGTTTCTCTCCTCAGCAATGACGGGAGGGCAAGAGATGAAAAGGGTGCGACTCATAAACAATAGGAGAACTGGAGTTTGTAGGATCTGGGTTTGACATTTTTGCGATGGCGGAATAAGAATAGAGCCAAAGAAAAGAAAATGAGAAGCAAAGGACTGTTTTTAATGACTTTTGGAGATGGTAATATATTTGAAGTGGGAGCTAATAGTAGAATACAGCCGAAGAGAGAGATGGGGTTAAGGAAGTGTGAGGAGATAGGGAAGAACCCTTTATACACTGTGCTAACACATAGCATTATATTTGGATACATTGAAAAGCTGTCCCTGCATATATCTCAAACGAACATCCAAAAATATCTCGGAGTGATCTTGCATATAACCTGCCAAATATACCCAGGACAGCAACATGACGATATCATTCCCTAAGCACATTCATGAACAGTGTGTCTGAGATATTGCTTGAAATCTGAAAGGATAGTACTCTAGTATTTGGAAACAGTGTCTCAACAACAAAAACCTTCACTAAATCTAGGTATAAATTATAGAAGATATAAAAGAGTCAACCATAAGAATAAGTAATATTAGTTATCACAAGAAACGTTCTATTAGGAAAAAAAACAACAGATCCCGGCATAGCTATATACATCGAACAAGACAGGCAAAGATAGATGCTAGGCCGCATATCAAAACAAAGGGAGAATTACTAAATCATACCGAAGACCAAAAGCAGGGGGTCAGGAGAAACCGTAAAGGAATCAGTTTCTCTTCCATAAATGTAAGGCGAGAAGAGGGGATAGGAGAATAACAGAAAAGAAGAGAGAAAAAAAAGGTAATCGAACACCAACACCGACCAAAGTGATCGCAGTATTTTCCCTATCACACCAGACAAGACCCTTCAATTTGGCTGCAATGAAACGTGAATCATAATGTCACATGCAAAGGAGCACCGCGGACGCGGTTGACTTTTTGTATACGCACTGACCAGTCAGATGCGTATTGCCATTCCAAGCATTAAAAGCATTAAGAGCGCAGCGAGTCTCTCATGCTCTGGCTGCTGGCACTGACAGGCGTAGGGAGAACACCGGTGCGGGGCTTAGCGTTCTGCTTAATCTTGGCCACGGCGTAGACAATACCGCTGACGAAGCCAACAGCAATGGCGGAAACACTGGGGAAGGTGACTGGCGCATCGAAGAAGATAAGACCAGACACGGCAATGGGCAGTTTGTTGAGCGCGCCAACCATGGAGTATGTGGTGGAGGAGGTAGTGCGGACACACCACGCGGAGGTGTACGAGATGAAGACAGACGAGGCACCAGACAGAACCATGGCAAAGAAGATACCGTCACGGTTGGCCTCGGGGAAGTTGCGGGCGAGGTTGGCGGATGACCAGTCCTCGACTAGCAGGGTGAGAACGATCAAGACGGGGATCGACAGGAGGTTGTTGTAGAACATGGCTGGAGAGAAGGTCATGTTAGCAAACATTTGAAACAAGGCTGGAAGGACCACATACTGTCGAAATCCTTGAAGTTGGTCAGCTTGATGCGCTTGCGCATGCCCAGGACATAAGACGAGGTGCACAGGCAGTTGATCAACATCCAGACGTATCCAGCGTTCAGAGTAGAGACCTTGCTGGAGGTGTCACCGGAGCTCTCCACGGCATGCTTGATATCAGCCCAGGCGGCAATGAGCGAGCTGAAAACCATAAGACCGAAGGAGAAGAGAGTAAGGTTAGTGACCGAGCCACCGAACCAGAGAACCTCTCCATATGCGATCAGGATAATGGTCAAGTTCTTGAAGATGGTGTAGACGGGGATTGAGAGGAACTGAAGGGCCTTAGAACCAGTGTAGATCATGCCGATCAGGAGTAGCGTAATCGGGAACCCTGATACGGAAACTTGTCAGCTGCCACATCGCCTAATTTGTAATAATTGTAGTCCATACACTTTCTGGCCTCGTCGGTGTTGAAATCACGGTAGGTGATGAGACCCATGGACTTGCATGTTTGAATTGCAATAATGCAGACCAAAGACTGTCGATATTAGCAATTCGTCTCGGACCAAGACTACCAAATCCACCACATACCTGGACACAGAGCAAGAGGAAGTTCAGATTGAAGTCCAAGCCCGACAGAACATACTTGTTCATCACGGTCATCATAATTGACGAACCACAGTAGGCTAGAACGGGTAAAGCGGGGTGGCTAGGCATGGCGGGACTGGGGCGGGGGGAGGGAGTCGGCGGCGGCGCAGCCTCGAACTCCTTGTTCCCTTGGTCGATCTTGTTCATGTCGACGGTGTAGTCGTCGGATCTCTTGTCTTCGGCCATGTTGATCGAGTCGTCGCAGATAGGGGGTTATGTTATCGGCTGTTTATTGAGAGGGGGAGGAACTGAAATGACAGATAGCACCCTGAGTATATTCAAGGGGAGTCGATGAACAAAGGGATTTGTTCGAGAAGTTGACTAAAGAAAAAAGGCCAAAGGAGATTTGACAACAACAGATTTCGCGGCCGGAAACAGAAACGCTCTTACCTAAGCAGTACATTTAAGGGGTGCTGACTCAGGATTTTATTTATAGAGTGAAACATCCATATACTAGTACAACATAGATCAGTACTCAATTGATACCATTGGATAGGGCTTGAAACTACGCGGGAATTGAGGTCGCTTTATGATATACAGTGTATATAGTCGTCAATGTGTCTGTACTTGTATTCAGTATAACTATGGGCATAGTGTGGATCATTCTAACGTTATGAGGCTACAAGATATGCACAAAATTGTTCCACAAACTAAAATAATGAGAAATAAAGAAATACATACCTCATTCCAATTGCAGACTATAAAAAGCTCCAAAAAACAAATCAACAAAGCTGTTCACGCGTAAACTACACCGTACCAAGCCTATAGACTAGTGGAGCAGCTCCCGACCTTCCAACCTCAATCCTTAACCACACACTCCCCCGAAAATCCCAATCCACAACTTCACATCAGGACATTGGGCCAAAAGTAAAGGCAAACAGAACGTTCAACGCAAAACACCACAAAAAAAAACAAAATCCCAAACCCACAAACCATCAAATTCACCCCCCGCACTTCCCCAAAATGCCCGACTCAGACGACGAAGCCCTCTTCGCCGCCCTCGAAAACGAAGATGACACCCTCTACCGCGACCAGCGTATTCACCAACTAAACGCCGAGCTCGCAGCTACAAAAAACAACCACTCCGCCCGGGCAACAAGCGGCACCACAGGCCTTATCCAAAACGAAGTCTATCCGACACTCTCGTCAGACCAGTCCGTGCTGGATTTCACGACGCGCACGAGCAGGTGTCTGGTACACTTTGCGCACCCTGATTTTGCCCGGTGTGCGGTCATGGATATGAGGCTTGGAGAGTTGGCGAATGTGCATTACGAGGTTTCGTTTGCGCGGGTGGATGTGCGGAACACGCCGTTTATTGCGCAGAAACTTGGGATTAAAGTTTTGCCTTGTGTTATTGGGTTTAAGGATGGGGTTGGGCTTGATCGGATTGTTGGATTTGAGGGGTTAGATGCTAGGGGATTTGATGGGGTTGAGGATTTCGAAGTGAAGGTTTTGGAGAAAAGGTTGGTTTTCAAAGGGATTCTATTGGCAGTGAAGATTGGGGCTGGGGATGAGGAGGATGATGTGAGGGAAGAGGAGGATAGTGATGATGGTGCTGGTGGGAGAGGATTTGGGAGTAGGAAGGCAAGACGTGGGATTCGGGATTCTAACCCCAATGTGAGAAACCGTGGTGACGATGATGACGATGATTGGGATTAAAAGTCTTGTTTCTTGGAGGTTATACCCGTGGAGAAAGGGTGGGATGTTGATTCATGATTTCTGTATATTTAACGGATTGATGACCTAGATTGATGTTCATAGTTGGATGTTTAGTAGCATACCCATGCCATATATCCATATATTGAGGCTTATAACAAGCCCTGAAGTAGACTATGCGTAGGCTCCGGGAACAAATCTTGGGGCAACTTGGGAGGTTGAATATGAAGGAATCAAAGTAAATGGGATTGTAGCCAGACACGAAGGAAAAAAGGTAAGACTGTCATCATAGAATTACAGGCAAAAAAAATATCAAAGACCGTAAACACAGAGCCATCTCGATGGCAAAGAAAAACCAAAACGAAAGGGGCAAAAAGCGCAGAGGCAGAGCAAAACAGCACCTTAGAGTTACAACATATGCCGTGAAACTGAGGCCAGAAGAAGAACAGGGGGGAATTCTATACATGGGAGCAGAAATGGAAACAGAAGCAGAAGCAGAACGTTGTCGCACATCCATAAGTTCCACAGTGACGCCGGATGCCCTTGAAAAACTGAGACTCGAGAGAAAACGGGACTGCCCGGACTCAAAAAGCAAGGCTTATTCTAAATTGCCACGTTCTTCATTTCGCCGAGGATTTCCGACTCAATGGCGGATGAGGACTCCGCAGAGTCGGTTCTCTCTGCCTTGTCGGCCTTCTCGGATTCCTTAATTTCATTGGACTTGAGGAATCCTTCATTCTCCTTGTTGGAGATTTGCGGGGTTACAACCTCCATGAGATCTTCAGTCTGAGGCTCCTTGCCGTTTTCCTTGGCGTCTTCGGAGATTGCGGGTCCTGCAGTGACAATGGGACTTGTGGTCTCCTCAGTCACGCGTGCAAGAGGACTGGACACGCCGAATGGCGTCTTGGGACTCTGGGCATTTCCACCCTTGGAGAAGCGGTGCGGTGAACGGCCCCGTTCTTCAGCGCGCGTGGGGCTGCCATAGGGGGATTCGCGACTGCTAGACCGGTTACCTGAAGCGTTCACACCCAAACCATTGGGTACGGGGCCCTTCCGGCGAGGTACACGGCGGCCAAACTTCTGATCCGTCCTCCAGCGCAGAATATCCAGGTATGGGGGCTCTACGGTCTTGAATTGCTTCAACTTCAGCTCATTAGTCTCCTCGTCAACAATGACGTGGCCACTGCACAGATCGTCGGCGAGAGTCGCGAGGAACGCAGCCCATGATCGGGCAACGACGTATTTGCAGTCGTAATCCCGTCCGAAAATAATCACCTGACCCCATTTTCCAGCGGGGCCGGGTGCCAAATCAATAGCGAGGTTGTTGCCGCCCCAATCACGGGCGAGGGGAATCCAAGCGGGGTGCGCGTAGGCTTTCTGAACTGCACCGGGAGGCTGGGAGTCCTGACGGTCAAGCAGGTCTGACTGCCACATTGTCGACGAGGCCTGTTGAGACGGACCAGCCGCGGAAGAGCTTGCTGCAGAGCTGGCTGCGGGTGGGTTTTGCATCATAGTGGCATTGCTGAGATATTCGTCGTTGACCTTCTTCCAGTTCCGCCATTCCTGAACAATCTCCTCGCAGTCGAGCAGCATGGCGCTGAATATGACACCAGTGGGTAGGCCGCCGCGTTCTTGGCCGTCATGGAACATTAACGATTCCCGCACCTCTAATGGTAGACTGCAGTCGAGTTCGTGCTCCAATTCATTGATATCGTTCTGGGTACATCCTTCACCGAGCTGGTCAAGGAGTTCCTCATAATTGTGTTCTAACCAGCGTTCGATCTTCCTCCAGGAGTGAGCGACCGGCGGCGGCGGTGGCCCTCCGTCGTGGAAACTTTGCATCTGAATCTCCGGTGTACCCTCGGCTTGGTCGTTCGATCGTCTCTTTTGAGACGTGGCCGACCTCATCCCTGGTGAGTAGGGATGGGTGGGAGAGCCCAAGTCGACGGGGGAGCCATTCCACTCGGATGCCTGTGCACTTGCAGATCCTTTTGTGGGTTCGTCATCGTAGGGATTAGTGAGGTCTGGGCGAGACTCGATTGCGCTGGTTGCGACAGATGTGAGCGGCTCGTGTCGGCTTTGATTGAGAGGAACATGTCTCCCGGTACGGTAGGGGGAATCGTGGGAGGCATGACGGTCATAGGAGGTCATGGTGTGCCAAAAGGAGCGCCATGTTTCACTCAACCTATATCACGTTAGTGGACATAGAGCTTGTTTAGATATCGTGATGTATACTAACATGTTCGCCATGGTGTCGAATAGAGGAAAAAAAACGGGCGCAGGGGGGTAAAACCGAGATTCAGGTCGCGAGAGCGGTCATTGGAGACGGGGCAAAAACGTGTCCCGACGCGGGGATAAACAAAGCGAGATAATTCAAGATTCAAGAAATGGAAAGCGAAGATGAAAATGTGAAGATGTAATGTAAAGATGCGGTAGGGGCAACCTTGGAAGTCCAGAATCCAGAATTAGGTAAGGAAGGAGAAAAGGTGGAGGGGGGAAAGAAAGTAGATTTGGCTCTTAATTTTCTCTGTTGTAGAAACACAAAGCTGTTGAAGGGGTTGGAAATAATATATTTGATCTTTTTGGTCTTCCAGAGTTTTCACAAAATCAATCGTTTTTTCTTAAAAAAAAAAAAGCCCATCAGGTTCTTTACTTCGACTGTTATGATATGACTCTATTTAACCCCCTGTCCGCATCCAGCGAAGCCTCGACGTGTGGTATGTAGATCCTTTTGATATGATGTCGATACTCCATCATAAGCTTTTGAATGCGACTGAACAATGTATGTTTTATTTTTAATACTGCATCCAGTCAATACATATCTTCCTAGATACAATTACACGTGGCTACTGGACGTATCTGAATGTCATTGTCACCCAGGTGCAGTTCAATTTAAGCTTCACAGATATGAAACGGAACCAATTTGAAAATGGGCAAGGTACTTATTTAAGTAAAAGAAGTATAGGAGTATGTATAGGGGATTGATAGATATATATATAGGAACATAGAATAGGAGATCCTGGGGTTCCTTTTTACAAAGTACTTCCCCCAAGAACCCTACGGAGGAATATAAAATTAGCCGGTGGATCTCGGGGAAACGACGTATGGGCGAATAGGAATCGGGTTAACAATAGGGGAAGAGTCCACGTTCCAACCTTGGAACAAAAATAGACATTAATATAAGTACCACTCCGTACAATCTAAGATATTTAACATATTAAACCCAAACCATTCAGTGATTCCATGTAGATCCTTATGAAGAAAACAAAAAAAAAGACCCTGATATTAAGATCAGCGGGCTCTCATAGGCTAGACTCCACCCTGGAAATTAGGAAATCTGCCAATTTTGATTCGTTTCAACGGTGTGGCTTGTCCAGGGCTTGGTTCGATTGGGGTCTTGGCGTTCAGGCACATAAGAGTAGTTGCAATATACTACCTTTCTTATTCTTCATTTACATCTATCTTATCCGCGTGAAATACTCAACAATATAGGACTTGGATAATCTAAATATCTAATATGAGGGGCTTCATTCCTATTCAATCATTCTTTCCCTCTATAGAAGGTCGTCTCTAGAAGGTTCATTCTAATGGAGATCTATCCGGCTTCTAGTTTTACAGCTGACAGTTTAATTTTCAGCGAGTCTAAGATTGTCTTAAATTCTTTCCACTTTCCATGTCATCTGCATCAGTTCTCAACATTGCGCTTGCTTTCTGGAGCAAAACTACCTGTAGATCCAACATATTCCACAGTATATTGCTTTACCGCAATACCCTCACTGCGTTGCTTCAAAATGTTGAAAAGGAGATGATCTTCCGGCTGGGAATGAATACTATCGGTGATGTGATAAGAAAACCCCTTCGCTGATATCTTCACAGTAACCCTTGTTAGCAGGGTATATTTCACTTTATAAATCCTGGTAATCGTCATGTATTTAGAAGTTATTACCCAAATTTCCCACGGCCGGGACGCAGTCCTTTTCGCTGTTGCTTTCAACTTGCATGAGCCGGATTGCGAGTCTGAATAGGCCGCCGGTCTTATTCAGGACCATCTAGATGTATTCCTCCTCAAAAGGACACTCCAGAGAATCTCTCCAGTAGAGCTCCATGCCTTGCCCACGGTGCAAGCTCAGTAGCTCTTCAGTGTAGATGGCAAAAAAAGAGGAGTTGGAAGCTTTCCAAGCTCTTGGTGGGCGAGGAAGTGGATTCCAAACATGCTGTGTGCAACTGAGATGCCCCGCCGTAGCTGAGATGAATCTTGAACATCATCAATAATGAGATAACGTATATTAGGCCGTGTGGCTGTTGGGTAGTCGATATTGAATCTGAAACATACAATAACGAGGCATTTTGTAATAGATCTATCACTCTTTTATCACGTTGATTTTGTCTTTGGGGACATGAAGAAATTGATCGAACGCATCGATTGAGCGACGTCGGGCGTCTTTTCCTAGATTCGTTAACAAACATTGAAAGGGCTCAATCAGGATCTGTATCTCAGTTAACCATCCACATTCTCTAAATTATCTACTTTGGGTTACACACTCACCTTGTCCTCATAGTCTCTTGTTCTAGTGTTGATCACTGGAGTCAGTATATTGGTCTATTTTCAGGAGGGGCAAGGCAGAAAACTCTCTCGGAATCTATCTGAAGAACAGAAGATGTATGCATGATGATACTGGGTATTTTTGCTCCAACGTGGATGATAGCCTGTACCTTGTTGTCAGTAAGTGGGGATTGGTTATCTCTTGAAGAGTTGGCACGCCAAGTGCCTGCATGAAGAGGTGTCCCATGATAATTCGGCAGTGATGTAATGCCATAGTGGTCAATTATGTCGCGTCCCCCTCCTTCTGTCAAGTCTCAATACTATGCGGATTGAGCCCGTGCTGTCACATCTCTTCAGCAATAACTAACTAACTAGTAGTATACAGGATTTAGAGAAGCGACGTCACCCATCTCGAAAAGAGGGGTTCTTCTCTTGGTATATTACCTATCACATGGCAATCATGTTAGCACTAAGATCCTGCATGATTGTGCGCCAACGCGCATGCCTCAGGAGAGGCTCGCCCCCTCGAAATGCAAAAAGACAGGACGCTGTGTCAAGCCCAACCCGTATTTATGGCTTATCAAAGATAAATAGCACGAGGAAGAGTACTCGAATAATCTGCATGGCCAAGATTCTCCGAAAATGGAAAATGTGCTAAAGGAACATTACTCCACGTCAATATACACGGCGTATGTGGACCACGGGCCTTTACGAACTACTTCTGCCGCTTCTACTCTGTAGAGATCGACTAGATTACATATTACTATACACCACAGCTAAATGTAGAGAGTTTCAGTTGTCCAATGTTTGTCTTTCAAGCATCCATAGTGAGTTATCTAGCCTTTTTTTTATGAATGGCCTGGTAAAAGATAAGTCGGGCATATATATGGCCGAACACGAGAAGCTGAGTGAAGTCCAACTGGTCTCTGCTCCTCGTTAGGAGGTATTTGCAATCATCTTCGGGTGCATCTTTCTCTAAAAGGTGATAGACCTGAGAAGATAGGCTCAGCGCAGTATCTGACGATGGCCCTTTGTTCGTTGGCTTGTTGTATCAGAAGTGTGGAGTCGACGTATCTTACCTTTCGGAAAATCTCCATTGTCTTCTGTAGCGTCTTTTATGACTCTAAATGCATTATACAATCTACATTAGCATAAGGGATATGTGGAGCTGAGATAGATAAGGACAAGCACTGCGCGACTTGCCTATATGTGCTGTAAACATTCCACTTCTTGTTCTGAATCCTTCGTATAGGTTTACAACACATTGAACGTTATTTTCTGTATGTATAACTAAGCAAGCTCAAATAAAGATTTATATACAGCACGACGTGGTAGCTGAAATTACCAGCTTATTGGAACTGACGTGAAATCAGATCCCTTCCTCGCCATGGGGTCTGAGTGCGCTTCTTCGGTTGCATTTTGCGAAAATATCTTTCCCTAGGTTTGTACAGATAATGCATCCTGCATGCTGTATGACGTTGTGTCTATCATGTATACCTCACCTGCAGGGTCGGAAAACTATTAAGCCATATCACATCTATTGGTTACACTGCAGACCAAGTTGATATTTGGTTATCATCCTTTTCAGGATGTAGAGCTCCATTTCAACTTTTTACAAATAATATTCGATTACCAGGTTAAGCAGGTTAATCCTGAATCACATTTCCCGAGATATTCAAGGAATTCCCTGTACTTCTCATATCAAGCCTCATATTATGCAACAACCCAGCAGTTCTTCAAAGAACGTACATTCATCATAGATGCAAGTATTGCTCAACTAAGTAGATTAGATCAGAGATAGCCTCAAAGCAGCCCAGATCGAGCCAAAAGACTGAAATTGATTAGTTTCATGATTCAACATGGTGTTGTCCTTGGTATCTAGATCATGGGAATCATCCATCTATGTACAAAACTTCCAGGATCTGGAAAGTGACAAAGCCATGGGTAGAAAATCCCTACCACTCCTGTTGCTCTACCTCTGACGACTGCAAGATACTTCGTCGTGCGACTGTTGCTTTTTTTTTGTGGCATCTGGTCTTACATTGTTGGCATGGACTTGGGTTGATCCTTCATCTAGCTATCTTCCGCTCTTGATTGGCGGTTTCCATGTTTATTTAGCTGGGATGGTAGCCTTTGAAATGATCACATTTCATTCAAAAAAGGCTGCTGAAAGTTATACCGCGGAAGCTACCATACTGCCACGTTCATTCTCATCATATAGTTAGTACAGTTCGATAGTATATAAAGTGGTGCGAAGTGGATACGTGTGAAAACTGCAATGATAACGCCTCAAATATCTTTTTGTCAAACAGCTGCTAAGAAGAACAACAACTTTTACAGGTAACTATTCTACCTGTAAAGCGTCCACAGGTGGAAATTAAGGTCGGTTTGATTAGGGTTGGTTAGCGTTAGACTAGTTCCTATTGCTCCACAGGGAGTTAGCATTGTTATACATACTACGGAGTACGCAGAGTACCGATTGAAACTATATATAAATTCGACAGAAAAGGTATACTCAAAACCGGCTGTGGGTTGAATTCTACTCAATAGATTGCTGGTGTTCAGCTGGCTGTCCAAGATCTCTCGATGCTGATGACAACTGGCTTCCAATATCCTCTCTGCTTTGAATTGTAGGAGAAAATTTGTAATATTAACAGAAATGAAGGGCAATCCTAACCTTTTCCATGCCCCCTTCCACGGTATCCGCCACGAGGTCTCCTTGGATTTGGCCACAACCCCACCAGTTTACGGTTTTCTTCCGATTCCACATATGGCGCATCTCTGTACACTTCGCGAAGGTCTAATCTTTCGAAGGGGGGCGACGGTCGGATTGACGGATCCGCCAAGCACGCATTCAGCAGGATCATCTCCGCCACAGAAGGTAAAACATCGCCTTCGGGCTCGAATCCAACCTGGTCGATGGTTATCTCACGCACAACGGTGAGCCCCAAAGATGCGGTAGATTTCATTTCATTGGCTAGCATAGCCATAGGCCATGTATCCGTCACGTCAGGTCTAAATGGCCACATAGATGCGAATTCCTCAATTGGCTCATCTAATGTAGAAAGCTCGTACCTATCAAGTCCTAGCTCCCTTGCTTTCTCCTGAATCTGCTCGAGATAGTGGCTGTTTGGAGACTCCTCGGCAGCTCGCCAAAGGAATATATCTGGTTTTGCATTGAGGCTGTCAAATAGTTCTTGGTAATTGGCATTTATACAAGCACGTGCAATCTGCGGCGTCATTGATGGTCGGAGCCGTGCCAACTCGGTGTAGGTATTCTTATCTGCGGCCTTTGGGAACCATATCAGGACTGGGAGATCGGTATCTGGCGTGTTGTCATTCAACCAGGACAAGTCGTTGTTCAAAATAAACCGGGCATAAACGGCCTGTCGAATGGGCTCCGAATCGGTATCCTGCATCAACCACCATTTAGCGAAGAAAGGGTGGTGGTAGATTCCTCGAACAACACATGGCAGCTCGCCATGGAGCATAGTTGGCCGACGCAGCCGTGTGTAGCGGTCAATATTGCCTGACCATGCCGCCATCAGGATCAAAAGGTCCTTATCAACAGTGGGTAGATCAGCTGGCAGTGGTTCGCACAATAACCGGACAGCTTCTGGATCAACCGGTCGCGCCCCGGGTAATGTACCTTCGGCGTCGAGGCACCAGTCCTCAGTAATATCAAACGTAGGAGCCGGCACAGTAAGAAAGATGGCGTTCCCCACCGGTAGGGTTTGATCGAGCATAGACCGCACACATGTGTCGCCATTCAAGTGCGCCCCAGAACGTAGAGGTGAGTGTAGACAGCGGTTATAATCATCCATACAGGCCCATCTGGTCGGGCTGTTGATAATGTTCTGGTAGATTTCTTGCCCAGACGCCCGATTGTCGCGCGCTTCCTCTGCGATAGCCACGTCCGGCAGCAGATCTAACTCCAGGTAGAGTGAAGTGTAGCCGCCTGCAGCGCATGCGCGCCCGACTTGGTATCGTAATAGGTCGTTACCAGGGTATCGCTCTAGTAGATCGCGGAGAGTCTGCTCGGCTGGGATGTCTGGATGCCAGAAACAGTAGGGGAAATCGTCGGGTGATTTCATGTCTGGGACTCGATTGCTCATGATCGCGCGCGCATTCAAAGCGCGGGTGATTTCAGGAAGATGCCCGTACAGCTCCTGCGCGAAGCCATCGTGAGTGCGGATTCCTCGCACCACGCATAACCAATCCGGGCGACTCGTCGGACAATCGGGAATTCTTTTGCCTTGAATGGCTGCTAGATTCCGTCCAGAATAATCGTAACCATAGGTTCGTCGGGGTGGGTGGATGGATGTCATAGTGAGGATGAAAGTCTACATAAGTACGTGTATGCGTGAAGTACGCAGTACAGAATCCATGTGTACGGAGTAGGTTAGTCTCCGATGAATTTTTAATATTCTTAGCGCCTGTTGGTCAGGCGAGTGCAACATAGAACAGTCAAGGAGAGAATTATATTTTCCTTAATATCCATGCTTATCTATTAGGAGTCAAAACATATGTACAAAATACAAATCAGTTGTACATGCTCCGTACATATGTACGTGATGAGTGAACCCCCCCCCGCTACTCCGTACTACATGTACCTAGCCTTGGCAGTCCCATGGAGGGCTTGGAAGTTGCCAAGGCTAGAGGCCAAGGAGGGATTTTGCGCCTATCTATTATATTCTTTGTTGGACTGGATATTGCTTTGACCACTGCCCCAGCCCGCCTATGATAATGGGAACCAGGTATTTTTTCGTAAGAAGCTCTATACGAGGTGATGCGGCTCTGTATGTTAGGTGACTCACCATGGAATATGTACCTAGATTTGATCCTGTGACGCTCAATTTGAATACCAGGACAGAGTACACGTGCTATAATACTCAATATAATATGTAGTACCCCGTATAATGCCTGCACGACAATGTTTTCTGCGCTTTGGTATAAGCCTGAATTCGGTATAGTGCCGGGACCCTTCGGATTTGAAGCCTCAATCTTACTTAGCCAAGACAATATAAATACAACCTAGGTATCACTAAAGTAGTGCGTCCTGTAGCGTGAAGCACACTCATCACACTTGTCTCAATTGAGCTTATACGCCGGACGCTTTTGCTTGTAGGAATTACAGTAATGCACAACCCTTCTTGGCTGTACACAGCCACTTTGTCTTAGCGTCGGCATGGAAGATAGCAGAGACAATAAATTTATGTATTTCGTTGCTCTCTTCTTCTCCATCTTTTGTATTGTCTCGGCATTTAGCATTCAGCACATCATGAATCCCAACGAGCTTTCCTGGCCTACGAGGCACCTTCACACGAGCACCAGGAACGGATCAACATGGGGCTATGTCATTTACCTCACCACATATACTCCCCGTTCCAAAACCGCCTTCCTCCAAATCGTCGATCTTCTCAACTCCTACATAAAAGATGGATTATACTCTGACTGCGTCTCGGGAAACAACACAACGAATAAAGACCTCACTTCATGTCACGAGATCTGGGCTCAGCACCGTTCAATCATCATGAACCATCCAAAATTCGATGGAGCATCAATAGACTCAATTCGCACTCATTTCAGACTCTGGGTTGAGTCACAGGAGGAGCAAGGTCTCTCTACTCAGTATCGCATGTGCATGGTGATCGACGAAGAGTCTTTACAGACGTTACTGGATGCTCCGCCGCCCCAAGATTGCTCGGATAAATTGATGATTGATCCCACGCGACATGTGAAAGTGGTACCATTACATCTGAATAATGATGGTGACGATGGATTTGATGGTTTCTTGGGTGGATAGAGATATTTTTATGCCATTGAAGATGGCAATTATAGCGAAAAAGGGTCATGTGGGTATCTATCTAAAGCTGTGACTTATACAGGATGCATCTCTCATCATTCCCCGGATATTATGGCCTGATGCCCAATGCAATGCGTATGGATGTGCTCTTTACTTCTTGTCTTTTTCTTTTTGCATTGGTGAAATAATAAGTAAGCTGTGGCTAGGTACTTGCAAGGTTACTTTCAATATTTTGAATTCTTGCCCTTTTCTTGCTTTTACAACAAAGTATTGCCCGAGAATTTAGGAATCCTAAGGACTGTCTCATGTCTCGCATCGTTTACTGGCTATATAGAGGGGAATACAATGGTGGACAAGCCCAAAACTATAAATAGGAACGCCACATAAATCCAGTGAGACATGTTTAACTAGTAGAGCCTCAGTGTAGTATATTGCAGTCCGACCCAACTGTTCGGAATCGGAAGTACTTAACGACTGCCCCATATTCCCTAGCGATGAAGCGTTGGCTGTCGAAGAATATGAAGAACCACATGTACAACCGATGAACGATGCTTCTTCAACTCAACTTTTGATCTAGCTTCCTCATTTTTCTTTCCATTGGCAATTATACAGCCCGTGATAACTAGTATACAATACGTTAAATTACCTGGCAAAATGGAGACTTCGTGAAATCCCAAATCAGCCGCCTTCACCAATGGTGTCTATAGTGGACCTTGGGCAATGTTAAGTCTAAAATAACAATGGAAATGATTGTCACGAAAACTCACTTTAAGCAAAGTGTCATAACTTGTCAACGCACACTTTTAGTGTTAAGAAGACTTTTATCTCTTTACCGAATAAAATCCGCCTACCTATAGGCCTTAATACCAGAACATACATACACGTATAAAGTTAGGATGTTGTCCTATGCGTGTAGTATCTAGCATTCCTACCAGGGCTGACATATCTAATCTCCAAGGATATCTACAGCTTGGAGTCGGGTCTACTAGGTCATCTACTATGTACGTCCACTACTTGCACTCTATAATCGGAATAAAAATCTGACCAGTGATGAGTATCAAATCGGGCAATGCGCTCAAAAGCACACCGATGTGGACTAGTCAGATATTTAGCCAAGTTCAATCCTCATAAAACGAGCGAGGAGGATAAATCAAGGTACGAAGTGTCAGATCAACCTATATCAGTCTTCAAAGGCTGGCCGAGGCTGACCGCTACTTCGACTAACCTTGGAAGCAAACAAGAAGGAAAGCTGAAAAGGAAAGGCCCAAAAACGAGGGAAAACAATGCAAATAAAACAGCAAAATCATGCATTTGTTCGCATTCCTCCATGCCCCAAGCCAAAACCAGGCGCGCCACCACATTTGGGAAAAACCACGACGCCGAACGATGGAGAAAAGGTGCCGATAAAACTACGACCTCATCAGTATACCAAGCAACCAGTGCCGTGCATTATCATCATGGTGAACATTGCCGCAAGAGACGTATGGGAAAAAAAAACAATGAGCACCCTATAACGGGAAAGGAAGACTAGAATGAACCAATCAAGGGACCTCAAGACCAGTCGAGGATGCCCGTATGAACAAAGTGCAAGAAGAAGCAGAGTAAAATCAAACTGAATTTAAACCATAAGAAAAACAAAAGTGAGAAAGAAACAAAAGGAAAAACAACAATAAGAGAGATGAGCCACTCAAACAAAAAGAGAGGAGAGAGGGCAGAAAAGATCATGAAAATAAGGTCATAATCCAACATAACTAGTGAGAGTATTGAGCTAAGCGGAGCTTTGGGTAACCGGAGGCCCCGAGGTATCCAGCTTCAGAACCCGACGAATATCATTCTCGATTTGTCGGGTGTCCACCACCCGAGAGGGAGATGGTGAGTTCATCGGCATCTGGAATGCAGCTGACGCATGGCTTTGCTGCGGGGAGGCATAACTGGTCCGCTGGTATTGAGATGCGGCCATGTAAGGATTTCCATAAGGCGCCGGAGAAGCTGCATTTGAGGTGCCTGTAGAGGCGGGGCCACGATATGGAGGCATCGAAGGGGGCGGGACGAGGTCAACCTCACGGCGCAGAGGTGAGTGAGAATGCCCGGGGTACGGATACCGAGAATGCCCAGTGTTCTGAGGAACCTGCTGCTGTTGCAGCTGGTGTGGGGAAAATGAGCCATGTGACATGGTCAACTGAGGGCCGGACGAGGTTCGCATGGGAGTGGCGTATGGAGGCACATTAGAAGGACGGGGCCCAAAGGACCCAGCGTATTCCTGCGAAGCATAGGTCGACGAAGGTGGCTTCTGTGGGGGTGGGTTGAGCAACAAGTGCTTCAACTCCTCAGTCTTGATTCGTCGTTCCTCCTCAGTCATATCAGAAGACTGAGGGGTATTTGAGGGTCGCAGCGCATTCATACGATCCTGGTAAGAAGGGGCGAAAGAAGGGCCAATGTGCGAGTTGCGACGGGAGTCAGAGCTTCCCATTTCAAATGAGAAGATGTTGTCAGGATTGGGGCGCGAAGCCTTGGGTTCAGTCTGAGGAGACTGAAGGACCTTGTTCACCTCAGGGTTGCTCGTGGACTTCTGGTCTCTGGCTTGCACAGCAGCTTTAAACAGGAAGTCAAGAGGGGAAGGCTTGTGCTCTTCATCCCTGTATTTGTTGTTGCGGTTGCGAGGTTTGGACGGGGTGACCTCTGGTTCGGGGTCCACTTCCGCATCGTCACTATCGGTCTCGATGGGTGGGACCAGATTGCTATCAGGAGCAGACTTGGAGAAGAAGCTAGGAATTGGTAAAGCAGATGGTGCGGGTGACGCGTGGAAGGTCGGTCCCGCATATGCTGTGCTTGGCTTTGTCGGAGGAGAGGTGACAGCGGGGTGGGTTGGTGTGTATCGGGGACCGCTGTTGTATGTGTTGCTGTGGTATCCAGAGTGCGGGGCAGGTGAAGGCTTGTTGTCTCGGGGTTTCTTTCCTGAGCGCAGAGGTTTCTTCTTCAAAGAGTTAGGGTTGTTTGAGGAATCCATCTGGTTGACCCCAGGGTTCATGGTATGCGGCGGGGATGATGGAGGAGTGGAGAGGAGCGCCGGTTTCGGGGCGTGAGGGGTCATATTCTTCTTCTGAGGGCGGCGGTTATTGCGGGATCCCTTAGGAGTAGGAGGATGAGGAGATTGAGCCGACATGTCAACGATGGCTTAATAAATAGGCAGCCTGGAGAGAGAGAGAGAGAGGTAAAGAGAAAAAGCAAGGCTATGACGAAACAGTAAAAGGCAGAAGATGCGCAGATTGCAGCAAAATGTGTCAAATAACTGCTCAGCAGATGTCGACAATATTAGATACGGCAACGCCGGAGAAGCAGAGAACGTGACGTGTATCAAACTGAAGAAGTGAAAGAGTCGCAAGTTGAGTCAAGCAGTTATCGCTCAAAGGCAAAGATAGACAGTCTGATGAAAGATCTTGTCTATGAAACGGAGAGCGTGACAGAAGTCAAAAACGAAAATCAACTGAAGACATTTCTAAGAAAGAAAAGAGAAGAGAAGGAAAAGAAGACTGAATCATTGTTGTTGGCTAAGGGAAAGACCATTGAACACAGACAAACGGGGAGGGGAGATCACATCTCGATGACTAAGACGCCACCTGCTTCACGATATCAAGAACAAACCAAGTCAAAACAGAAATATCAACTGCTGGACAGGGTCACATTGTCGCATTGTGCATTGAGTACCTTTGGAGATATCTCCTTTTTAATTCCCCTCAAAAGGTACCCTCCGTTCTACATCGAGTCTCTACATTACAATCACCGCCCTCGATCACCGCCCCAACCTAGGAATCGGAGCCTCACTTACGTCAGTCACAGTTCTGGTTACCCCCACCCCAGGTAGCTTTTGTTGTCTTGCGCCAAGCATTTCAAATTGAAACCATCCAACTTCCGACAAGAATCTCAATATGACAGACGTGGAGATGAAGGAAGCCGCTACTGGCTCCTCCAAGGGCAAGGCCGTGGCCAAGGGCTCCGATAGTGCCGACAAGAAGAAGTTCGAGGTCAAGAAGGTACATAAGGATCTAATTTCGTAGCAACTTACGATACTGACTGACTGTTGTTAAGTGGAACGCCGTTGCCTTGTGGGCTTGGGATATCGTCGTCGACAACTGTGCCATTTGCCGAAATCATATTATGGACTTGTGTACGCTAAGACTACTCTTCAAAGCTCTCTTATCCTACAAACTGACCGATCAACGAAACAGGTATCGAATGCCAGGCCAACCAAGGATCATCAACAACGGAAGAGTGCACTGTTGCCTGGGGTATCTGCAACGTGAGGACCCCAGCACCCACGCCATCCGATCATTTGATTATACGCTAATTACTCCCTTCCCGCAGCACGCATTCCACTTCCACTGCATATCGAGATGGCTGAAGACCCGTCAGGTCTGCCCGCTAGACAACCGAGACTGGGAGTTCCAGAAGTACGGCCGGTAAAGAGGGGGACACCAGGGTTTCCAAAGACACTACACGATACAAATTCACGATTTCTGGCTGATGCCGCATGCTCAATGGCTATAACCCGAACTTTTTCTTCTCCTTCAATGACGCTTCTGGATTTTTACGACGGCATAGGAATTGGCGGGCGTTCGAACGATTGATATCTCGAGCCAGCTCCATAGCTTCCCATTCTCATATTCCGTAGCAGACAAGAAAGCGCTGCCCAAATGCTTCCAATGATTATTACGCTTGACAGTTTCTCAATAGCTTATTGCACCTTCACCCCATCCACAGTTATACCCGGAGTTGCTTTCGCGTTTGGTGAGCCCAGCCACTTCTCTGGGTTGCGGTTGTAGATCGGCCAGGGCGGGACAACGACGAAAGCTGTAATCAGTGTGCCCGCCAAACCAGTCCATAATGTAAGGTGGATGTCCTTGTAGATGTATCCGACGAGGAAGCTGGCGGCCTAGAGATACAACAACCGTTAGCCCTGGTAATATAAGACACAATCTTTTTGCAACATACCCCCGAGATGACCAGCAAAATAGTAGATAGTAGCTCTGCTAGACGTTGGCCGTGGAAGTCCTGTTATCGAGATCTTGTTAGCTTGGATCGTTCGCGCGGAGCAATGACAAAGGAGACGATGCAGTCGGGCGTACAATTTGGCCTTCGATGGCATCCTGAATAGGTGCGAGTAAATCATCCATGATTGAAGCAAGTTAATCGGATACGAGGTTAACAGTTGGGTTCGATGATCCCTTGATCGATGCGGGCGGCTTATCGCAATGGTGTCATTTGCCTTCTGCCATATCGGACCGCCTTTCTCTCTACACGACACTTCGTCAAAGTACATACGAAGTACGGACACGGAGTACAAACTTGCAATATAAAATATCTTTGGCCGGGTTGTTCCTTGAGAAGTTAACCCGATATTGAACTCTAATCGTTACGTGGTTGATCATGATTCATTCGATGTCATCTGCATCTATCTCTAGAGCCAAAAACAGACAGCCCACCCGAGTTGGAGCACTGCTGATGGGAAACTAGCTTCGAGGAACTCGGCCTACGGTCATGTACCAGTGTACAAGACCCTGAGAGTCCAAACGTAACCCGAACCCAATTTGCCGTGTTGGAAGGCTCACATGCACCCTGCAATGCGAGAAAGCAAGGAGCGGTGAAAACGAAATCTTGCATGACCCATGTGGTGGTGGTTAGGGAAGAAATCTTCCCATATCCAGCCAGGTACAGATTTCCATCGGGTCCCAATGCTCCAATACTGCTGCCACGTGCTTTTATGTCAAGCGGCGACCCGCCGACCCGCAAACAGCGATTGTGTTATGACGACATAAAAGGTGCCGGTTCTTAGTTATAGGTGACGGTTGCGCCATCCTGAGCAGGCTCCAGCAGCTTCCATTGGCATGAGATGTTATTGGAAGCGAACTGTCCGATAATGCGGTCAGCAATCTCGGTGAAGCGATCGGTGGCCAATGCCAAGATGGTAGGTCCTGCGCCGGAGAGACAGATTCCTAGTAGACCGGGTTGAGTGGCAGGGGTCATGAATTGGAGAATCTCAGTCAAGCCCGGGATCAGCGTCTTGCGGTACGGCTGGTGCACCTTATCCTGCATGGCGAGGAAGATCATATCAGGATCTGGCGGGGAACTTCCCAAGGCCGCGGGGAGGAGTGCCGCGCGCTGGAGATTGAAGACCTAGTCGGGAAATTAGTCTCAAATCAGAACGTTATCAACTCTGAATGTTCACATACCACGTCGGCTCTCGAGTAGGTCTCCGGGAGTACATTACGGGCATTAGCAGTAGGCACCACAAAGTCAGGGATAATGGCAATGGCCTTGATCTCCGGAGCCCAATTGAACTTTCTGTAATGACCAATGGCCATAGGCGGCTCAGGGGGTCTGATTCCGGTATCAACACCACCTGCCGGAGCAGGCAGGACTTCACTGAGAGGGATTTCTTTGCGTGCCACGTCCTCGGGCTTAAGCTCATTCAGATAGGTGCCCACGAACCCACCGAAGAGGGAAGCAGCCACATTATCCGGGTGTCGCTCTATTTGCATGCATTAGTAAGATGTACGACATACGAATCATATAATTTTTTTCTCCAGAGAATCAAATGAGGGGCACATAAAACACTCCAACCTACCAATCATCAAACAATAATCGAGTAACCGTTCCTTGCTCAGACCCAGCTTACCCACCTCATTGCCCAGCATGACACCGGCAACCACTGCCGTACCAGAGGAGCCCAGACCCCGGCCTAACGGGATAGGGTTGACGATGTGCACCTTGGTCTCGACGGGGAAGGCCCGCTGGTTATGGCATCTGAGGACATACAGGGCTACACGGGTGATCAGATTGACTTCTGGGTCAAGACTGATCTGCTCAACACTCTTGCTTTGGTCCTCATAGGTGATGGCGCAGTTGAAGGGAAGTTGAGATGAAGGTTTGGTCTCGATGGTGACGTGGAGATCCAAGTGGAGGGACAATGCTAGTCCGATCACATCGAAACCGGGGCCAATGTTGGCAGAGGAGCAAGGGATCTTGAGCAAGAAGGAAGTCATGATAGAGATGGACTATATTTCCAGGTTGTACAGGGTCCAAACACAAAATGGCACAAAATGTACACGATAGTCTGATAGTCCGGTATGTGACTCTGAAACTCTTGGCACACCAAAAAAAAATTGGCCGACGTCGGCAACGGGAGTGGAGAACTTCGGATTTCTTTTGATTTGATTTGATTTGATTATTTTATGTTTTAGCATGGATGTCAGATCCTATTATTGCATATAAACTATTCGTGTTGGATCCCTATACTCCGTAGTCTTACTCCGTGCTCCCGTATACCGTTTATTGAACATCCATGGATGTTCCATATAGAGAAGGCGAAACATGAGACAAAGGGGCTATTATTACCGAGATAGGTTGTTCTAGAGTAATATTATAGTGTCAGATAGCCTGGAAATACGAAAAATGCCAAGGGCGACAAATATACAACGTGCTATTAGTAGTATGACATCGTAGATAGTAGGGGGAATACAAGTCAAAGCATGGACATTCGACATGAAAAATGCCTCAAAAGCAATACCAAATTAGCTCAAGAGGTGTAATCTCTAGTCAATAATAGGTCATTTTATACTGCGCATGGAGTTGTTCTCCTATAGACCCTTCAATCCTTTATCTGCTGAAACGGGGGGAGTACCCGCTTGTAAAATTTTTCACTAAGCTTTGTTTCTCTTTACTGTTTCTCGAGCATATTATTAGTTCTAGCCCATCCCCACTGTTTGCCCTTCCTTTTTTTCTCCTATTAACTATTAACCCCCCCCCCAAGGTTATATTAAAAAACCCCCTAACTCTTTCTACCCGGTGACTTTGGGCGGCTTCCCGGAACCATCATCGACCCGTTCGGTCTTCGCCACTTCATTTTATACCTTTTTTCCCGCCCTTCCCACTTTTCCTAAATTCCACTTCTCCAACATTGTCATTTAACTAGAATTTTTCAATACTTGATCTCTAGTGAACTGATTAATCGACAATTCAAGTTCTAAGCGTTGAACTTTTTGCGAACCGTTCGCACCTCTCGTCTAACAGCAACCCTGGAGCCATCAAGCTCCTCATCCGACCACTTCTTCAAGTTGGCGGGACTTCGCTACACCAAGGCTTCTCTCCTTCACCCTCTTGCAGGCCCCAAGTTCCGGGTCTTTGGCGGGGGCGACACCAGACCTCCCTAACTGGGTTTCAGGAATATCTTTATTGTGGCCGCCAGACGTTAGTCGGTAACGCCAGACCCCCGTGAAGGGTCTGGCTTATGGATGGAGGGCCGTCACCCTTGAACGAACCTCTTACCGGCTTGCGTCTGCTCCGGCCGTCGTGCTATCAAAGAGCAAATATTTCTAAACTAAACACCACACAAAAATCTGTCAATCTGGCGCCCTAATCGTTTTCGTCGAATCCTCATACACTGAGAGCTCACCATGTCCGAGTCTCCCAGATCCGAGAGGTACATGTACCTAACTAGGTACAGTACCCCGGTACCCGAACTGGATGATCATCGCCTCCAGATGCAGACGCCTCCACGCATTGAGGCCCCGATCGAGCGCGCTTATAGCCCGCGCGATACCACTCAAGGCCCTGAAATGATCGACCGTCCAGACTTGCTCAATCCACAGGATGCCCTCAGGGACGGTCCGATCCCCCGAGATTTCGAAAATGCTATGGAAGATGATCGCTCGATGAACGAGTTGAATGGACTCGGTCGACGGTTCTCAGTCGACCCTAATGGCACTTACCAAACTCCTCGTCGCATTAGCATTGTGAACCCGGATCTTGCCAACGCTTCCTGCGCCTCGTCTGTGTCTGCTCGATCATCATCTCCTCCCAATTCAGTTGAGGCTTTTGCCGACCCGCGTCGCCGTGAGCGCGCCAATACCCTGGACAGCCATGCACCTCCCGACCTGGAAGCTATTCTGCAGCGCACTGTATCGGGTGGTACCCACAACCGTCGCCCAACTTTCAGCAACGCTAGTGTCGTTCGCCCTCAGTTAGGTGATGTGCCATTCGACACGGCAGAGGAGGCCTGCTTCGAAGAGCCAGGCCGTATTCCGGTCATTGATTATGAGGAACTCGAGGAGTTTGTGGCTCTGAATCCAAGCACTAAAGTTATTGATGGTGATCGCCGCAAGCACAGCATGAGCTCGCAGAGCAAGAGGCCCCGTATCTTTTACGACCTCCGCCCTGGCGCTGAAAGCCCTGAGATGGGTGCAATTAAAAAGACTGTCTCGTCGGATACACTGAGTGAAGATGGAAAGAAGGACACCGAGGTCACAAACGAAAAGGAGTGGGTTAAACCAACTCAGAATACAAACCAGCGCTCTCGCTTCGGGTTCTTTTCGTCCGAATCTCAAAGCACGGTGCATGCTGCCGATTTGGGAGATCTGGTGCTCCCTGGCGAAACCTTCCGAGATCTGTTTGAGCTTGGACCTGAGGGAGGTGTGTGGTGGTTGGATGTGGTCAACCCCACTGACGAGGAATTGGGAGCTATCTCCCGGGCTTTCTCGATTCACCCGCTGACAACGGAGGATATTCAAACCCAGGAAGCCCGCGAGAAGGTTGAACTATTCAAGCAGTACTACTTTGTCTGTTTCCGCACTTTCTTCCAAATGGACAAAACCAGCGAGGAATACCTTGAGCCTGTCAATTTCTACATGGTTGTCTTCCGAGATGGTGTCCTCACTTTCTCCTTTGAGGAAAACCCTCACGCATCCAATGTTCGGAAACGTATTGGAAAGCTGCGAGACTATGTGTCTCTCAGTAGTGACTGGATTTGTTACGCGATGATTGACGATATTGTGGATAGCTTCGGCCCCGTCATTCGCGATGTGGAATTGGAGTCCGAGGCGATCGAAGACCATGTCTTTATCGCCCGAGTTGACGATTTTGAATCGTTCCTCCCTCGCATTGGAGGCCTGCGCAAGAAGGTCATGAGCTTGATGCGCCTGCTAGGCGGCAAGGCCGATGTCATTCGTGGATTCTCCAAGCGCTGTAACGAGCAGTACTCAGTTACTCCTCGTGGTGATATTGGTCTTTATCTCGGCGATATTCAGGATCACGTTGTGACCATGATGTCGAACTTGGCGCATTTCGAAAAGATGCTCAGCCGATCTCATACCAATTACTTGGCCCAGCTGAATGTCACCAACTTGGTGTTGGGAAACCACGTCAACAAGGTCCTCAGCAAGGTCACTCTGATTGCTACGATTCTGGTCCCCATGAACCTGATCTGTGGTCTGTTCGGTATGAACGTAGAAGTTCCTGGCGCCCACACAGAAGGATTGACGTGGTGGTTCGGTATTCTTGGAGTGATGGCAGGTATTGTCATTGTGAGCATTGGCCTAGCCCGCTGGCAGAGGCTGGTTTGAATTTTTTTACTTGTTTTTCACTTTGTTTTCACTGCTTGTTATGTTGACTTGATATCTTTTCTTGACTTTTTTTTCCCTTCTATCTTGCATGCTACTTAACTGCGATAGTCCACTTAGTCTCTGCTTTTGTTGCTTTCAACTTACATTCTATTTGTTCGAATATAAATTTCATATTCTTCTAAACGATCTCAGTATAAAGTTATTGCCAAAGAGTATTGTACGCATAAGAATCACTCAACCTCAATTTCGTCGGTGCTTTCGGAGCTTCCTATTCTTACATAGTAGTCTTTGACTGTACTTCCGAGACCTCAAAGTTGACCCATCATATGCCTCATACATCATATCCATCCTCAAATGCCCTGGTCCTCCAAGTTCAACGCTGCCCATTTTCCCGTCCTAGCAGTCATCATGTGCGTGACCAACCTAACTAGGCAGCGCATCCAAGATGTTGATTTCATCTCATTCTTAGATACTTGGGGCGGAACACTTTGGTATGCTCGTTAATCGAACCGTACAGTCTCGACAATCTAAACGCGTTAAGCGCATTTGGCCAATCAAGTGGAACTTAAAAAATCAAGACCATCCATGATAATCCCCACAAGTGAGATTGAAGGGTTTTCAAGTTATTTGCGAGATAAGCTGCGATATTGAATGCTTCTGCCATATAATTTTCCCTTCATTTGAATCCTCGGCTGCCTGTCCTGTAGAAGTTTGGTGTCCTAATGGGATAGTATACTTTCAACACGATTCACTTAGAGAGCGTCTCTGGGCATCATCAAAAATGCGGTGGCAGTTGAGGTAAGAAGATCTACCTGACAGAAGAACATTTGGTACATATGTACGTATACAGAGTAGGTACATATGTACATACTAGTAGATGTAGGTGCCCATGTGTTCCGAATAAGGCAGCAAGGCAGCAAAAATTGATAAGACTGGCATTTCCACGATAACTAGCCTCATCCAAACAACTCTCACATCGACTACATGCAGCCGCTGGTTTTGCCTCCAGGAAGAGGTTTACAGCTGGTGTATAACACCGCTTGCCCGTGATATTTTTACTCGCGAACCCCAATTCTGCCCGTTGGCTGTACAGCGACACCCTCCCCTCCGTCTTTCCATGCGACATCAATATAACGCGCTGCAGTGTTATCTTACTGCAACGATTAGCGTGATCTTCCTTCTTCTCGTACTCACCTGCAACTCGGTCGCCTATGCCGATGCCCCCCATGGCCCGGATACGGAGAATTCCTTAAACCTCCGCGGCGCGGTTACCAGCGACGGAGCGGGACTCCCATTTGTGCTAGACTCGTTCAATGGGCTGGAACTTCGCGACAGCGTCGACGAAGATGGCGAGTCAAATGGCCTAGAGCTCGTACGCAGATACCCTAATAATGCGAAAGCATTGGGCAACAATCAATTCGCGCAGGGTGAGCTCGAGGGCGGCGCTGTCCAATGGTTCTACCTAACCGACACCGTGGTGAACGGCAAACATGACCCCGAAGGCACGGGCCTTCCTGCATACGTGAATGCTACAGTCGAAGATGAGGATGACCCGATCTATGAGCCATGGAAACGAGAAGGGAACTTCTCGAAGCGAGCGATGACGACAGTTTACTTATCGCTCACGACCTGCCAGAAACCCATTACAAACAAAACCAACACACAAGATGGATTCCCGCAGTTGCAGATGTATGTGTCGACTTCGGCAAAACTGCAACAGCCAGGACCGGGCAAAGACAACTCGCAGCAGGATATACACACTGCCGTTGGCGGGTATATGGGATTCACCATTGACGCGGACAGCGACGTCTTCATCGGCGTCGCAGCGCCTAACTCGACCACCTACACGGGAATTTACAAGTACCAGATTGCAGCGTCCATCGATGCCTATTTTCACAATGTGGTGGACGATGAACCGAATTTATTCTTCATCGACGCGGACATATCCGCCGCGCTCCTGGTGACGAACAACCTAACCCAGTCCCTGAGAAACTCCACAAATTACCAGCAATGGATGAATTTGGTCCCTCCATATACCATGTTTGCCCACAACATCAACGATACAGCGCTGGAGGGTTTGGAGAGATCGTTCTGCGCCCTTGATGAGCTTTCGCAGATGGGCCGCATCAGTAATTCAACTGAGGTTGGCATGACTAACCGCGGACTTGGGAACAAACCCAAAGAACAGTTCTATATTACTGGACTCAACCAAAGTTCTTCGTACAGCGGTATTCTGGCCATGGTAGGCAATTCGACTGCGAATGGGAATGGCATCATCGGCGGCGGCGGCAAGGTATGGCAACCGATGAATTTCACGACCAAAGCAGGTGAGCAAGCCCAAACAACCCCTCCAAAAAAACAATCACATCTAACCGCTCTTTAGACGACAACTGCGCCGTGCTATTCAACCTAACCTTCTGCTCGGAAGTCGCATACGCAGTACCCTCAAACCCTGAACTAGGCGTCGGTCAGCTCCGCAAAATCTACGATGACTATGCCGCCGCCTTCTACCAAAATTTCAGCTACTCTCTCCAACAAGTCCAATGCACAACAAACCCAGAATCGATGTTCTCCCTCGCCGTCGACTGCGATGACTGCGCAAGAGCCTACAAACAATGGCTCTGCGGCGTCACAATCCCCGCTGCGCGGACTATAGCAGCGACGCCGACTACCTGGCGGTCCGTAACGCAGGCCAGGCTTTCATCAATGGCTCTTCCCTGCCAGATGACAGTCCACACCGCCAATTGGTAGCATCGAATACATCGCGCAATGCTATCATCGATGAGCAGATCAAGCCCGGTCCCTACAAGGAGATCAAGCCCTGTCAAGATATCTGTCATACCCTTGTTAAGAGTTGTCCGTCTTCACTTGGCTTCGGGTGTCCCGAGGGCCAGTGGCTGAATTCTTCCTACGGCTCTCGGAATGACAAAGGCATTATTACTTGCTCTTATCTTGGGGCTGTGTATTATTTGAATCTCGGGGTGAAGTTGAGTGCTCGGGGTTGGTTGTTTAGTTTGGTGGTTATGGGAGTTGTGTACTTCCTATAAAGCAAGGACCTGTGATTTCCTTTTTGGAGTTAGTTTTACGCCCGATACGCCGTATATAAGAACCGTCCTCATTCCTCTCTCTCATCCCAATTTCTCCTTTTTCCTCATTTACCCTTACCACATTCCGCACTCACACGATCGGAACCCGTCGTCTTATCTGCTCCAAAGACTCCAACTTTACTCGATCTTCGGGATATATCGCTAGATTTCTTACAATAGCCCTTTATCTTCCTCTCCTTTGCCCTGCAATGTGCCAGGCCCACGTCCGGCAACCCTCATTTTCATATACTTCCACACCTACACTCCCCCTACCCACAAGCCTTATAACCGCAAATTCCAACGTGGCAACACAGTACGTTGACCATAGTTAATTTATCTCAGTAAATAGCGAGCTAGAAGGACCTTGTTCGCGCCATCAGAGTACTAACCTTCTTACGGCATATATGTAGTTCGAGACGAAATGCAAATAAATCAAAGAAGTTTTACAGAAGAGAGCGCTGTATACAACTTGGACGATATTCAGCGAAACAACTAGATAAAATGATTATAAGCAGTAAAGCACGAAGTGGACAGGTCAATAAACGAAGAGCTGAATTGACTGATGGCTCGCCGGTAATGAAAGCCTCAATAACGCAAAGGAAACATTAAATTCAATACAAAGAACGAATGCAGTATTTACGTCTGGCAAAGATGTGTACCTTGAGTCGCCTGAATCTCCCTCTTGTCACCTCTAATTTGCGGATATAGGATTTGCGCTTTCTAGTCGTGTGCAGAATCAGATCTAAACGCCATTACCTTTTACCTAAATGCTGTGGGTTCAACGACCAGTTTCTTATGGCCTTCTCGAGATTCCCGTGCATGTACAAAACTACACATTGTATATACATATGTAGACTATGTAGTCTACTACAGCACCCTCGTACCTCAGCCTTACGCACCCATATTTGATGGTACAACCATAACACCTTGCTATGGTTTAGTAAATTATATACGTTTTCCTTATATGTAAATTATCAGCTGGCATTCTCCATGGGAATTATTAAATCATAACTCCCTCTTCTGCAGGAAGTCGCGAAGTATGGAAGACGGACCCGTCCGACACCCCTGCAAGTTCAACCGGTCTCTATATCCCCCGGGGCTATAGGAATTCACGCCGAGTTGAAGCAGCATGTTATATCTAGTGGTAGATGGCGTTATCATACCTACATCCATACATAATGTATGTACATATATGTAGGTAGTCGAAATCCAAGCATGCACCCCCGTCACTAGGAAGACGCAGGTGTAAACTAGAAGGTATCAGCCGTGAGTCGCTCCTTCCCTGGTAGTTGAACTATGTTTGATAGTATACTCGTGATAGGGCTGACCTTGTTGTCGCTATCTATGTCAATGATTTGATGAGACTGCTAGATGAGGTGAATGGTCTTCTCCAGACCGTCTGCCTGGTGAAGATGACCAGTTGCTCGAAGGGGGATATCCCAGACGGGACGAGGATGGATTGGGCTATATGTTGATACTAGGAATTTGAGCTTCTGAAGAGTTTTTGGGGGCGGAAACGCAACTTGATGTTTCCAACAAGACAATGTACTATTTTAAATTATTAAATATTCTAACTAATGGCGTAATACCAAAAAAAAAGTGACGCGAAAACAAGAAACCCGGCTTAGCCTGGAGGGAGGGCGGACTTGAAGGCGGCCAAGGAAGGAAAACTTGCAAAGCCAGCCAAATTAGTTGGGCATACCCCAACGAGGAGCGTTCACGATGATTCCGGTCAGACAACCGGAGATGATACCGGCGCAGGGAAGTGTGATGATCCAGCCCATGTATATCCAGGCGACCATGCGCCAGTTGATTGTGCGCCAAGTACCGTTGCAAAGTCCAACACCGACGGTAGCACCGGTGATACACTGGGTAGTGGAGACGGGGAGCTCTGCAAGCGTGACATGTTAGCGAGGGGCCTTGTAAGGGGAAGGTTCGGGGATAGAGAAAAGATTGACGTACTAAGTCTGGTGGCAATAATGACAGCAATGGCGGCACCGAGTTCCATAGCGAATCCACGAGAGGGAGAGTGCAAGGTAAGACGGTTACCCAGGTTGCTCATGATGTGATAACCGTATGTCCAGATACCGATGGAGATACCAACACCACCAAAGACACTAGAGAATGTGGATTAGTACGGGAGCACCCTAATATCGGAGGAGTGAGACTTACAGAATCCACATGGGGACCTCGGTCTTAGCGCCCTCAAGGGCACCAGATTTCCAGATAGCGTAGATGGTTGCGTAGGGACCAACAGCGCTGGGAACAGTTAGTACATGAGTCAGTAGTAGGTAGGTGAAGTTGGAAAACTCACTTGGCAACATCGTTCGCACCATGGGTGAAAGACGCAGTGCAGGCTGTCAGAACCTGGAGGAAAGAGAACATGTACTCGGCTTCGTTGTCATAGTGTTCAGCATGGGCATGGGTCTTCTCGAGATCGCCAGCAAGTTTGCTGTCACCCTTCTGGGCGCTAACAACGTCTTGCTCGATACCGTTGAGGAGGGCCTTCTTCGCCATCCAGAACAGGACGCGGCCAGAGTACCAGGATCCCTCGGGACGAGGACCACAAATATTGATGACATCAGGATCCCTGGATTCAGTCTCGGTGTGCGGGTTGGTAGTGACCTTGGACTCTCCCTTGAGGTCGGGGGAATCGGGCTCACTAGTGCTGTTGCTACTTCTTTGTTCGACATCAGTGGAACGCTCAACTTGCAGTTCCTCGAGGGTCTTGTGGCCGTGATAGTAGTCACGGACGCTCTTGACATGCGCAGGACGGGGAGGGACTTCACCACGGCGGAGAACAAGAGGGCCGTAGAGCAGATCCCAAGGCTTGAGTTGCCAGTCACCCTTGATGACTCTGCGGTAGATCCAGGGGCAAAGGAAGAAGCCAGAGATAAGAGCCATGCCAGCACCAACACCAACAACAGTTCCAGCGATCTCACCCCCATTGAGGTCAATTCTGCTGCTGCCACCCTTCCAGACAATAAGCACTGTGTCTTGTCAGTATAACCGATACACAAGGATCAGAGTCTTGAGGGAACATACTGGTAAGCAGGGAGCTAGTCACGAGGAAATAGAATGGAATGGTGTACAGCGCCCTGAGGGCGGGGTTGCTCCGCAGCAGGATACCATACTTGGTGATCAAGAAAATGAGCGCACCAGCAACACCAGACATGAGAGGTGCAATAACCCAGGCAAGGAACACCTGGACGACACCAGAGTTAATATCACCTCCCCACCAGATAACATCATCAGCACCGATAAGCGCGATACCCATTCCAAGGATACCGCCGAGAATGGAGTGGGTTGTCGAAACGGGAAGGCCGATCTTGGTACAGAAGGTAAGATAGAGAGAGGAGGCAACCACAGCGCAGCACATGCCAAGCATGAGGAGAGGGGCGTTATCCTTGAAGGCATCGATCTTGATAATCTTGGTACGGATAGTATCAGAAACACTGTTTCCTACACCAACACTGAAAACAAAAGTGAGTACAGGGTCAGGAAGTGGAAAGTAGGTCATAAACTTACGCTCCAGCAAACTCCATGATAGTGGCGAGGATCATAGCTTGCCAGTGCTTTAGCGAACGCGACGAAACAGACGTCGACCAGGAGTTGGCGCAATCATTGGCGCCGATATTCCAGGCATCGAGGAAGGCGAATATTGTGCCAATGGCAAAGATGTAATCGTACTGATGAAGAACCATCTTGGCGATTGTCAGAAAGCAGCAGTTCGCTAGCTTATCCTTTCTGAAAGGGTTCTGAAGGGCTGACGGGATGGAAGGGAAATTAACAGGATAATTCGGACTGGGTCTTTATATATGTGCCAGCTCCAATCCGCGCCAGGACATGAGAGCCCTTGCACTGTAGATACAACGATACAACGATGCAGCATGCCAAGCTGCCAAGCAGCCCAGGCCCGCCGCGCCGCCAAGCAATCGTTCCGGTGTCTGGGCACTGGCCAAAATGGGCCTCCGCCGACGAATCCTGACTTCGTATACAAGAACGTGTCCACCCCATGTAGACAACTCCACACTACCTGCCCATAACTACGCTAAATGTCGGGCGAATTCCTTGGGAAAGGGCAGAAACACGAGATCCTTTCCACGAATGTCCTTCTTCCGACTGGCACACCTGCATTCTCCTCTTGAGGCAGAAACGTGAACTCCTCGATTGGACCCCAGCTGCTATGGCCATACGTTGTAATATGCCCTCGAACTTGGCAGCACAGATGGGCCCTAGCCGGTGCGCCATGTAACCACCTTCCACAAGCTTCGTAGCCTGGTGTTCACCACATCGTGCTGAAACTCAACTTTTTTATTGGCTCGTTTGATTAATCTTCTGACATTGAGCCTTGAATCTGACTTTGACATCTAGCGCACCTCTTAACATCCACCTCTGGTGTCGCGTGGCCACCGTGACCCAGCTCTCTCAGCTCCTTGACTTGTTTCTGGGGGTGTTGGATGTACTCCACTACTGTCTCGAGCAGGTCTGCCTGGCTGAGCAAGTTCCGAATGAGCACATTTGTCTCTCATATCAGGGGATTGGCTGTGCCGATTGCCTCTATACAACATACCTTGGTGCCACCCGTTCGGACATTTCCCGCGCCTCCCATCTTCATTATCCGCTCTATTTGGTCTAGTGCTGCTTTCATCCGATCCCGCTGGCACTTCTGGGCGTCAGCGTGCTGCTTCCTCCGAGTCTCGATTGAATTTGGTCCAATCATGATGACTATCGAGCCTGCTCCAGTGAACTTCTGTTAGCTCTGACATCCCACGCGCATTCAGGGGGTCAACTACCTTTCGGCCGAATCTCGACCAATTGTCGCTTTCTGCCTAGGGATAAGGCGATCTCGTTTGGTTCGCGTCCGTTCGAGTGGGCCGCCCATCCGCATGCACGTGCGCCATTGTTAATGTGTAGTTCCAGCGCCAAGTTTGCTTCTTGATAGCTTGGTTACTGGTTAATGGCTTTTTTAACAGCTCTAGGCCATCAGGCTCGCTGGGTGTGTATATATATTGACCATGTGAATAACTCGGGCTTTAGCCCATGCATGGATCTATGCCGAGCGTTGCGGAAGGAAGAGGAGGTTGTTCAATGGCTTGCTATTGGCTATAGACTGCAAGCACGGACTCCAACATTCGCCCTTCCGAGCATGTGCTTCCTACAAGAGTCGTGCTAGGTATATTTCCGACTGCCAACGAGGTTGGTTTCGCTCCTAGCGGGAATCCTGGCCTCACGTCGATCAGCCGCTTGAGCGGGAAAATATAGCCCATGAGATCAGTATGCCAATTGACTATTATCAAAGTCCCGTTAGTGTATCCTGCATACCCCCTGCGGGGCATTTTCATTCCACGTGGGGATGAACGAGGTGGGCCTGTCGATCCTCACTGCCTACATAATTTCGTATCACATTGATAAACAGCCTTAGATGGATTGATTAACTGTGGATAAACGATGTATTTCATCCACGTAAAAGAGGGAGTTGCTTATATTGCTGACCGCACCCTTTGGCTGCGGATTCTGTTACGAAGTCCTGATCTTGACTAGATTAAGACTCGTTTGTAAAGCTAGAGACATGAATAGTAAATATTTAAATATTTGGTGTGCTAATTGCACCTCTGGACTACATACGGAAACTCTAACCAGAATTAAGCGATAAAAAACCATTGGTGCTCCTTACTGAGGTAGAAGAGACGTAATATGAAATTTGAAAGTAGGCAACGAACTCTTAGTGTGCTAAAACGGGTCATCGTCCCACTTATCATGAGGTATTGATGAGGATCTAGGGATCTATTTATAGGAAATTTTATTATTGAAGGTAGAAAGATAGTAGAATTTACCCCAAGTATAAACTCTATACTCGTAGGTTATATATATATTTCTCTAATATTATATATCAATCACTCAAATTTCCTTCTACCAGGTTTGAAGCGGGATACACATGAGGTGTATGGAGAGAAACTCGTCGACATTCTTTGCCTTAAATATTTGGCGTGTAAAGTAGACAACGGTCTTCCAACAAACGAGGGTCTCCTTGGCATTGAAAAAGAATGGGGTGCTTAAGACCTGGCTGTGTCTGCCAATGTCTTGCACGTGGGGCAGTAGAAACCAATGAATGTACCACAGTGTGCGAAGATCAAAAACGTTTGTAGGTTCAACGTGCGGAGTAGAGAGGTCAGGCAGAGACGATGCAAGGAAGATGCGGAGGCTATCAAGATTGAATTGCCATGAGCCAACAAAGCGGACCAAAGATAGATTGAGGGACGAGTCTCTTTCCTTACATATGCGTGCGATATCTAATTTAGTGGGTATATTTGAGAGTAGAGGATTTGAATCTAGGGACTCTATGCAAGCCCGTCCTAATTACTAATTTCTTTGTAAAAATCTATTCGACTCGATGACTCTCACATCAAGCAAGTATATACATGTACTTCAGGAGAAAATAGAGTCCTCATTTTGCTTAATGCATGAGGTACAAAGTACATCTGATGTACTTCTACCAATGAAAGTGACATCGTGCCATGGCGCTTATATTATGTAGTCTACATGTAGGCTACATCTACGGAGTACTAGTCCCGAGGTCTTCTCACTTCTTTTTTACTTTCTTCTTTCTTTCTCCTATTTCCTGGCACCTCCACTCCCCCCTATCTCTCGAAATACCATAAGTTCTCTCAATTGATAACACAAAATACTCCAAGAAATCAACATGAGCCCATTCGGCACCCTACCTTTCGATGGTTATCTTATAGTAAATTCATTACGCATAGCGCGTAAATGCCTCCTAATTTAGGTCGCTAATATTACTATAGGAAAAATGGGATCCCAATTCTCCCCTTACAAAAACTCAACAATTTCGTGCTCTTGTTGAGTCTTGGACTCGGCTTGGCAAAGCTCGTATTGTAGCCTTAGACCCTACCTTTCTTAGCTATAAATCAAAGCCGATAGAGAAATAGAAATACCCAGATGGTGACTGCTTCCCAAAGAAATCCCTCTATATATGCCTCAAGATCTTATATCAGATGAAGATCGTGCCGTAGATGGTTAGACAACAAGACTACTCTGGATTCGGACGTGGTACAGGCGGAAAGATGATCAGATAAGCCAGGCAGCTCCCCGGGGCCCCGGGGCCCCGGAGCCCGGGCAGATGCTGGATACAATCGTCTCCGTATAGTTGGTGCCAAGAGAAAGAGTGTATCTTTAAGAATAAAGAGGAGTTTGATCCTGATGGTATCACTATGCCTGATGGATATACGAATCTGGATTTTGTGGATGGAATCGCCCACGGGACGTGCTATCTTACATAATCGCAGCGCTAATGCATAGTTAACTAGACCAGGTATGCTTGATGACTTATCGGCTCGCGATTGGCCGGCACTAGATGAGCAAGCAAACACCCAGTCTATTATGGTTGTTGTCGTCAATCGTAAGGCGTGTGAAGAGGGGTGGGTCTCGTTCTTGGCTCCGAACTATAAGGGGGAAGTCCTTTCCTTCAGAGTCCGCGAGAGGGCATCTTGGGTGTCCCAACTGGTTCTTGAATTTATGGAGGGCCAGAGCTTGGAAGAGAATACTGTGGACCCCGATCAGGATGTGGAATGTTACATGCGTGAAAACCCCCATGGCTAGGCTCCTGATAGTGTTCGCTGAATGTATAGCTATTAGAATTACGATGATATATCTGCAAGTTAGTTATCAAAATATGTACCTGCATTCCCTTTAGTATTCAGGATATGTGTGGGCATAGTTCAGCCAGTCGAACGGAATATGAGGAACCCAACCATCATCGTCGGCAACCCAATATGTCTTTGTGCCGCTGAGTTGAGAAGAGATGAAATTCGCAAGATTAGGATTTCCCACTCTAGGGCTGCTAAACGTGTACCTCCTTTATACTTGCAATCACCATTCCAGCTCTTTTCTCTTCGCCAATTTCTCTTCTTTCTTCTCATTCTTCTTCTCATCTTTCAAAACTACCCCGTCTTCAATCCCCCGATCCCCCCATCTCTCCCTCCAAATCCCAATCTCCTGCTTCCACAAATCCCTTACACAGGGATCACACGAGCTCCCACAACAATCACCCAGTCCTGGTGGAGGTGGAGGGTCATTATATTCTCGCTCTCCTGCGCGGAGGAGTTGTTTTGTGCGGGTTTTTGTTAGACGGGTTTTGAAGAGGGTTTTGAAGAGGGGTGTCTCTTCGGGGGTGTAATATGGTTCTGGGGTCGATTCTGTAGTTGAATCTGAGGTTGGGGTTTCAATTGATATTTTAGTTGGACTTTTAGTTGTCTCTTTCTCTTTTTGTTTGTCGTTGCTTGGAGGTATTGTAGTAGTTGGCTCTGGAGAGGTGCCTGAGAACGAAAATGAGGAGAAGAGAGTTGAGAGTATGTTTGCTGGGGAGTAAATTGATGATTTGGATGTGTCTTCCTCTTTCTCTTTCTCCTCTTCGGCCGTTGGTGGCTCTGTTGGTGTAATGATATCTTTGGTCTTGGAGATATTTTCAGATGCAGTAGCAGATGTTGATGCTGATGGAGCAGCCTGAATCTCTGGTGTTTCGATGCTCATTTTGATATAACAGATGTCGAAATCAAATACAAGCAAATTGAATCATACAAAGATAGAGACTAAGTAAGTCTTGAATGGAATCTGTTATCTCGTTAATACATGTAACGTTTGAGCAAAGTTGTATAAAGTAAACCCACGAATCTTGCGTCAACACTAAACACCCAAAGACTTAATTTCAAAAGAGGTATAATCTTGATGGGCATGCCGTTGCAATAAGAAGAACATGGAGGCCGAAGAAGTGCCGAGACCGGGTAGAAACTATTTTCGTGTGGTTCCTGTTCGTTCCGATGTCAATCCACTCTACGTCCAGGGCTCAGTCTACTTTTTATATTGCTTCAACTGCTACTCTTATACACATGTTCATACTTTGCAAAATTTGACTAAAAACTGTTTCACTGGCTTTTGTGATTGTTTCTAAGTATAAAAGATATGGAAATGAAACGCCGTTAAACACTAACAATTCCGTGGTATCATGCAGCTAGAAAATAACAAAAAGTAAAGTCATAAACCACCATCACTTTTGCTTTGGCGTAGGCGTCCAAACATTCCCCGATCCAGACTTCCTTTCTCCAGACCTCGGCGTTCCCCCAACCTGCTGCAACAGCTTCTGCGCTGCAGGCGTAAGCATCTTTCCCTGGCCATATCCTCCACCAGAGACAGAACCCCTGCTAGAGCCAGCCCCGGGCGTAGACCGGGCCCCAAATTCAAACCGAGGACTACTACCAAAGCGCGGCGTCAACGAGACAGGCGTCTTCGTAACACGGGCGGCCTTTTCAGCACGCTTGTTCCGCGCCACACGGTCGACCATGCGGTGATGCAGGGCTTCACGCTTGCGAGTCTCGCCAAGCTGGAAAGGATTTGGCTTTTCAGAGGTCGGCCCGAGAAGGCGCCAGTCGACTTCCATGTCGTCGGGTTTGGAGCTGGAGCCATATGTGAACTCGGGCTCGGGCTCGTCCTCGTCGACAAAGGCGTATCCGTTGACCCTCGGGGTTTCACTTCCTGCGAAGGCGGATGCGGCTTCAGACTCGCTGAGGCGCGGTCGGCCGGCGATGGCGTCTTGGATGGCGGATAGTGAGGGTGAAGGGGGCACGGCGCTGGCGGCGTCTGCTGCTGCTGCCGCGTGTGGGTCTAGGAGTCTGGTATTTTGGTAGAGAGTTCGCTTGAGACCCGCTCTGGACGTTGTTTCTGCTTTCTGCGCGCGAGTCTCGTGGGTATCCTCCACCGAGGAGGGGAGGAACATGAGGGTGTTGTCTGGACGGGTTTTCCACGTGTCTGGATTTGCGGGGCGGGCATCTAGGTCTGTTTTTATGGCAGGCTGGGCATGCTCGTCTCGTTTAGTGAGGCCCATTTCTGGGTTTCCGCCTTGAGCTGTGATGCGCTTGATTTCTTGCTTGTGGTGTGCAATTTGTCGGGCCGAGGGAATTTTGTTCCCGCTCCAAAGCCAGGGATATTTCTCCCGTCGCTTTTGATTCTGCTTGTCGAGGACTTTGTTAAAGGATTCGTTGTCTTCGCTGGTATATTTTTCCTGGAAAGCGACCAGTCCCATATTTGATACATCGGGGATATTCCGGTCTTGTGTTTCGGTGGCTGCCGTGGAAGTTGACACGACCGACATGGGGGTATCGCCTCCCCAGCCATGCGGAGTGTCACCCGGCTGCCCAGATGGGAAATGCTGCGGTGTGCCCGGAACATATGCATAGTCTGACTTTCGTCTTGCATTCGACCCTGGGGTAGGCGTGCGCATGACGTTTGCCAACTTTTTCTTGGAGCTTGCGATCCATGCTTTGTCCTTCGATTCAAGCGCTTCCAGATACTCTTGTTTGATCTGTGTCTCGAGTAAACCCGGAAAGAAGTCGCGGGCAATAATGTGGGACAAAGTGCTGGTGTAGACGTCTTCGTCAAGGACAGTCGCAGGACGTTTAATTCGTTTCGGAGCCGGTGGAGGGGGCATAAGCTGGCCAGCAGATTGCTTGACTAGCTCCTGCGAAGGAGGAGACATCATGTTTGTAGAGCAAAGGGTTGGAGAAAAAATAAGAAAAAGACATGTCCAGGTGAGTTCCAAGGTTGGTGGCGATAAGATTGGATAACAGGTCATATGATTTAAGTCTAACCGCTTTAGGCAGATATACTTCAGATGGCTCGAAGGAAAAAGAAAATGGATATCTTCTCTTTGATTGAGCATGTTGTTTTTAGTAAGGAGCCGCACCATTCTTCTCTGCTTATTTTTATTGAATTCTATACCGCGAAAAAGGCCGATTCGTAGGATTTAATCTAACTGCGACCGCGCCGCGAGTTGAACGGCGATATCACGTGATTCTCACTTTAGACTATACAAATAGTATACAAAAAGTCCGTACGCTCCCACTTTAATTGAGGTTGCGTGGATAAAAAAAAAATCTTGGCTTCTCTTTGATTAAGCGTGTCATTCTTAGTGCAGGGGCCATGCTAATCTTCTCTGTATATTTTCATTTGACCATATGCCCCGAAGGGCGAAAGGTCTATTCGTACAGTGCTATATGACGTCATCTTGCGGCAGAAACTCACCGCCTGTTTATTTGGGCTATATATATGACTTGGCAAAATCAGACCGCCTACTATTTTGGTTGTTTTCGTTGATCTATAGTTCGATTCACGGCCACTACATATTGTATCATATACAAAGGATCGTATGCATAAATGTTTATTGTTCCAATCACTATAATACGCTTGATAGGCCAGGCTTCCTTTTAGAGTTGGTGTATATACAAAGTCTGTCTTCCCTTTTGGTAGTCGGAACCTACCCAACCCTCTCTCTGCCCACGTCCGAAAGACTAACGAAGAGAATGTGCCTACATACATTATGATACAAAAATTATTTCATCGATGGCTATTTATATATACATATCTATGTATCCATGGGTATATCATAGCTACTATTCTGTATATGGGTACATATATATTTGATATAGTTCCAAGGTACATATTAGCCTCATCTTGGTGTTAGGCCTCTTTGGGACTACACACTCATCATATGTACACATACCATAAGTTATAAACTCCTCAGACAATCAGAAACCTCTTCATCCTTTTTACTCTTCTAATCCACTGGTATTTCTTCACTTATCTGCCTTGTTATCATCACCTACATACTATATACATCACGATGTTCGACTCGATGAAAGGAAATGTTCCTAGTTTTGAGGAATCACTCAAGACTATTCTTATGAAGCATCTTCCCTGGCCCCGAGATATGGACCAGTGTCTTGAACCAATCGTTATTAAGTCTCCTACTCCAGAAGTTTCAGGACCAGATTTCCTAGACGACCTTCCTGTTGAGCTTCTGCTATCAATAGCAGATTTTCTTCCACTTGAAGATATTTACTGCTTCTCTCTTTGCAACCAACGACTTCTCGCAATATTCAACCACCGGACGAAACACCGAGACCTGGAACAAAAGACCCGGTTGTCTTTCTTACGTCGGCTCGAACATGATCACCCACGCTACTTGGCTTGCAATGGCTGCTTCATCCTTCATACTGTGGAAGGTATATCAGAGCCCTTTGCACTATCACTCCCGGCACTTCACTACCCGCCTCGCCTTGATTGTGTGCGTGCGTCCGAGTATGTCTCTCAAGATCACTTGTGGATGATTATACACGACCTCAGTATATATACTCATTACCGGTTTCACTTCTCTCACCTTCACCTTGCCATGAAGCGATTCTACTGTGGTCCCCAATATGGGATTAGCACAGATGCCCTGTCTTTCACAGAAGTGACAAATGATTATGTCTGGGGAGACAGAATCTACAGACCGACCACTCTATTCTCGATTGAGGCTCAGATATGCCCTAAGCCACCGAGTCTGTATCTGCGAATCCAGGATATCATGTCAATGAGAAGCAAGAAGTCACTATCCGAGGACAAACAACTCTACGAAGAGTACTTCTTTGATACGGAACAAGAGTACTTTGCAACTTTCCGAGTGTGCAAACACCACTCAGAGTCATTTTGGATGCAGGATATCGCTCAATACAGCGACCGGGCCCATTTGATTCGGAACTGCAACGACTGCAACACCGATTTTGAGATCGAATTGTTTGCAGACCGGCCAGATGGTCATGTCACTATACTGACGACGAGATGGATCAACCTCGGGCCCGGCCTCAGCTTGGATGATCCCCGGTGGAAAGTTAACGCATGGCATGGGCCATGGAGTGAGCCTACAGTTTCGAAACTGGACTCGAAATACATGGCCTCGAGTCCTCGAGACACCTTTGAGGCCCTTGCCCATACCTCGCTTGAGGATTTGACTTCTCGCAATCTCTCCTACCTCAAAAGCGAGAGATACCAAACTGCGATGGTACCGGTCCCCAGGAGTACACCTCCTTCCTGGGCTTTGTGGAACGGGGCAACTGTACCTTGGAATTCTTGGTGATATATGGCCTCGGGTTTAGTAATGGGACAGATGGAGGACAGAACAACAGATGGAAGATGAAAAAAAAAAAAAAAACATGAACATGAACATGTAATAGTTACTGCTCGAAGATGTTGTAAGTAACTTTAATGAAATCGATTGATCTCTACAACAGACAAGACATGAGTACTTGCTTAGCCTGTCGCCTGTATCTCTTTCATATCTTCTAGTTTAGCTGAGCGTAAATAACAGACACAAAGTTGCAAGCCTAAGTTCCCTATGCTAAAGGCGACTTGCTACGGCGATCATCAGCATGTATATTGTATTAGCTTCGCTCAGAGGCATACATCCTCTATCAGAACTTTGATTCAAAGCAGTCAGTCTTACTGATCCTAAAGAAGAAAGGGCAACATCAATACAAAGGACAATAAACTACACATACTCTTCATCTCTACACCTAAACTTGCAAAGTCATGCCAATCAAACCATTGATGGTATTGGAGCCTCGCAGCTCCTCTATAAGAATCAAAGTCTATAACGAGGCAAAAACCAAAAGACTAGCAAATGACCCAAAAACGAATTCCAAAATTCCTCCAAAAAGTTCCTTTTCCTTTTCCTCTTTTTCTCTTTTCCCAAATCGCCCTTCCAAGACACCAGGCCAGTAAAAATCGCTATCGCTGAGAAATGCATCGAGGTGAAAGAATGACCACAGCTGAAACACGCAGAACAGAACGCAAAAAAGACAACAGATATGGCTCACAAGCAAAGACAAGACAAGGAAAACATAAGACAGTGACACAAGGAAAACACAGATCGTAGACTCGTTGAGAGATGGTTGAGGGGTGGGGGAGTTTCTATCGGATGACAAAAGCGAGAGATGTGAGATAGATATGCAAGGGGTTGAAAAAAAAAAATGAAAAAGATCAACACAGAATAGGGGGTTGATGGTAACGATAGTGACACTCAGTGAGCGGTTGTGGGGAAGAGAGAGTAAGATGGTGAGCGAGCTTTCCTCCGGTTCGGATTTCTAGGAGGAACAGGAGGTAGAGGAGCCTCGAATTTTATCGGCAGTGACTCGACCTCGGAAGTGGACTTGGCGCGGTCATGATGCGACACGGTAACATCTGCGCCCTCGAGACTCGTGGTGCTGCCACTCTGGAGAAGGAAGTGAGTCTCGGCGAGACTCTTGGTCTGGCGGTGGTGGGAGGATGACCCAGGGCGGATGAGTGCCTCGCCAGCTGTTATGCGGTCCGTTGGCATGAGCTCGCGGCTGCTGGACAAGCTGTGGATGAGCTCTGGGACGCTGTTTGTCGTCGAGACGGAGGAGCGGTGCTTGCGCACGATAGAAGCAGCGCGAGAGAGCATCAGGCTCTCCTGCGAGTTGCACTTGCTTATTGGGGAGAAGCTGCTGCGGGGGGAGATGGGGCCCATCATGCCCTGCGAGAAGGGGAAATGGCGGTCTGATTCGCCATCAGTCGTCATGTACTCTTCGTACAATGGTTCGTGGGAGAGGTGTTTGCCCATTGATGGGAGGATCGAGGAACTGACGGGATTGAAATAGTCTGCGCCCCGCGCGATGAACTCATGCTCGTAGTCTGTGGTCGAGGGGGTGGCGGCCAAGTGGGAGGGCATCGACTGGGCTGGGCTGGGTTCCAGGTCTGGAGTGGGCAGGGCGGAGGTGCTCAGTGGGCTCGGCTGGAGCTGTCGGGTTCTCGGGGCGAGCCAAGGACCCTCACTGCGGGCAGCGCCGACTTGAGGGCGTGCTTCATCCAGGGATGTGCGAGACCAATCGAAGTTGGAGGTGGACTCGGCTGCATGTTCATAGCAGTAGTCGATGTCTGCATCCCATGAGTCATACAGTTCATCCTCGTATGAGAATTGGTGCAGACTGGCGACCGGCTTAGGTGGTGTGACCTCCACCTGGGCGCGAGGGGTGTCCTGAATATGTTGAGGGAGAGTCGGTGAGCCCAGCGCCTCCGAGAACTTCCTAGAGAGCTCCTCCGCCACATGGATCGACAATGGAGCTTTGTACTCGCTGGTGCTGGGTGACTGGGTATTGACTGGAGGTGGGCTGGTTTGAGAAGTTGAGCGAGAATGGGGGCATCCCACACTGGACTCAGAGCTGTCCCAATACCGGGTTTCTTCCTCTTCTTCGGTTACATCTTCCTCGGGAACATCTTCCAGATCATAATGGCTGCTCATGGACGAGGTCCTAGCGCTTTCATCTGCGGGTTCAGGGCTGAAGAACCGGGTTGGCTGCACTGATTGGAGACACTGTGGGTACGTCATTGCAGTGGACAAGCCCAGGATTTCATCAATGGCACGTGGTGCCGGCTCATCAGTTTCCGGTGGGGGAGTCTCCGGCACAACAGGAGGTGGGGGAGTGGTGGGGCAAGATCGGGGATATCTGGAGACTGGCCGCGAGAAATTCTCGTTGATACGAGATTCTCTGCGTGTGTGGTGCCGGCGTGTGCGTGGAGACGCCGGGGGGCTTACGCTGGGCACATCCACCGTGGTGGCAGTTCCAAGCGAGCGCAGGTCATCCGAGGAGAAATTACAGAAATGAATGTCCTCGGCGCGGATACCCTTCAGATCAGTCTGGGGCCGTTGAGATGCTCGGATAGCCGAGAACTCAGTCACGAGATCATTCTCACGTGTTTGATCCAAGGACTGGAACTGCGAGGGGTTGGTATGAGTCAAGTGGTGGAAATCAAAAGGATCAGAAATGATGCTTTTCAAGCGCTCGCCTAAATCGATTGTCGGGGTCAATTGGGTCCACAATTTCAGTTGTCCAGCAGCTGAGATGGCTGGCACACTTACTGTGATCGGTATGGCGGGCACGACGGCCAAACATCTCTCTCTCGGGCCGGCCCTTCTCACGATCGGCCTCATCTTCCTCATCCAGCGTGGCGACGATATTGATCTTGCTACCTTGTCGGCGCAGAATGCGGCTTCCCCGCGCCAAAAAGGACCGAGAGGGCTTGTCCTGCTTATCGGAGCGGTATCCCAATGACGAGACAGCTCGCTCGTCAGAAGCAATTGAACTATCTGTCGAAGTCATCGAAGAGACGGGTGACCGACGTGAAGAAGTTGAGGTAGTGGTATTGCTTCTTGAACGACCGCTAAAGACGGAGAGACGCTTGGGGCTGTGAGCGTGTGCAGTGGACCTGGAGCGGATATGTGCGGCATGTTCTGGGTACTCGTTGGACGAGTTCGTAGACGGACGGTCACTACCGTCGTCGTTGTCCCAGGCTTTAGCCATGGGGAGTGTAGAGGTCGACATGGTGGGAAATTGAAGGAAAAAGAAACTACACCATGATAAGATGAAATCTGGAGATCTCCGCCGTCTACAACATAAAAGGAGCGAAAGTGGAAAGGAACGGTTCTCAAGTGGAACAGAGCGAGGTCTTGCCGATGATAATAAATTAATAGAATACTCGATGACGGGGGCAATACAAGACACGGAGCAGTGGAGCCGCGTTCAGGGGTATTTATGGTATTTACATTTACATTTCTTTTTCTATTTTCTTTTCTTTTTTTCTTATTTTTTTCCTTCCTTCCTTCTTTCTTTTTTTCCATTATTAGTATATGATGTTATAGCTATAATTCTTCTATATGTGTTATAATTTTTCAGTTTGTGCTATTTGTTATCACTCCTCTTTGTTTGAATTAGAACGGTTACACTATGCACTTAGCCGGCTTGATACTATATATTTTTTTTGTTCTATCATATTCTTATAAACAAAAAAAAAAATACAATATGACACGGGCATACCTAGGTAGTAAGTTGAACCAAGGTACCCTCGAATGTCTCCATGCAACAGAATTCCCAGTATCACGGAGCCGAAAGCCAACTGCCTTGTGTGGCATATTGTATTGAGCCAGGGGGTTGGTTGAACGTGCTGGAGACCCGCGTGTGGGGGAAGGAAGAATAAACTATACTCAATTTGGCAAGTATCCGCGGTCCGATTCGTCCCGTTTTAAATATTCAAATATTTATGTTTAATTTTGATTTGTTGATTTTGATTAGTTTCTATTTATTTTCCCTTCTACTCCGTACACTACTTACTCCATACCCATGGTTCTAAAGGCTCCCAAGGTTTACGGTTAGCTTTGACCCGTGGACACGGGAGGGGAAATACTACGATATATACGCGATCTGTCTTATAATTGTTCTTTACCCCGGTGTAGAGGTACAGTAGCACTTCATACTGCATATTCCTTATACTTGTCATTGGTTATGATTTTGGAATTGAAAGTATCCAATGGCATTATTGAATTGGAACTATTCTATACAAAATAGGTAATTCCTTACATATGGAAAAAGGTATTCCTGGAGATGTTAGGAGCCCAGACTAGAGTGGAGAGAGACAAGCCCTTATCACGATAAGTTGGGGGCGCACACACAGGTGGAAGTCTTTTCCCTCTTTTCCCTTACAATATTCTATATAGGTACATATATATGTATGATACACATTCTCTCTATTTCTATCTACTTCTGATGTATTATTCCAATATTCTAATATTCTTTATGAATCTCTCTGCCTTGCATGAGGCCTGAGACCTATAAACGCCTCTTTCCCCGCGCATAGCGGAGCCTCGGTACAACGGTTTTCATCAAAGGATCCAGCCCTAAAACTGATTCGAGTATTTAGTGAGGAAATGTACTTTATAGGGCTTGGGAGGGAAATAGAGTCCAGTCACAGATCGCAATCTACTCGGGATCCGGCAGTGGGGTCCATAAGTTCATAATAACATTGTATTATAGGAATTATAATGGTATTACTTTGTATAGTAGGCATGTGCTACGCCTACATTGCCTACATCACATTTACTCGGCATTTTTCTCAAGCTCTATAGTTTAACTTGAAACATTGTGAAATAAAAAAGGGCAAGGATCTGAGAGTTCCTGTGATCACTGTACGGGCCTTAGTAAAACCCATCGGGGGCTGCCGGTCTCCTATCTCATGCAAATTGAAAGTGAACTTTGCCAAAAAGCAAAACATATCAAACTTAAAAAATACTTCCTGCCTCGGGGATGTAAGATGAAGCTGAAGAATGTGACTATCCGGAAGTCACCGCTCCCTTACATTTGATCTGTCGGGGGACATTGTCTCAGGGCGGGGTATATCCATTTATGCCTGGTATGTGCATATTACCACCCTTGGAGTAGCACTACATATACAAGAATTGAATTAGTATAATGATATCGATGTAATTCTCTATGCACATGATTACTTTTTATGACTTCTAAGGTTGTCCATTCTAATATTCACTGTCTATCTTAACAGTCAACTTCCTATCTTGTGTGGAAGTGGACCTAAGCCTGCAGCTAGCACGATTCGAAACAAGGGAGAAACAGAAAGTAGAAAAAAAACAAAAAAAAAGGTCTCAATTCTATTTCAGTGTACAATATACCGCTAGTTATAGTGTGTATCGAGAGCGTAAAGTGGACTCCTGACGATCTAGTTGTCTAGAACGTGTAATGAGAACACACTGTTCCTACATTGTACATATTGTATACATATTGTACCTGCGTGTGGCACTTTATTTCTTAATTGGTACTTATCTAGTATTCAATACCCCCGTAAGACCACATACACAGAACTATAGATCTACAATCGTACTATTATCCCCTTCCAGAAGGTCCAAGTAGCACGTTCCCCATCTCCACCGGCTGTTCGCGTCCATGATCGTCATTGACCACCGTACCTGTTTATATAGGCCCAAGCGTTTCTCGGTGTTCTTCCTCAGATCTGCGTCAGGAATACGGAGTACTATATGCCCCGAAATTGAAGTGTCGTCGACTGTCAGATCTCTTTGTTTTTCTTTTTTTTCTTTTTCTTCGTTTTTTTCGTTTTTGCTTTTTTTGGGTGACATTTGTGTTTCAAAACAAAGATGGAGAGGATCAGATAGAGCAGGAGACTCGAATATGATGGAAATTTAATTTCAACATGGATCAAGCCTTCAAAGGATATAAAATTGTGGGTTGATAGTATAATATAGGTGTACTAATAGGGAGTAACCTCGGAGAGTAGTGCGACACTCAAGGTTTGAAGGAACACACATTCTAGAAATGAAGGAAGATGGTAAATATTATTATTATGGTTATTACTATGGTTAATTACTATATTGCTATTATATTATTATAGTTAACTCCGCTCATTCACATGGTTCGCCTACCACGAACACGTTCTAACATATGCTCCCGAGGATCGACAGATCTAATTCCCCTAAAACGAGGCAGTTGAGTTCCCGAGGCTATTTGGTTATTTCCGGCCTGTATCACGGATTCCGCGAAGTCAATTGCAATGTATTCTTCCGTCATTTTCCCGCCTACCTAGTCGCGTAAAACGCGCTATATCATCCTAGACTGAGCACGATCCAACGGTCGCCTATCTAGGTAAAGTGCATATGTATGAGCCCGCGCTGGAACTATTGTGTGGAGAATGGACCAATCTAATATTGTAAACGAGTACGGGGAATCAGTATGGGAGTATAGGGGTGATTGATATCTACCATTGAGGCTGAACCTATCAGACCGTGTGCATTCCATTGTAGATAGGCGCACTGATTGGCAATATTAAATACTACGTACAACAACCCTGATCTAGGATCCTGATGTAACCTGGCATTGACCATTAGACTTTTAAGTACATGATAGGGCATGGCAGGGATTACCTGTTTAGATGGTACGGAGTACAGGGGGCTCCTTTCATGTTGCAAGGCATAGTTGTGATACATGGGCTTCCAAGGGTGAGGTCTTCGGAACGACTAAATAGCGGACAAACAAATGATGGACTATTGGAAATAGTCGATTATCATTCTTCCTTTGTCTACATCATATTCAAAGCATTGGAAAACAGGGAATACACATTGAAATATTGAAAGCTGGTCTTTTGATTGCCACTAAAGTTCATAGATTACGGAGTAGGTAGAAGTGATAAGCCAAATCCATGACGCCAATTCCAAGCTTCTTTGTCTTTCAAATGCAAAAATTGTTGACTTCACTTGATTCTAAGTTGCATGTGAGCTTTGACCTTACGGAGACAAAGGGTGAAATGCTCACAATTTGATCATGAGATCTCGATAGTTCATTCAAAGGCTGAGAAGGCCAAGGATACCCAGGGCAGAGATGCCTCATCATCAGCCTCCTTGTTGTCTCACCAATTCCCCAGAGCGCTTGTCAATCCTGGTGGTCTCCTCATTGAAAGTGATGGCCAGCTTGTAAGCAAGTCATGGTTGCTTCACTTCTCAGGCAACGCCGACGGTCTTTTCACCGACGTTAACAGCAATGTTTAGCTTATCGATGACATCCTACTCGGAGCGCTTGATAACTCCAATGGTATCTGCGCCACCGATATTGATAGCAGCACCAAGTTTGCCAATAAGACTAGAGTCAGAGTCATCATGATCACCACCATCACCACGCTTGATAACTCCGATGGTCTTGTCACCGCCGACATTGATAGCAGCACCAAGCTTGCCAATAAGACTAGAGTCGGAGTCATCATGATCACCACCACCATCACCACGCTTGATAACTCCGATGGTCTTGCCGCCGTTGATATTCAGAGCAGCACCGAGCTTGCCGATAAGACCAGAGCCGGAGTCAGAGTCATCTTGACCACCGCCATCACCACGCTTGATAACACCAAGGGTCTTGTCACCGCCAATGTTAACCGCAATGCCAGTATCACCGATCAGACCATCCTGATTAGGAATGGGGACAGCGAGTGCTGTGACCGCCAAAAGGACGGGAGTGATGAAAGTGTAACGCATTTTGATTTAGGTGCAACCTGGAGTGGTCGTTAAAGAACTGCTTGAGCTGGGCTCTAGTAAGTCTGTACTCACTGATACTAGAAGTGGGTAAGCTGGAACCTGGCTGTCCTTGACTGGGTTTGAAGTGGTTAGAGGGCAAGAAGGAAGACTGGCTAGTGACAGCCCTAGGGAGATTACCAGGTCGTTTAAGTAGCTATTGTACTATCGTACCTGCACTCTGGATAGATGTTTGCGGTATGGTAGCTGACGTGCTACAGGTACTTGACCACCAGCTCGAACTGTGTTTTACTTGGCTGAACAGTGTGAACATGATCCTCGATCTCTCGATCCCTCGATCCCTCGATCCCTCGATCTATGACATATGCGTAGTTGCGATGGAGTGGATGCCCAGTGGGGGTCATGGATTTATAGCAGAAAGACTAGAGGCGGTAATGGCCCTAGTAACTGGCTTTGTGTCCAACACAGAGACATGCCGTGGTAGATACATAGACGATAATAAAATGATAGTGGCGAGAAATGATCCGTCGATTCTAGTTTGTTGACGATCCTTAGCTTCTTTGGGCGGTGAACCCCCAAAACGGCGCCTCCCGTTGATATCATTGATGCCCTCGATCCTACGCTGCTCCTGGAGCTCTCTATGCATGTTTTGCTCTTTTACTTTCGTTTTCTTAAAGCAATTGGTTTTTTTTAATAGAAATTGAGCCACAAGACTAACGTTTTTTCTCTCTAATATACGTCATTTGAAAGCTCAAATGTACTCGTACTGTGTGCACGTCAAGGTCAAAGTTCAAACAGCCCTAATCCACCAAACGAAAACCTCTGGAACCTTCAAGCTTAACGGAAATAAAGTTATATCCCGTCCATCCGTACCTAAGAAGAGCCTGAAGATATCCACATACCGAAACCCTCAGGAGGTTGTCGCAATATTCCTAGAATACGAGGTTTAGAGATTGAGAGGTTTCTTGTCTTTAACCTTGGAAGTCAATTCCCTGGCTCTACGGAATACGAAGGGAAAAAAAAGTACGTTCTGTTGCTTTTCCTGGGTCCCACTGGCTGGGGCGTTGGGTGGTATCCATTTTCCATGTCGATAGAGTGGCTTTGGATGGTGTGTTATGGTCTCCTCTGGCTACGTACTACCATTCTAGGATCTTGAACCTTGATCTGGAATAATTGCGTGTGCAGCCTGGGATTTTAGGGAAAGTACAATTTCAAGGTATCCATGCTTCAGTGATCAGACTCGATATCCAAAGGTAGTAGTGCTCCGTACGGAGTACAGAGTACAGCAATCTTACACTTCAGACACACAGATAAAGGCTCCTGCCAAAAACATGCCCTAATAAACGAGATAGCCCCCAATCCAACGCTGACGCACAATGATACACAGCCCCTCCAGTCCCCAGGCCAGGGCTGCATATTGCATACACCTACCACCATATGCAGCTACATGAGGCACACCTAATGCACTTGTCAAGCAGCTAAACACTTATGGAGTAGCTGCTCAGTAGAGTTAACAGGGATAAATCCAACCAGTAACTACACGTGCAAATCCAACAATTCTGGGGGCTGCGCAAGCCTCGTCTGACATTTATAAGCCATTTACTATGGACGGATTATCTCCAGCGGAAATCCGTTGTGGGGGGAGATTAGAGTCTGACCAGATTCGTTCTACGGAATATGGAGTTACATATTGCTTATAGATTAAATGCATGGGTGTTGCGCTTAGACCTGGCATTGTTCCTTTTTAATTTATTTCTTCCCCTCCCCATCTTCCTTTTTGGAGTTAGCTGCGCAGTGAATTAGGTATTTTCGTTCTTACTGAGGTCCTTCTAGATCTGTAAAGGCCGGTATTTGACCGTTCTATTTGACCGTTCCCTGTGGCGTCGATCCTTGTGGCGTTTGCATACTAGCTTTGCCTTAGTAGGTACGGAGTACCTGGTATGGTATGTATTTTCATTTGTCTCAATGGTTTTGTCTGAACAATGCATAGGGTTGGCTTTTTTTTGGGGGGGGGGTGGGTTTGTTGTAGACTGATAACGATCAAGGCTAATAATTACACACATGGATTGAAGTCCAAGAGAAAGAAATGTGTCAATTGCAGTTCAGATGGCCCCTTCCCAGACGCCTGGATGAGAAAAAAAAAAGGAAAATAGAACTACGAATAGTAACAAAAAAAAGTTATTGTAATATGGCAATTCACTCCTGCATCTCCGTGTCCTCGGTAGTCTTTGAAGGCTCCTCGCCGAACAGTTCATCGTCGTTGTTGTCTCCATTCCCAGACTTCTCGGCTTGCACTTCTGCTTGCACTTCTGCTTGCACTTCTTCTTCTTCTTCTTCTTCTTCCTCCTCATCATCATCATCAGCAATACGGCGAGAGGCATTGCCACGACGGCGCGGCGCAACTTCTTCAGCTGGCTCGTCGTCGTCATCGCCAAACAGATCGTCCTTGTCCTCGCCAGCAGACCCGGCCGCCTCTTCATCATCAGAGTCAACAACCATCTCACTGCTCTTATACTTGCCAGGCTTCTCGGACTTGGCAGCCTGAGCCTTCCCGCCCGGTCGGCGTTCCAGGCGACGCCGCTTCTTGGGCGCCGCCTCGCCCTCGCTCTCGGGACCGCTATGCGCAGCATTGCCTTCATCTTCATCCGCGATGAAATCGTCCCCACCCTTCTTCTTGCGCTTGCTGGTAGTCTTCTTCTTGCGCTTGATCCGGTCACCGGTCTCGGAATCTTGGGTCAATTCAGCGTCCTCGCGAGCGCGTTCCTCTTCAGCGCGCTGCGCGGCATGTCGTTGCACTTCTTCGACCATCTGGGCGCGTTCCTCGGCGATGCGCTTCTTGCGCTCCATCTCGACCTCTTGGGCCTTGCGTAGCTCCTCTTCCCGGATCCGCGCGGCTTCTTCGCGGGCTTCGCGGGCTTGCTGGAGTTTCGCGGCGTTCTTCTCTTCGTACTCCTTCTGGCTCTGCATGGCTCGGTCAAGCTGCTTGCTGATGGTGCGGCCCATGTTGGCTCGCTGCTCCAATGCGGCACTGGGGTAGGGCGGATTCTTCTCCTTGGAAAGACGCTCAAAGGTTTCAATGGCTTCCTTGAGACCGTCTGCTGCCTCTTGGACATCCTGGAGCGTCTTCTGGGTAGGCTGTAGACCGTATGCGAGCGAGGCGATTTGGTTTTGCACGAAAGCAACGTTGAACTGCAGATGAAGTTGATCCGGAGAGACGTCGCGTGCACGTGTGGCGTAGTCTAGTGCTGTCTTCATTGCGGCCAAGTTCGCCTCTTGCTTGCCTCGTAGCCACCATACACGACCAAGACAAGCTAAGATTTGCACATCGCGCTGGCGGTCCTTGGACAATGCAGCCTCGTAGTGTTCGATTGACCGTGAGAATTGGCGGAGCTCAGCGAAGACGTGTCCTAAGTTGAGGTAGACGCTGGGGTCCTTAAGCGTATCGCGAATCTTAGACAAGATTTGCACAGCAGAGCTGTGGTCTTTCTTGTCATCGATAAGGGCAATCGCAATACCCTGTGCCGCATATGCATTCTTGGGGTCTAATTGGAGAGCCTTGTCGAAGAACTCCACAGCACGCTGGTAGATCTTGCGACGCTTTTCCTTCTCTTGATCGGTGTCGCGGCGCATGTCACGGGCGGCAAGGAGATGCACATTGCCCATTCCAGTCAATGCGTAGCGATCATGCTTGTCATAGTACTGCAACGTGTGCTTGAAGTGGCGTTGCTCGCTATCTTCAGCAAGGTTGGCGACTCGTTTCTTTGCCTTGCTAAGATACCATCCGTAAAGCGACCGAACTTCCAGATTTGTGCTGTCCGATTCGTAAAGCTTGCCAATCTTCTTGGGGCCCTCGTCTGTAGGGCTCTGGCGAAGGGCAATGTATGTCAGCCGTGCATTAGCTTCCGTGTAGTCAGCGTGACGCTCCAGAAGACCTTCGTAAACCTTCTTGGCTTCCTCCCACATGTCGGCTGCCTCGTAAGTCCGTCCAAGGTTGTAGCTGATTGTGGTGACAAGCGCGTCGGTATCAGTGCCATCTTCTTTTTCTTTGGATTGCACACATGCGTTGAGTGCAGACTGGAACAAGCCACGAGCCAGAGCAATCTTCTCATTCTGGTACAGGAAGCAGCCCATGTTGTTGAGAAGTTGCGGCGGAAGACTCTCCCTAAGAGCAGTATTCATCTTATCCTGGTCCTCGATATCAGGTCGAGCATCCTCGGGAATTTCGGCAATCTGGATCTGTTCCAATTGGGTCAGGCACTGCATGCTCTTATCTGGAGCCGTGCCCTCGTAGAGACGGGAAAGATAGACAAGAACCGACTCATCGGGAGAGATGTTTTGCTTCTCATCCTTCCACATAGAGCGCACTGACTCAAGCAGAGTGATGGCTCGCTTTGCCTCAGTCGACTTATCTTCCTTGCTGCCTGACTTCTGGGCAGCGAAGACTTCTTCCGCATGAATAGCAGCTAGGAGTGTCATCGCCTCTGGGTTCTTCGATTGCTGAACAATCTTCTCTAGTCGGAACTTGGCACCGTCAAAGTCCTTGTTCGCGATCTGCATTTGCACAGCGCCAAATTTGGCGGGGAGATAGCCCTTGTCGACCCCACCACGGGCTTGATCCGAACGGTTATAGAACTCCGCAGCTCGGGCATCATCGCCTTCGTAGTGCGACTTGCGACCAAGAAGGTACCAGCCGTCACTGGCAATAGACATAACATCTGTGTGTTCGATTGCTTTGCGTGCCAATGTCTCAACGGTGGGATATGACTTGCGGAGAAGGAAGTAGCTGGCGAACATGGAGCAGGTCATCGGGTATTCCTTGTCCAGCTTGAATGCCTTTTGGGTGTATTGAGTCATGGCTAATTTGTACATTGACCCAAACATAGGGTCGGTGGTAGCTCGGCGAGAGCTATCGTGGAGGTAGTAAACTGCGAGCAGGACATTGGCAACCTTGGACTCGGGGTTCTGCATAGCGATAATGGTTAGCTATCTCTGTGTGAGAAAAATGCTCGTGGTTTTTTTTAACATACCAGAGATAGCGATCTCTCCCAAGCTACCTTAGCTTGATCCTTGAAGCCCAGCTGCCACAAGCAGCATCCAAGACCAATGCGAGGATCAGGGTCTGTGAGGTTAGGCATCTTGATCAGAGCCTTTTGGTATCCTTCGAGTGCATCTGCGTATCTTCCCAGCATGTAATGCGCGCGAGCACGTCCCAGAATAGCCATGATGTTCCGGCCACCAAAGGCCTTGGATGACTCGTCGAAACATTTCAGAGCTTGCCGCAGTGACTCAACTCTTTCTGAGGTATCAATCGCACCCGGACGGACTGCACGGGGTGGATATAGTGATGCACGGAGGAGACACAAGACACCACGTGCCAGGAAGAGAGGAGGATAAGCCGGGTTGAGTCGCGAAGCCTCGTTCAATGTCGAAGTCGCGAGTTGGAGGTAGTGATCTTTGGTCTTGGCTTCTGAGTATAGCTCTCCTTCAGGTGCGACTCGAGGAGCGTGTCGGCTCTTCAGGAGCAGCATCCAGCAGATCCAGCCCAGTAGGCCGAGTTTCTCCTTTGTCGATCCATGGGCGACGGAGGCCAAGCCCTTAGTCAAGATGTCGATGGCATGGTCGATCTGCTTTCGCTTGGCGTATGCGAGCGCAATGATCACCCAGAAATTCTTGGCCGCTTTTTCGTTCTCCAAGAGGGTGCAAAGCTCAGTCGGGTCATCGGGGAGCTCTAGCAAACTGACTTCGACTTCACTGTCGAAGCTAGATGCGGGAATGTCGATAGCATCGGGGATGTCGGAAAAACGCAGATTGCTCAATGGGCTCACTGAAGGTATAGCATCACCATTCAGGCCATTGGTTTGGCCATTCTCAAGAGGCGCCATGGTGTGTCCGGGGACGGGAGGGATGAGGCCACTTTATGAGTAGATATGGGATTGTAGGAGCCTCAACTCATGATCAAGCGAGGCGGTCCATCAAAAAAATTTCAGAATTAGAACCGGTGAGGTTAGCGACTCCCGAATTTGGGGGAAACGCGAAAAAGTGACTTCTCGGAGACTAACAGCGCGGCGATGAGAAGGTGAGAATTGAACGATTGGAGTGGCTTGGTCGCACAGCCACAGGCCGCCACACCGCATACAATCAACAAGAAATGCATCCATTCACCTTTTTTCTGACCTATCGAATTATTATTTTATAAAGATTTCTGAATAAAATAGAACAACATAAATGGAGAATATGGCATTCACTAAATCTACTAATGGAATTTATAGGTGTGGTATTCACATCACTGAGCCCAGCTTGTTACAAATTTGCAGAAGAAAGCAAGACCGACTAGCACCACAAAGATAAGACCAAGCTCACTCCAGTGACGCAAGCGAGCATATGACTCGACATACCCAGCTGAAGCAGCAACCTGCTGGCCATCTACTGCATGATCAGCTTTGATCGAGCCGGCCAATTCGGATGGGAAGCGGCCAGTTTCGAAGTACTGATCCATAAGTTGGTCCTTCTCAGCCCAGCGTGCTACCAGCCAGTCCTCAAACTCTTTCTGGTCATCAAGAGGAATTTTTGAGACCTGGAAGCGTCTCCAATGCATGTTAACTGATGTCGGTGGTCGTCCTTGCAAATATGTGGAGCGGAGAGTGAAGTATTTATCAGGATAGCTTCCCTTTCTATAGACCAACTTGTAAGTATCGTCCTAGTAAGTGGAAAAAGGGAGAGATGGGGGGAAACATACGGTGGTCCTTCATAGGCTATGGTGCAGTCATATACCCAGTCTACGGTTCCCCGCAGCTGCTGGAGACAGAAGAACAGCCCTGTAGACCGCGGAAGAATCATGTGTTTGAATGAAGGCAGTCCCTGTTTCTTTGACCAAACATCGCTGCGTCCCTTGGTATTGATAGACAAATTTGTCCCCTCAGGGAAGATTAGCAGCCACATGGGATCGTACTGCGGGCGGGCTGAGTTGGAGCCGGTGTAAACTGTCTTCAGCTTCTCCAAACGATGCTGAAGCCTTGGCTTGTCGGCCATCCACTTGCGAGCCATGAAGATAAAACCGTAGAACATCATGCCAGTGCCCACGAAAGGGATATACTTGAGCGACTCTTTCAGAATGATAAAGATACGACCATGCATTTGATTGGTGTACGCAACCCACCAGAGGTAGACCCAATCAGTGTAAACCTGGTGATTCGAGATCGCGACGAGACGCTCGGGGAACCTGGTTTCCAGCAATCCATCTTTCGATAGATGGATTTGCCCACGCACGCTAGCATCACCACTGACCCGGAAGAGGGTCGGGGAGCTCCATTGGGTGACAGCAGTGAGAACCAGTCCAAAACATTGTTTTGTATATGCCATATACGAATAATAGTAATATCTGTTGATCAGATACAGCGGGGCACCGATTAATTGCGTCGCACAGATCGCCACAATACAGCAATCCACCCATGTTATCAGCAGAAGCGAGCGCAGTAATTGCATGGGAATGCCATGTTTGAGACGGGGTTCGGAAGGTGGTTTGGTTGAGAGCTTTTGAAGCTCCCCGGGATCCTTGGCGGCCGGTGGCTTGCGCTGTCGAACCTCGGCAGCCTCCATGGTGGGGATTTGGAGATGCGGAGATCCCTGTTCTAGGGACTGGGAGCTGGGGTCGAAATTCAAGTATTAGGCTGGAAGCTAGCGAATGCTTCTACAGCTGTACAGAGCCCACACGCAGAAACGGTCCGGTCGGATGCGGAGATAGTGGTAATCGATGGTGTGGGCTCAGAATGTAATAGAAGCTAGACAGAAGCTAGAAGATGAAATAATTTGCCATGTCCTGGGGGAAAGAAGAAAATTATAATGAAAATAGATTGTAGAATCAAAAGGGTTAAGTGTTTGAGAGCTGGATAGTTGGGACAATTGGATAGTTGGAGGGGGAAATTAGGCGGATTTCGTGGATCCCCCGAAAGTGACGGTCACAGCCTCATAACGTCACCTCCAATCGATGTGCAAAGCGAGCTCCTTATTATTTACTGGACAACTCTCCTTTTTTATGATTCGTCTGAGATCCCACTGAGATCCTTACTCTATAAAGCCAACTATTGAGTCAGCTCACCATCAGTTCCTAGCTTGGGCCGAAAGATGTCGTGTTGATGTGAGCGCCAACCCAACTTGAATCCTCCTGATTGGAGTCCTCTTGGCTGATACATATGACCAGTGTCAATAGGCCTACGACCTCCCTTACAACATGCTACGCACTATTTTCCGCAGGAGTCCCCGCCTCGCCTTGCGCCAGCATTTTTCCACGTCTCAACCACGTCACGAGATCAAAGATATCGGTTCTTTGTCTCAGCGCTTAATACCAAAATACCAAGGTGTGGCTGTCCAATTGGGCCTGTTTTATTAGCTCGAAACCTAATGGGTTTTCTCAGAATCCTGTGATGGAGAGTTATTGTGTCTTCAGTGGCCAGCACCGCCACGAAATATCTTCCTTGTGCGCAAGGACTGTGCCCCGGCGGTTACCGATTCTCTGATTGAATTCGTTAAGTACGATCGAGACATGCCCATAGGGACTTGGCATAAGGCTGACATCTATGAGTCATGTTTCCTCTACATACCCATCTATCTCGGTAATTCTGGAGTCAAAGACCGCAGCTGAAGTACATTCGTCGCTCTCTTTTCCCGTTTATTCGGTTTCTCTTGGTGAGAAAACCACCGCACTTCACGATAAAGTTGACCTCACGGTGACTCTGGGTGGTGATGGCACAATTCTACATGCAGCGTCGCTCTTCGCGACCTGCTCAAACGTTCCTCCCGTTCTATCATTCAGTATGGGTACACTGGGCTTCTTGAGTGAGTGGAAGTTTTCTGAATTTAAGCGGGCTTTCCGAGAAGTCTACATGTCTGGAGCTGGGGCAGGGGATCGGACCCCTGTGTTGGAAGATCCTCCGGGGGCGGCACTTACAGAACAGGAAATTGAGATGGGGCCGACCGGATGGTCCTCCGTTCGGGGCAAATCTATGGGCTCTACGCGCGGGGCACGCATTCTGATGCGCAATCGGTTGAAAGTAGGACTGTTTGCTGCCGACGGAACCGAAACGACGCCTATCCGGACCAAGACCGACCAGGGCCAGGGGGTATATGTGATGAATGAGCTACTCATCCACCGTGGCAAGGAACCACACTTGGCTGTGGTAGATGTGTTTGTTGGTGGGCGGTTCCTGACCGAGGCTGTGGCAGATGGAATAATAATTTCAACGCCAACTGGAAGTACAGCCTACAGCCTGAGTAGCGGGGGTAGTATTGTGCATCCACTAGTCCCGTCCATTCTTTTGACGCCGATTTGCGCGCGTAGTCTCAGTTTCCGACCATTGGTTCTCCCATCCAGCACCCCCATCACACTACGGCTAAGCGAAAAGAACCGTGGGCGCGAACTGGAAGTCAGTCTGGACGGAGTTCATTTAGGCCAAGGGATGGGAGTTGGTATGGAGGTCCGAGTTTGGAATGAGGAGATGAGGCATGGGAAGAATGAGTGGCAAGGTGGTGTACCCAGTGTGATGCGAAGAAGTATGGGATGTGAAGCCCATGAGGGATGGGTTGGTGGATTGAATGGATTATTGAAATTCAATCATCCATTTGGAGAGGTATAATTGTATATTATAATGTGTATAATAGTATTCTATATCTATATAATAGTACTATACGGAGTACTTTTCTTTAATGTTTAATGGATATAAGAATAAGACTAATATGATACATATAATAACCTACCTAGAACAAGACTACACCGTACGGAGTAAAATGAGATATATAATATATAGTTATAATAAACTACATACCTATATACACCTAAACATACAACATAATAAAGAATACAAGTATAACATTATATAAAGGAAGACCGTGGATCCCAATCCTCTCATATAAACCAATCTGATTGGCAGAGGCTTGTTTTCTGTAGATGAACTTCTAAAGTACTCTTCCCTATCTCAGGGGACCCCTTTCCTTTCTTCCCCTTCTCCCAACTGTGATTCTTCTTTTTTTGTTCTTTTTTTTACATCTGATATTGTTTTTATTCTTGAGCATCCTCGCAGTGCGAGGACCGCTCTTGATTCTTAACAAAAAAACGGTACACACCCCCATTTCTACCCCTCCTTCGATTCCCTCGATACTACCCTACTCTCCCTTTGTTTTGGGAAATTCGTTTGTTTGGGTGATCACTTTGAAAAAATTAGAAGATCGAGAATCGTTCTGGGAATCATTCTTTTCTTGAATGCAGTTGCTGATTCGCGTCTAGTAACGTTAACTTGTCTTGAGGGCCTCAGGAGGTCTCGGCGCATTCGTTTACCATCCCCTCTCTGCTACCCCCTGCGCGACCTGTGAAATCCCTTGAACAATGGCTTCCTATGGAGGGTACGTAACCATACCATCTTACCCCGAATCTGGGGACTTTTTTTTTACTCACCTTCCAAAGCAACATGTATGCGCCAGAGCAGTTCATGAATCCGGGGCCAGCTCCCCGGCCCCCTACCGACCGACCCCCAAAGTTGACTTTGCCCACCAACAATACAACCACCTCTTTTGGTCAGATGAGCTTGGACTCTCCGATCACACCAGGTCAATCATCCGCAAACCTTTCGCTTTTCCCCAACACCAGTAGCCCTTCGCTGGCTATGTCTCGGAGTAACACCAGTCAAAATGGAATCTCGATCATCAAAGAAGGCACTGTCCGCTGCAAAGAGGACAAATTCTTGGCGACCTGGAATACTCGTTACTTGATTTTGCGCGAATATAAACTCGAATTTTTAAAGAGTGATTCTGGCAAAGTAGTGATTACCTTCCCTTTGTCCTCGGTCACCGCTGTCGCTCGCTCCGAGGATTCCAAGATGGCCTTTGAGGTCACTCGGTTGGCAAACCCGAAGGATGCAAACACCAAAGCCGCACTTCTTGCCCGTGATCTACCCACCAAAACCATCACTTGCGAAGTCAAATCTGATGATGAAATCTATGAGTGGATCGACAAGATTTACGAGCGCTGCCCTGGCATGGGTGGTGTCAGCAACCCGACAAACTTCAGCCACCGTGTCCACGTCGGATTTGACCCAAATACGGGCGCCTTTGTAGGCTTGCCTCCAGAGTGGGAGAAGCTTTTGACATCTTCAGCTATCACAAAGGAAGACTACAAGAAGAACCCTCAGGCCGTCATCGAGGTTCTTGAGTTTTACTCAGATATCAAGATGCGCGAGCAGAACCCGCAATACTACGCTGGAATCAGCCCCCCGCCCAATGGTCAACCCAAGGCATACGGTAATAGTGTTGGGAGCTCCATTGCACCCCCGCGTCCTCCTCCGCCAGGGCCTATGCAGCGCCTTGATAGCACCCAGTCGAAACAATCTGACGGCTCTATGCGCTCTGCGTCATCTTCAATCGGACAGGCAGACCGTGCGACAGACCACCAGCAGCAAGTTGAACGGATGAAAGAAATGGCCGACCAAGAGCGTCGTCGCGTAGAGGAGGAACGTCGTGCCAAGGAGGAGCAAGATGCTTACAATGCATCCATCCCGAAGGGCCGTACTCCTATGGCTCAACAGGAGCTTGGTGGATATGGCGGCGACGAGCCGTCACAGAATAGCCGTTATCAACCAAGCCGGCCGGCCCCTCAGGCTCCAGGATCTACTGCTCGCCAGCAAGACCCTCGGCAGCTCACCGCACAACGTCCCGCACCGGCACCACCGTCGCAGAGTCCTTATGGACAAAGCACCCCCCGAGCACCAGCTGCTCTCCGTACCGATGACCGCCAGGGCTCTCCAAGTTCTCGCTATCCTCCCAATGACCCTCGGGCCCCAGGCTCAGCCAACCGCCCTCAGCAAAACGGTTCCAAAGGACAGGCTGGGCCCCCTCCGACACGCCTGCCGGCCCCCGTTCAAGCTGTGAAGCCGCTGAACATTGCCAACAAGCAAAACGGGAATAAGCAGACCGTTCCCGATGGCGTCCGCCAAGCCGAGGCTGCTCTTACGAAGAAGACAAATCAGCCACGCCAGAAGGAGGTGCGCATGTCAGCCATGTCAGAGAACGAGGTCATGGAACGACTGAGGTCCGTCGTGTCCAAGGACAATCCGAATGAGTCTTACAGCAAGCAGCGTAAGATTGGGCAGGGTGCATCTGGATCCGTGTATGTGGCGCGGGTTAAGGAAAACCCACCTTCAGGTGTTGCCCACGAGCTTTTCCGGACATATGGCCCACGCTGCCAGGTGGCCATCAAGCAGATGGACTTACGCAGCCAACCCCGAAAGGAGTTGATCGTCAACGAGATTATCGTCATGAAGGACAGCCAGCACCCGAATATTGTGAACTTCCTCGACTCATTCTTGCAGGAATCAAGCAATGAACTTTGGGTTGTCATGGAGTTCATGGAGGGCGGTGCGTTGACTGATGTGATTGACAATAACCCAGTAATTAGTGAAGGTCAGATCGCAACAATTTGTACTGAGGTATGCTTTCATCCAATAGTTGTTTTAATCCCATTACTAACGCTTTACCAAAAAGACTTGCAAGGGCCTCGCCCATCTGCACAACCAGAGCATCATCCACCGTGATATCAAGAGTGACAACGTCCTTCTCGACCGTGTTGGCCACGTCAAGATTACTGATTTCGGCTTCTGCGCCAAGCTGACCGAACACAAGAGTAAGCGTGCCACCATGGTCGGCACCCCTTACTGGATGGCACCCGAAGTTGTCAAGCAGAAGGAGTACGGCCCCAAGGTTGACTGTTGGTCGCTGGGTATTATGGCTATCGAAATGATTGAGTCCGAGCCTCCCTACCTGAATGAAGAGCCCCTGAAGGCGCTCTATCTTATTGCCACCAACGGAACCCCCCGTCTCAAGAAGCCCGAGAAACTCAGCAAGGAGCTCAAGTCTTTCCTGAGCGTTTGCCTATGCGTCGATGTCCACAGCCGCGCTTCCGCCGACGAGCTTCTCGCCCACGAATTCCTGCAGACTGGATGCAGTCTGGCTAGTCTGGCTGAGCTGCTCCTCTGGAAGAAATCTACAAACTAGTAACGAACCGAGGTTTCTGTTCTGCTCTTCATTACCATCTGGGTCCCATTTACGCATATTCGTTTAGAGGTCCATGTTCCACTCTCATCCTTGCACGAATCACTCTGTCCCCATGTGCTTCTTTCTCCCTCTCCTTTACTGCACTCTTCGTTGGAGATATCATTGCCGCTCTGCTCTCCTTACTTATCATACACAACCCTGGGCGTGGATAATCTGGCGTTTTATCTGTTTTTCTTTTTCCGCATTCCAATTTCCCTTCAATGCTTGCACAAAAACACATACCATGTCCCCCTCCTATGACGTTCACGATTTGCAAATTACACTGTATTATGTGTCCTTGCACAAAAGCGAAGAATAGTTTAGCATCCAATGTGACTCGACTCGGTTTCTTTATCAAGAAGAATCGGCGTGCACTACGATCGGTGTATGTAACCTTGGGCTCTTTGTGCCATGTTCAGGTACCCAGCCAGTCGTCCAAAAGGATACCAAACAAATGCATGTCTTCATATAACCTTATAAATTCGATTCTATACATGGTTGATAACTTATCTGACTCGAATTTATGAGACAATATACTTAGGGCTTGGGGGAATCTAGATGTCCGGCTGGCTACATACATATGTAGAGATTATATGAGAGAGGTCACATTTCAGATACCACTCTGACGCCATTTTTCACTATCTTTTCAATATATTTTATTCCTCTACTCCGTACAGTGTGATAGCAAGATCGACAGGACGCAAACATCAAATAAGATCTAATATATCATTGACAAGCGTAAAACTAGTATATAACAATTCATACATTCAGCACAAAAGAAACCAACTCCCAATCCAAGAGAAAAAGAAATCAAGGCAACTCCTCTCTCACAGCCCTCCCCAATCCCCCACAAGCCTCACTAAACAAAATCCCAATAAGAACACTCTCCCCCTCAGAAGCCGTCCAACGTCCCGCATCTACAAGCCTCTGCTTCCAAACACTCTGCTCAGATGCAGAAAGATCCTTCCAAGCTTTCAATTTCTCCTCCTCGGACTGCTCAGAATCATTTGCAGACACAGACGCAGCAGTCTCAACAATCACGCTCTGCTCGGCGTTTTGTCCTTCACCGCACCGCACGATGACAGAGACGGACTGCGGCGCGACAGGTTCCAGATCAGCTGGTGCGGCGCCGGCGCGGTGTACGCGGTCCAGGATTTCGCGGAGGGATTCGATCTGCGAGTCTGTGGGTGTAATGGTCGCCACTGGGATATCGGTATCACTGCCGCTTTCATGGGGTGCAAGAAGTGTATCGAAATACGTCAGCTTATCCCGTGGGGGGAGGACGTATTCCCGTGCAATAGCTCCGCGGATACTATCTGGGAGCCACTCTTTGGCGCCAAGGACAGGCGGGGTTCCGCCGCGGATTTCGGAGAAGGCAAGCATTGCGAGACAGATTGCGGATATGGAGAATAGTAGGACGATGATGCTGTAGACTAGTTCCCAGATCTCGGCGGGGCCCGGGGTGACGAGGACGTAGCGTGGGGTGCGGGAGGATGCTGGGAAGGGGGATAGTGGGAATGTGTGTACAACAACTGTGTTGCCCATGCTAACAGAGGCGAGCTTTATGTTCTGTGGGCCGACGTCTGAGGTTACTGGGTTTGGGGGCGCGATGAAGGTTGAGAAGGTGAGTTTTGTCATTGAGAAAGGATGCACATCGCGGAGGGTAGTGTAGGGGCGGAAGTTGCTGTAGCCGCGGTTTGGTCCATAATCCAGGGTAAATAGAGGGATGGAGTTGTCACTGCCGCTGACTGCTATCACGGTTTGTTGTTGACCTTGCGGATTTGTTCCGAGTTGGCAGATATCGAGTCCTAGGCCGATCTTCACGGTTCCGGGGAGCTTGCGATGTCGTAGAATTTTGGACTTGCCCGATTTGCCGCTGGGGATTTGAAGGAGGACGAGTGAGCTGCCGCTGCGGTTTGGGGCGTTTTGGAGGAGAAGCAGGACTCTAGGCGAGAGGAATCGCAGTGCGCGGAACTTAGGCCGTGCCGTGCGGGCTCCGCTAGCGGGCAGAGGAATGGTATAAACAGAGCGGACCTCGGGGGAGCTGTTGGAGCGGTTAGAGGACGATATCTCGCCTACCATGACGTCTGGGCCGTTGGTATATGCCACAAGGAACCGGCCGCGTGCATCGTCGGTCTTTTCTAAGTCGTGTTCGAGGCTGACAAAGTCCAGATCCTCGGCCTCTTCATTACCACTTAATTGGATGCGGCCAATGATATCCTTCTCGCCGGGAGTCTCTGTGACGCGGAAGAACACAATCTCGCCGGATGGTGCGAGTCCCGTCGCAACGGCTCCGATCCGCGTGTGCTTCTCATTGCTATCCTGCCCTTTCGGCCACGGCGAAAGTCTCGTCACTCGCTGGTATGTATCTGAAGCGCCTGGCCTGCTCTTCGTTCGGAAGAGTGATGCTTGCGATAAAGCTGTAGCCTTCCCGGGCATAACCACTTCCTCGGACTTGGTGCCTTTTTTCGCCTTCTCGTCCTTCGCGCTGCCTTCCGCGCTTTGTATCTTCGAAGCAGTAGCAGCGGTGGTCTTCCGCGGCACCTCAAACCGGAATGCGCGAAGATGTTGATTGTTATTCTTTTTCTGTTGCTCTACAGAGCTATTTATACCGGCCAGAGCAACAAGCGAGTCCACCTCGTCGCCAGCCAGCGGGGCCGCAGCCAGGGATGTTACTGAATCTTCATCGCGCGATAGCTTTAAATCAACGGTCTCAGTAATCTTGTCACGGCGAGATGTGTCAATCAGAGACTATACAGAAAACAACAATTAGCATTTTCATGTTTAGACAGGGTGTTTTCTCGAAATGGTGGGACTTGCGATCTTGTTTCCAACTCCGCTGCGCCCTTCGCCACCTCCGCCGCCGACTAGCAGTCGACCGTTGTTGCGCGGGTCAAATTCCGCAGCGAAGAGCGGACATGAGAGTGTCAATTTGGCGGAGTGTACTGTGGGAGCCATTGTTGTTGACAAAGTAGAGTGGTAAGAGGACAGATGACGGAGGTCCCCCGGATTCTTGGCACGGTGGCCCGGATCTGGCTGGGCATGCCATGCCTGGTTAGCGTGATGAATGAAAACTATATTGTATGGATCTGCGATGCGACTGTTCTACCTGTTCTACTTTAATTGATATTGGAACAATACGAAACTAAAAAAAAGTAAATAGTATTTTATCATGCATTCTAAGCATTCTAAGCCTCGATTTCCTGGGAAGTGAATTCGGGCAGGCGCTTGCGGATATCCTCCCATGTCTCGTCGCCCTCAACAAGCGACTTGACAGCCTGGAGGATATCCTCCTCACTGGCACGGACCTGCTTGGTGCTATCGCGGTCGCGCAGGGTAAAGGTGTTGTCCTGAACGGACTGGAAATCCACAGTGATACCGAAGGGTGTGCCCAGCTCGTCGTTGCGGGAGTAACGCTTGCCGATACTGGCAGAAGAGTCATCGACACGGTTGGAGACACCGGCCTTGCGCAGCTTCGCGGTCAGACGCTGGGTCAGAGGCTTGAAAGAGGCATGGGTGGAAAGGGGAACCAGCAGGACCTTTGTGGGGGCAACAGCAGGAGGGAAAGAAAGGACCTATAGAGTATCGTCAGTACCAACATTCATGCCAAAAAAAGAGAGAAAGGAAAACTTACGCCACGAGTCTCGTCACCGGCGCGAGACCAGTAGGAGTGCTCAATAATACTGTACAGAATACGTCCAATACCGAAGGAGGGTTCGATCACGTTGGGGGTGTACTCGCGGACATTCTCAACACGAGTACGCTTCTCAATCTTGATCAGGTCCTTCTCGATCTCAACCTTGCCAGATCCAACACCCTCAACATCAACCTCAATCTTGCCATCCTTCTCGAGATCAAGAGACAGCTTCTCGCGCAGCTCCTGGGACAGGGCCTCAATAGCTGTCTCGACGGTCTTGGCGTCCTTTTGAATCGGGGACCGAACTTCTTCTTCTCGAGGTTAATCTGGTACTCCTCGATACGCAGAGGCTCGGCACGGGCCTGGCGCACCACGAGAGGGGCACCGGTCTTTTCCTTGTGGACAGTCAGATCGTAAGCGGAGCGGTCAGCGCAACCGACACACTCGATCCAACCGTAGCTGGTGTGCAACTCGGCATCCCAGCAGTCAGTAGCGTAGTGAGCCATCTCATTGGCCATGTGCTGACGGAAGCGCAGCTTGGTGGGGTCAACACCCAGCTTCAACAGGAAGGACTGAATGCGGGCCAAGAAATAGCCCAGAGTCTCGTTATCGACCAGTCCAGTCTCAACAGCCTCGCCGATGGTCATCTTGGTCAGCTGGGTGCTTCCGGACAGCTGCACGTTACGGTTGAGCAAGGACATCTCAGTATCCTTGACCTCATGGAAGCGAGCGTGCTTCTTGCCACCCTCTGGGTCGACGTAGTGCTCAATCTCAGCCATGAGGAACTCGCGCACACGCAGGAGTCCCGCACGCGGGGAAATCTCGTTACGGAATGACTTGCCAATGGAGGCAGAGGCGAATGGCATCGACTGCTGGTTGAACTCCAGGAGCTTAGCGAAGTTCAGGAATTGACCCTGGGCGGTCTCGGGACGCAGGTAGCCAGGCATGTTGGCGCTGGGGCCAATAGAGGTCTGGAACATGAGGTTGAAAGAGACCGGAGGCAGCACCTCACCGCCAGTGATGGGGTTACGGATGTCATGCTTCTTGATGAGCTGCTCCAACTCGGGGCCACCGAAGTTGTCGATCTGTGCGAGGGTCTCCTCGTACTCCTTGACCAGGGCATCGTCCAGCTTCTTAGCCTCAGTGCCCTTGGCCTTTCTCTTCTTCTTGGCCTCCTTCTCCTCGTCCACCACAACCTTCTCGCCACGCGCCTGCTTGTCTCCCTTAAGACGGGCCTCGAGCACTTCCTCAACCAAGTGATCGGCACGGAAGATCTCGCCAGTCTTGGGGTCCTTGCACATCCAGTCGGCGAACTTATCCACATGCCCACTGGTCTTGAGGATCTCGTGGGGGGTCAACATGGTGGTGTCGACCTCGAGCATATCCTCCTCGAGCACGAAGTGCTTGCGCCACAGGTCGGTCATGTTGGCGATCAGGGCGGTTCCAGGTGGACCATAGTCATACAGACCAGACACACCACCGTAAATTTCGAAGGAGGGGGTGTAGAACATGCGGCGGCGGAGCATGGAGTCCAGCACCGTGCGGTCGACGGACTGGCCAGTCTTGGTGTTGACGGTGGCCATCTTTGCGTTTCGTTTAGAGGTCTTCGGGGGAGGGGTGTAGGTCCTAAACTGAGTCCGAAAGAAAGACGGAGGGGAAAGAAAAGAGCGGGGGGGGAATCGCAGACGCGGCAATTGAGTCATCCACTACGCAGCCCCTCAGACACCACCGAGAGGACAAAAGATAATGAGTATAGAACGAGAGAGAGCAATCAATTGGCTCGGTATTTTTCTTTTTCTTTTTATTTATTTTCCTTCAAAAGGAGGTCCCCAAGTCACAAGGGTCGAATCGCAGATTGTCGCTCCGGGGAAACAATTGTCCGAGATAATTTATTTCTCGGCGATCTTTACATTTTCCATTGACCTTCAACAGCAGCACTCTACCCTCTCAGCTTTCAAAAATGGGTCCCATCGGCCGATCAGGACCGCCTCCGGGCGTTATGGGTGATATTAAAACCGGCAACAAGATACGCCGGAAGATGAACCATGTCAAGCGCAAGAGAGCCAAAGATGCTGCGCGCCGAGAGGAGCGCTACGCTTTCAAGAAAGAAGAATCCAAGAATCCCCAGTTGAAGGAAGAACGACTTCGCCGCAACATTCCTCTGACCCTCGAGCGGAAACGTGTCTGGAACGAACCCGACAACGACACCGATGAAACCGGCCTGGGATTGAGTGTTGACGTTGAGCGCATCAAGCGCGCCAAGAAAGAAGAAGATGACGAGCTCAATCGGCCATTGGAAGAGGGCGAGGATGACAGTGAGGCTCCGGAGTCCGACAATGAGTCAGTCGACAGTATGCTCGAATCAGACAACAGTGAAGATGAGGATGAGGATGAGGAAAAAGCCGACGACGAAAAAGCCAGCCGTGGCCGGAAGAAGTCCACTCTCCCAAACCCGACAGAGCGTGCCACAAGTCCTACCCAGTCCACACGGAGCACAAACCTCAGCCTTGCTCCTGAAGCATTGGCCGCCAAATTCCCTACACTCTTCACCGAGGGACCCCCACCCACCCCGAAAATCCTTATCACCACCGGCCTCAACTCTACCCTCCACGACCAAGCCGAGACCCTGACCGATATCTTCCCGAACAGCGTGTATATCCGACGTAACGCACACCGGTACTCGCACAAGTTCTCAGTCCGCGAGATTTCCAAATTCGCCGCAAACCGTAATTTCACGACCGTCGTCGTATTGAATGAGGACCAGAAGAAGCCCTCTGGGTTAACGATAGTGCACTTGCCAGTCGGCCCGACTTTCCACTTCTCCATTAGCAACTGGATCGAAGGGAAGCGCCTTCCAGGGCACGGCAAAGCCACCGATCACTGGCCCGAACTGATCCTCAACAACTTCCGTACCCCTCTCGGTCTTCTGACTGCGCATTTGTTCCGCTCACTCTTCCCGCCTCAGCCAGAGTTCGAGGGCCGACAGGTTGTCACTTTGCACAATCAGCGTGATTACATCTTCGTCCGTCGTCACCGCTATGTCTTCCGTGAGAAACGTGAGACTGAGAAGGCTGTCGTTGGTGCTGACGGCAAGGAAATGGTGGGTGCCGAAGGTATCCGCACCGGTCTACAGGAACTTGGACCTCGTTTCACATTGAAGTTGCGTCGTGTTGATAAGGGCATCCAGCGTGCCAGTGGCCAGGAGTGGGAATGGAAGGGTGGAATGGAGAAGACGAGAACTCTCTTCCAACTGTAAATGTCTCTTTATGTTGTTATTTTGTTATTCTTGGTTTTGCATGGGGTTCAAGGGGAGTTATATCCAAAAGCTTGTCTGGTTTCATTGCAATGGACAAAATTTACGTATCCTACAAACCTCCATGGACATTTATACTCTGTAGGCTATAGAGGCTGCGCCTGTTCCTAGATTAGTTACTTATACAAAGACATTCGTTGGCTCTTCATCTCCAAGACACTAATATAAGTAGTCGTCAAGTAAGCAACCTTGCCAACCTTGGAAGTAAGAAAGTCCCTCCTAAAACGTACAACGAGGCTGATAATATTCTGTCATATGATAGGCTAACGTATCCTTTTTTGATTCATTCAAGTCCGCTGCGTCTATCTTAATGATCAATTAGACACATTTGGTGCATTCAGCCATTGACCAACCGTTGCCGAAATTGGGACATCGAGCGATGTCCTTAGCATACGAACAAATGCCATTAAAGTAGTTCGAGTAAAAGAACGCTTCGCGGTCAAGATCGGATATGCAATTCCCCCTTTAGAAGCAGAGAATACGGCGTTCGTTGCAGCCAACAGCAAGCTTTCTGTGTCGAAGGTTTACGCCAACTTTGTCGACCCAGAAAAGATACATCGTTATGGATTTTATCCTATGTAGGGACCGACTTGTTACTACCATCGCTCACACCAGTCAAGAAGACGATGGTCAGCTAGCAGATCAGAGAAGCTCTTACCGAACTACTAACAATACCACCACCAGGGTGCCTTGGAAACTTGAATAGCACGCCTTATATCAATGGTGTTCTATCAACGCCAGATAACAACCCAAGTGTTTCTGGGCTATTCCAGGACTAAGAACAGATACATCAAGGAATACTAGATAAGCTAGGCCAAACACAGTCATCGCACTACATTCGTTTATTGAGAGAAATAGTCAATCGCACCCTTAAGAACCACCGAACTGTTTTTCCCCATAGAGATCTGCAGCCAAAGAACATAGTCGTAGAGCGAAGAGAGATCTGTGGTAATGGAGGTGCATACTTCAAAAGTGACTCTTATTGACTGGAATTTGTCGGGCTAATACCCTGAGTTTTGGGATTTTTGCAATTCAGCGTTGTCTTGTCAAATGAAATACCTGTTGGAATATCTCATGATGCATGTTGTTCACTTGTTGGTCTTTTACTAGTGATACATTATCTCCGCTGAAATCTGGACAAATCTGCCTGTGAGATAATGTCAACTCTTTTCATCCTGGGATATGGGAGCAGGAAAGCCGCCTAAAACAGTAAATTTGCTAGCAGTGTTGATTGCATTGGCCCCAGGGCGGGACACCTGTCGTACATTTGTGTTGCTATTCCGGTTTTGCATAGGTTTAGAGGGCAATTCATAAAATTCACGTACGTACAAACTTCCATTCATACTCAGTTATTCCTCTGACCAATTTAGCTCCCTAATCTACCAAGTAACGGTCTTCGAACGCTCGATAGCCGCCCTGGTCACTTCATCAATATCCTCCTTCGGCAAGCCAAGCAAGCTATTCAGTGTGCCCTTGGACTCGAAGTTGCCAGCACCATCATCAAAGAAGATCCGCGTATACAGCATCTTCACAAATCCAATGCGGTCACCCTGATGCATCTCCTTCAAACCATTCTCATACCTCTCCTTAGCCGATTCTTTTGTGATAGTCCAGTCCTGTTCTGTGATCCCGGTGACCCTAAAAACAGACTCCAGCATATCTATCTGGCTAACAGTGAAAGAATCAACATATACAATCTGATTCTTCAAGTTCTCAAGGCAAGCCCCGCCGTTCCCTTCGGCCTTGATTGGCATGCTACAAAGACTAGCAACAGTTCGGCCAACCTGAGGCCAGGTTGAAGTTGAGATCTTGGTCTTTCCCTCGTCAAATAATGTAACAGTGCGATTGGCAAAGTCTATTCCGAAGGCTGATGGAATGGCCAGGCTCCATTCGTACCAGAAGCCCGTGTTGACTGCAATGTAGGAGCTTTTGCCTAGATCAGTGATCGCTTTGCGAATCGGTCCTATGGATACAATAATATTGTCAGAGGACCTTCCATGCTAACTGCAGTTACACTGGGATTCGCTGCTCACCCTTCGATTGAAACACCACCAGATCTTGAGCCAGATCCTCGTTCGCGGTATCGGGTGCCCATTCATTCGGGAAAATCCAAGGTACACCGGCGTCACCAGCGGCTTTGATGAGCATCATATCAATTTCCGGTGGTGCATACCCATTCAATGCAATTATCAGTGCATCCTGGCCCTTGAGGGCCTCCACAATAGTCTCCAGCTTACTATAGTCGACTGGCTTGACGATCACGCCGTCTGGCAGCTTGCTCTGGCCACCAGCCCGGGTGATGGCTGTGATAGTATGTCTGCCAGTCTTGAGCAGGGCGTCGGTCATAATACCACCGCTATTACCGCTGGCCTATTGTGGTTGTTAGCTGGTGTTTTATAGATGGGTAAATTATGTCGCTTACTCCGGCGATAGCAACGTTGATGATGTAGTTTGAAGCCATTGGTACTTGCGCGATTAAATTTTTTCTTGTATGAAAATAGATATTATAGCAGTCTTGTTCTCTTTGGATAGAATTGCAGAGATTGTACTGAGGATGTTCTTTTATCCTATAGATATTCGGGGCTCCGGAGGGCGAGACGGAGATAATGTAGTTAACACCGTTAGTAAATTTCTTATTCAAAACAAAAGATTCCCGTATCATTGGGGGCGATTCTTGCAGGAGTAGCTGTGGTATGTCTGAATAAATCCTTTGGAATGTTCTACTATCAGTTGGTTCTAGAAATACTTCGCTATAAGCCCTATTCTACGACAGAATCAACACTAATGCGTCTATGAGATTTATTTTTTTTCATGTCGCATCATCGGTGACATAGAGCTTCAGTTTGTTGTTAAAAGCTTTGTATACGGATTGAGATGTACTGACTCGCAAACACTAATGCAATTAAAATCAATATTCTACATGTAACAAGGAGAACACTATATGTGCTGGCCCATTGCATTGAATTGATTTACTAGATAAGGATTTGAAACGGCTTTGGTTACAAGGACCAAACTATCAAAGCCCTATGTTGTAGTCCTTAAAACCAGAGGCCGAAGAAGAGTATAAACATGGAGATAAGCAATTCCTTAACCCCGATATCAGCCAAGTCACGAGACGATCTCCCGTACCTGAACCAATGGCAATAGAGAGAAAAAAAAAGAATACAATACATGTTGAACAAAGTACAAAGTACACAAAACGTCATCTCCTCCCTACAAATATGGAGATACTCCCCCGCCGTCTCCTCTTCATAGCCTCAATAGGGAATCCAGCCCCCTACCAAAACACCCGACACAGCGCCGGCCACCTCCTCCTCGACGCCTTAAAACCCCTCCTCGAAACCGCCCTCCCAAACACAGGCCTCTACCACGAGACATGGAAAAGTCCATCCTACATGAACGTAACAGGCCCGAACCTCGTGCGCCGACTAGAACAATGGGCAACAGAGCGAGCCAACCGTCTTGAAAGAATCGCGAACGTCGCCGCAACTCGCTCGTCTTCATCAACTCCAAACCTCCCCGCACAAACCACATACCCAACAACCCTCGTTATCCTCCATGATGAACTCTCCATCGCCTTAGGAAAGGTGCGCGTCGTACGCGGCGGTCCTGAGGCATTTAGTTTGCGAGGCCATCGCGGTCTTATCAGTATCTGTGAGACACTGCGCAAGAAAGGGTTGTATCCACGCTCTGCGGCGAGTAAGAGTGCTTCCGGGCCGTTGGCGGATCTGTCGATATTGCGCGTGGGTCTCGGTATCGGCCGTCCGACGTCACATGAGACGGGTGCTGTTTCGGATTATGTGCTGAAGGCTGTTACTGATAAGGAGCTAAAGGCTTATCATGCCGCGGCGATGCCTGTGGTGGATACTATTCGGGAGGAGCTTTACAGACCTGCGGGGAAGGTCTGATATTGATCTTTGGTGATGTGTATGTATAGTGTGGATTTTTTTGGAGTACAATAGAAATTATGCCCCCTCCCCCATCATGATTGTTGCTTTATGTGATTTCTTCATATTCGCAGGCGAAGGCATGGAACGTTGAATTGAAGAAAGCGATGAAGAGCAATGTCAATTCAGCTCATGTATTAATCATGTACAGAGAAAACGCCTGGTGGAAATAGCTGCCGATATTTGATCGACAAAAGCAAAGAAAAGAAGAAAAAAAGCACGAGGTTGTTGCGCAGATCTCAGCGCAGCAAAGAAACATCCGGTATTATGCTAATAGAGTGGTTCATTAAAAGAACAGCTCAAACGGTTCCAGCTATGCTCAACTCGCGAATCTCCTGCAACACCTCCTCAACCCGGTTATCCAAATCACCCTTAGCATACTGGTCGCGAGTTTCGGCATCGAGGTACTGCTGCACCTGCGCCATGCGGGAATAAGCTTCGGCACAGAAGCGCAGCTGGATTTTGACGAGAGCTTCGAAGCTGGGGTCGAGGTAGGGCACACGTAGGTCGATAAGCTGGGGGAGTTCGGTGAAGAGCTGCTCGTTCAGCTGCTCGTAAGCCTGTTTGGCCATCTCGGCTTCGCGCTCGGTCCGTGGCAGCTTGGTAACGTCCTTATCGGGCTTCTCAGTGAGCTTCTTGACCTTGGCGCGCATGGCGTCATAGTCTAGTAGCTTGTGGTTGCGTTTCTTGATGCATTCGTTGACGTCGGGGAAGTAGGCGCAGAATCGGGAGATGGGGTCGAGGACGGTAGTACTTTGGCTTCTGTCAGCACTACTCATGTGTACTCGTCAGTAGAACAAGGATCTCCTACCGGTATGGTCCATCCAGAGCTTTGATAGTCTCGGCATCAAGATCCTCAACGGCCTGCTTGTAGCTTCGGCTCACACCATCTTTTGTTCCAGCATCGCCGTAGAAGGCATCAATTGTCTCCGCAATGCGCATTTGGGACGCCGTCATGGCTAGAAAGAGTTAGCCAACTGATCAATCAGATCCAACAATTCGCAAAGCAAAAGGTCACCAACCTCGTAGTGAATCCAGGTAACCCTTCGCCTCCTTCTGCAATCGATTCGCAGCAGTCTCCATAGTCCGGTATCGCCTGTAAAGAACAAGATTAGTTCCAGTCCTGGTCTAACCATTCCTAGGCAACAGCGGGGACAACCATACCGTTCCTCGATCTCATAATCGCGATCATTCGTTCTCTCGACATGTCCTATACAAGTAACGAGTCAGCAGGTCAATTGCACATATATGGCGCTGCAGGTAGATCGCGCGTGGCGCATAGCTCAATCCGAGATCGCCATCTCTTGATTCATTGCGGGGTAGAACTCGACAAACTCACCCGTCTTCATCATCACCTGCGTTGTCGCACGGTTGACATTCTTCTTGAACCCTATCCATCCACGCGGTTAGATTCGCTCGGATTGGCACCGGTTCATAAGTCCGAGGGTTTTGGTGGGATGAGGCGTACCTGCCCAAGACATGGTGGCGGTGTGGTTTCGGAGGACCCGGAGATGGGGATCGGCTTGGAGTTGGGGGTGGGTTATGGGTTGTAAGTGGGTGCGGAATAGAAGTGAGTCGTGGGGTGACTGCAGTTGACTGCCACTGATAATAATCTCCAGAGTTAAGCTGTAGGGAAAGTCGTGGAGGTTCCTAAACCCGATGCCAAGGCCAAACCGATTTGATCTGCCTTACCGGTGTGGCTATGTGTGGCTGAGTATATGCTTATGTCATGTTTTCCGGATGCGGGTACGTCATGAATGTATGGTAGGGCTGGAGTCTACATCAGCGTTGCATTATTCAGGGGTTCCTCCTAGAGTTCAGGTTTTTTCTTTTCTTGTGCAAAGATACACAGACTGGTAATACTAGGTATAGCCTGCCAAGGTACGGAGCACTCCGTACATGTATCCTATATTGTATATATGTATCATTTTGTGACATTCCTACTCCAACCAGGTACATATAGCCGCTTTAACGCTGATAGGCGAGCAATCAAAAGAGAGAGATAATAAACCGCCTTGAAACATAATTACCCTTTCGATAGTACTAGATAGTGTGTAAGGCTGGGTTTTGCATCCGCCGCAATATGCATGGCATGTGCATAGGTATTCCTCTTATCCACTTCGCCCAGGCTGTAATGCTGATGCCTAAGTAACTGAGTTATGTGCGGTTCTTGGCAGATAATTATATGACAATGATATGACAAATGTGACTTGAGTTCGAGTTTTTCTCGGGATTCCTTATTGGATTGGGGGGAAAGGAAGTTACAGAGTTGGAATCCACCGCTTTAGCTGCATATATTACCGAGTTGCATATGGAGTACAGACGTAAGGCATGTACAATAATGAAAGCGAGAATAATTAGATGTCAGTCCAGTATGTGACACTTGATTGCATCAGACTATTGGGGCCTTTTGTTTTTCTAATGTGTGGAAGATGCATGGATGATGAACTTTGATCGGGAGATGCAAGTTGAATGATATCACTGGCCCTGACTAGATGATGTATTGGAAAGATATCGCTAAATCTACTGCAAAGTGCTGATCGTCGTGACACTTGTGGACCTTGCACTCGGTTGATAGGCGCCGATCTTCGCATTGATGTCATAGTGCTCGGGGCTGTAAATTGTGAACTTGAAGGTTGAATAGAGGTACCTGCTTAGTCGTATGAGGGGAGATAGGACCTTGCGACGAACCTGGTATGCTGGAATAACCGATGTGCGTCTTGCTACGTGAAAGCAAGTCACATGTAACAGATATTGAAAATGCCTAAGCCGTATATACAAAAAGCATCGTTAATATGTACTAGAATCATCAAAACGAGAAGAAAACCCAAAGTGAAAAAAAAAAACAAAGGTTCAGACAACCTCCAGTGTAGGATATCTCACTTAGGTCCCGATTCCTGTCCCTGATCCTGTTCCTGGTCCTGCTGTTGTTGTGGACAACATAGCCTCTGCCTACAATCATGTTGATAAGGAACCCACAGGAACCCAGAAACTGCAACCCAAGTGAGAATACCCATATTCGCCCGCTAAAGCAGGGCTTGTCATAGTGGTACAAGGGAAGAAAGTTCAAATGGGGAATTGCCCGCCAACGCCAGTAGAAACTTGAAGGCACCTGCCGAAACCCCGCAACGCGAAAAAAAAAGACCAGACGGGATGAACTCCGGAAGAACTGTAAAGGAAAACCAGATCATAAGAAAAGAGTCATGATTCTTCGTTGCATTGACGTTGAAGACATGAGGATCCAGACAAAAAGACAAGCTAAAAGATGGATCGATATAATAAAGCACAGGCTGAAGAGGCTGAAGGGATACAGTGTGGATGCGCCAGAGCCACCAAACAAGATTAAGAGAAGAGAGAGAGAAAAAAAAAGGCAAATAAAAACCTTCGTAAGGGGCCTCCTTCTAGTTTAGGAGCATTCGAAAGACAAAAAATCAGTGAGCCTCTCCTCGAATGGGTGTACGATAAATAATCACCCTGTGATGCAAAATGTAAAGGGATGGTTTGAGGTGCTATCAAACCTTAAGGTGCGGGCCTGTGACCTCGACACCTGACAATTTTCACGTTGAAGCAAATTAGAACCCTTCCTCGCCAGCCTTGCACAGCTTGATCTGGCGTACCCATTCGGATTTAAGGACCTGTGAGGCATTGATGCGGCGAGAAGGATTGGGATCAAGGATGGAGTAGATCACATTGCGACAACGAGCCTGAGAATTCATAAGTCTTTGCCCTGCAGCCGCAGGAAGGGGATTAGCTTGTCTTACCCGATGTAACGTCTCAATTGGGGCGTATCCATCCTCATGTTTGCGACCATCCAAGTACCTCTGGTAGAATTCATCTTCATCCTTGCGTGCCACCCGCCAAAGATGCCGCCCGGTACGCATAGCCATGTAGATCACTCCAGTTGCCCAGAGATCAACTGCTCGAGGATCAAATTCCCTCTCAACGTATTCCTCGGGGGCGATATAGGGAGCGGAGCCACAGAGTCCGGCGGTCATATGGGCTTCCTTCTCCCAGGCCATACGGAAACATTCGCCGTTGCCAAAATCGGTGATCTTGAGTGCACCGTGAGTGGTCAAGAGCAAATTCTCGGGTTTGAGATCGCGGTGTGCGACACCCATTTCGTGCATATACTCAACACCTCGCATCAACTGCTTGAAAAAGCAGTCGGCTTCGGCGACTTCCAACTTGCCAGCAGCAAGGACCAAAGTGTATAGATCGCCACCAGCACAGTATTCCATAACTTCACAGTAATCTCCCTTGGCATCTTGTAAGAGGTCCAAAGTGTGAATGACGTTCGGGTGACGAAGTGACGATGAGATGCAAAATTCGGAAGTCAGTCGTTTTTGATATTTTTTGGTGGTTTCTTGGGGCCGGCGGCGGAACTCCTTGACAGCATACAGCTGTTCACACTTGGAATCTTGAGGATCGACCTTGTGCGAGATACGCACGATACCGAAAGCACCACGACCCACAATCTCCTGACACTTGCCGTACTTGTCAACCAGGGAAGCAGTGGCATTGGGACCACCCTTCTTATCAGCAGCCAGCTTATCACGCTCCGTCTTGAACTGATCAATCCAGGTCGACATCAGCGACAGCTGTTGCTCATCCACATGGTCGTCCTTTTTCCGGCCACCCAACATGTCCCGCAGTAGATCGGTGAGCTTCTCTTGCCGTCTAGCGCTTCTGAGGTTATGTGAGTGGTTTCCAAGAGCTTCCGTCAGGACCTCAAATCGCTTGTGGGCTGGAGCTCCATCTTTTGTCTTTTTATCGTCCACTTTCTTCTTATCGGACCTCTCCACAGGTTCATTCTTGAGCGAGGGGTTTCGTGATGGAGTTCCGGAATTTTCTCCTCTCGAGGGAGGTCTAGAAGGAGGTCGGGAAGCAGGTCTGGAAGCGGGTCTGGAGGCGGGCTGAGAGGATGGCTTCGAGGTCTTGCCGTTGAGAGGCTGGATACTTTCTAAGCTACTATCGGATAGGTCACGAGGACCTTCGTTGATCTCTCTGGATGGTGTGGATTTCCCTGAGCTGGAAAACATGCGGGTGAGACGAGCGGCCATGGTGGCTCTAGTCGGTTTTGCGGGAGAGGCTGCCGGAGGGAGGTCTCCGTTTGCATGGGCAGTGAGATTCATGCCCGCAACGGCGTGTGTTACCGAAGCATCTCCATCGCGAGGATCATATGAATGTTGTGAAGCTGCGGCGGAAGAGACTGCGGAAGGCACAGGTGAAGGGGAAGGTGGAGTCATGTGCGATGGATCGACAGGTGAAGATTGGAAGAATGAGGAGTGGGACACGAAATTCTCCGTCCCCAAGGTAGAAGACGAGCGTCTACAGCTCGCACGAAGCTGCCACGGATCAAGATAGTCTTAATGGTAAAGATAAAGAAAAGTGAGAAGAGGCGAAAAAATAAGGGAAAAAATAGGTGGCCTAGTGTTGGCCTGAGGCAGCAAGGGCAAAAGGTGACGACAGATTCGGAAGCACAAAGAGATATGGGAAGTATTGGAACCAACACACAATGAAATGAAGATTTCTGGCAATGAGGAGCCTGGGGTATATAGACAATAAAAGAGGAGAGGGAATGGAATATATTAAAAAGAAAGAGAGAAGCAAGTGGGATAAATTTGGCGATGCTAGAGAACTTGAAATACAAGGAAATCTATTTTTTTTGTGTATTGGAGAATTACCATTGAACATAGATGTAATATTACATATATTTTAAAAAATGAAAAAATGAAATATAACTTCCATATCGAGAGAAGGGAAAAAAAATGTGGGCACTGTAACCTTGGAAAATGGGTACAACTAGGCATTATGAGATTATTATGAGATTATTAATGTTCGGGGCTCCTCTACCCGGTGTTTCTACGCGATTCTGGTATAGGGCTACTGCATACGGCGACTCCGGCGCTGTGAGACGACATATGTACCATCTAGGGATATATAATTGTTTTAGAGGGTCTAGAATATGTATTTAAGTACTCCGTACTCTGTATACATTCTTTAATAAAATGTGGCGCATACATTTTCATAGTAGTATACGGCAACGGAGTAGAGCAGAGGAAAGGATTCCCGAGGTCCGTTCCGAGGCTTTAACAGTGAGTGATTTAGGTAATCCCAATGAAACATTGAATCTCCATTTAAGTACAATAAGTATAAAATAGTAAAAGGACAGGTTTTCTTTAAAAAAAAATCGGGACTGGAACTGTGTATTCCATATGTAATTTATGTTATTTTATTAAGTGACGTTGGTTTGAAAGTGACGTCTTTCCATATAACCCATATAACTATTGAGTATATAGTAGATCGCTTATCCTAAATGTATGTATATATTAGAAAATACAAAAAAGTAGCTTTGATAGTTCCGCCACCACATCAAAGGAGTGAGGCTGTGCAGGTCTGCACAACCAAAGCTAGTCGTGATTCGATCAGACCCCCGCACCCAGCCGATGTACTGGGTGCACCGTGTGGCGGTAGTCATTCCCGAGGCCCTTATATATGTGAGTTTTGAGGGGTACCTCTCTGGGGATATCCAGTTAGATCCATTCATCCGGTATGATTGGGAGAATCCTATTCATTAGCCGAAGCTATTTTTTTTTTACAATATGAACGTTTTGAAAAAAAAAAAGGATGTGCTTTATTACCCTATATAGTAGGTGGGGGATTATCTACAATTGATAGTATAGTACGGAGTAAAGATCAGGCCATTCTTTTTTGTTTTCCATGTATAGATTGACATATGTCATTCGGTGCATTTATGTTGTAACAAATCCCAGCTTCTCAAAAGGGACACTGTCCTCGTTGGAAATCCTAAATGCTCTATTAGCCAATTGTCAGATCCCTCCGTTTATACCCGTGCTCACTCGCTACTTTCAACGTTCACCCGGTCTCAACTCGATCAACCCCCTAAAATCCCCATTTCTGAACACTAATTCCTACCCACTGATTCCCGAGCGATTGCCGCTACGTAACAATCGCGCATGCACATCTCTCTATCGGGGTCGTGGAAACGGCGTGGGTTCTCGGTGTGATAGAGTCTTCCCCCCGCAGCGATGTACAACGTACATAATGCTCTAGTACGTTATAGGGGGAATACGATAGAGAGGGTAGCTTTCCGCTATCTAGCGTCATTCGGACAGATGACGGCATTTGAGATGTGCTCATGTGGTGGTGCAGATTGACTAACATCTATCTGTTCACCTGGGGCAATTGAAAAGGATTGGATAGAATATATCACTCTTCTTTTCGAGCCTATCATGTTTGTACAAGAAGTATGTCAGCCCTCTTATGCTATTACTATTGGAATGTAAAATGCGGAATGTTCACCGTCTCTTCGGATGCGATTTCCTTGGTACTTCCGTGTGGGGAATTCTTGACACGGTATACAATATAATGTCTTACTTCGAAGGATTTCCATACTAGCTTAAGCTTCGCGTTGACCTCGGGCTTTGTTTTCGAGCTAGTACGAAGTAGTAGCTAGTATACTCCATGTTGTTCAATGCTCCTTCTTACCCCGGATTACTGTTTTCCGAATAAGCCCGTTAAGTGACCTCATATAAGAAATACTATAGAGATACAGAACAATAGAAAATAACAATACAGGTAACGCAAAACAAAAAAATATAAAAAACAGTCCACTTCTCACACAAGCTTCCGTATTCAGAGCTAATGACTACGAGGGATTTTCACTCGCCAATCACAACCCTAAAAGAAACCCCATCTTAATTTCGCAACTCATTATGCACCATGCGATATACGGAGTACAACGCATACAACATATACAAATGTACCCTTCTATATCAATGTTATAACCTATGGGTCTAATCTTTCTACCCCTCTTCCTATCAAATTTCAATTTGAATTCCCTCGCACACGTTCAACCTTGATGACTATTGATTACATGATTCGTGGGTACTCAATTGCTTCTTTTGGCATAGTTTATGCAGTGCTTTTATCTCTTCTTTGGGGGTTTATGAAAAGTCCTTCCTCCAATCCCCTTGTGAATGTGGATATATATATCGAGAATAAAGGACAAACAGAATAGATACAAAAACACTCAGATTCAAGTTCATTTTTAGCTTCGAAGGAATCGTTCTTTCAGATTAAAGCTTGCTCTCAAGTACGGTACTTTGCTCTGTCATGTTAGTGTTTTAAGGGCCACTTTCTACAGTCCAATCGCTTTTGATCGCCAGCAACATACACAATTGCTATATAGATAATGCTGACAATGCTCTCATGATTAATCTTTATCCGCACGCTTTGATCCTTAGTCTTATTCCTAGTTCCAACGCCTCTGCGACGAAAACAAAATCCAACCAGGCGTCCGCCATGACTACGCCAATGCAGAAGCCATGTAATCTGTTATCCAATCTCCTGAGTTACTATTACACACACATTTATGATAGCAGCAGAGGCCTACAGAACTGAAAGTCCAACCCCTCCACTAAAGTATCCGGCATACACTGGTTCAGTTCGAATCGCTATTCTGCATGATCGCTATTCTGCATGCGTATACGAATTGTTGGACGCAGTTGATCCCAAGAGAAGAGAATTGACTAAATCATGGCATAGTTGATGACATGTCCTTGGCAAAGCGGAGCTCCTGGATATCACATCTATCCCACAAAGCCCATATTCATGGGGTAAGGGGCCGAGTCGGTTTACGTGCTAAAATCTGTGTGTGTTTACAGTATATGTGTGAAAAAAGCCACCCAACACCAGCTGCAACCCAAATTCCGATTCAAGCCGGCGCATGCTTGACCGCCAGTTTGTGGTTGCAGGCAGACATTTATTCGTAAAGTTATAGGATTGGTCGGCTTTGCATTGCGACAGTTGTCTAGCGTTACGAGATAGTCCGAGCTTGAGATAAGCTGTGGCATCATCCTGTTTCATCCTCTGGGTGTGCATGCATGTGCCTATGGTATGCACTAGTCACTATATACTCCGTACATTTCCTATATGCGCCACGGAGCAAGAGAGCTCGTGTGGATGGGAGGGGCAGAGCTTGCCTTTCGTTGGCATCTATTATCCCATTGTGGACGTAGGTTGTGCTAAACCTGTATGCGTGGATGTCTGTGCTTTAGCCAAGTCATGCAGGATGGGGGCGATCTCACCTGAAGTTGAGAGCTATCTATGGATGTCTGGTTTTTTGGCGTTGCAATATGCAATATGCATTGAGTTTTGCTTTTTCTTTATGTAGTAGGTAGAAAAAGCAATTTCAAGATCTGGTCCTTGTCGTATGATCTATCTTCTCTCACTTGATTCTCGAGTCGACACCTATCGGCTTGTCGGGTTAGTGCATCAATGTAAAAGTAGCCGCACGAGCCAAGCTGGGCCGGTTGGGAAAGATGGTTCTTGGCGGTGCTGCTTGGCTATAGCTGCTTGGATTATTATTAGTATAGTTGGGGCTCTAGACCCGGATATAGTTTGAATTACTTTATGGCGTTGTTGGTGGCTGCGGGAATTTTTTGATTTATACGATATATACCCCGGGTTTACTCCGTACTATATGTTGTAAGCAGGCGTTTCAAAGCCGAAAACTTGATATTGCGCCTATAGTGAGATGAGAGAATTCGCATGTATATTGCGCTATACCAGCGATAATTCTTCCGACTCTTCCCGAATACCGGTAACAAATAACTCTGTTCAGTGTTCCTGGTTGATATCATCCAATATTAAGAAGCCGAGCTATTTGCGGGCCGGCACCCGGGACACTCTGCACCGTCGTTTCCCCGGCGTACAGCGTACTAGTGGCGCTGGAACTGCCACGTGGGAAGGAAACGGGTCTCATTGAATGGCAGCCGCACATGAAAAGGCGGTATGAATACCCCTGTCGTGCTTGGCTTCGGTGCTGTGTCCCCGTAATCTCGCTTCTCGCCAAATGTGCTTGTTGCATGCAGGTGCCCGTGAAACAGTGTGCTTCACAACGGTCGAGTCCATTGCTGTGTGCGCTCAATTGCACATATGCAGCCATGCCGTTCTTATGCCTCCTGAGATACCCAATTTGTATATTCTAACCTCGGTAGGTCCCAGCGGTGAGATAATGTCGCTTTCCCCTTCCTTCATGTGGACTTGCTCGAACTGACCTCCAGGTCCCGTGAGGGATGCCCAGTGATATCATGACAGAACTCGAGTCTGCTACCAGATCAGAACACAAGTCAACAGCCAAGGCAGCATGCCGCCGGAACTAAAATGCACGCACCACAAACTGCTCCAATGATTCTTCAAATAGCTCGTTGTTCACGCCCACACCGCCGGGATGCTCGGTCGGAGAAAGGGGATTCTTAACCACTAAACAGACCAAAGCGAGTTAGTACTGCCCGAGTCTAGCTAACGAGGTCAATAAACCACACGAACCATATTCCACAAACAGATTGATATAGATCTGTTGCAGCGCAATACGCATGCTGGGACTCTTGAGGTCCGTCAGCATGACGAACTTGGTATTCGTCGGTGTCTCATAGTAGTGAAGCTTGTACTGGCTGGTGGTGAATGACACAAAACTAGTTGAGTTAGCATCTGCTTCGCCCGTAGATTCAAAAGCCAGCCAGTATGTCCTGTCTGCCTTGCTTCAGGGGCGGGCTTACTTGTCATCTTCGCCTCCTAGCTTGCGCACCATATTCCGCAGCGAGAAGACTGTGCCGAAGACCAGCTTCGAATCATCGTCTGTCGATCGGACTGTCTGACCGAGACCGGTCGGTGCTGCGTCGGAAACTGTGTTAGACCGGGACTTCCCCACGATGGAGGTCGGCCGCGGAAGCCAGCGGCGCTTGTAGATGCATTCCGCTAGATTATAGTTAGTATATGAAGATGATTGAATTATATGATAGGATAATGTTTACCATGACGGTCAAAGATGTAGAACGAGTAGACGACCATTGTGTAATGTGAGCCGAAACAAGTTGTCGATGGTCAACTGGTTCAGGGGAGTTCCGAGGCTGACCAGGCGGTGAAATTAGCTCCCGTATCGATAACAAAAGTCCATATCAAAAAGGAGCTGCCTAGAATTTCTTCACGATTTCCGATTCAACTGGATTTTTCTTTAATTATACATAAGGCTTATTATTATTTAAATATTCTATCCGCTTGTGTCCAAACCTTGCAAAAAGGGGGGCCTCGTAAGGCTGACAGCCCGCATCTCACGTTATCAGACCCCCGCCTCGGACTTCCTTATTTACCCCACACATCTGCTACCAGCACTTGGTGGTCAGTGTATTTCGATGGATGGGAATGCGGCAACTCCCATGTCGGGTACCTCCGCAGAGCCTTCTATCGACTCACTGGAGGGTGTGAATGATGTGCGACCCCAGGCGAGCAGAGTTGCGTGAGTTTCACTATGAAACACCTGTGGTAGATCGATTTTTACTGAGTAGGATGTATCATGCTAATTCCAAATTTGAAACCAGGTCTTCGGCATCATATGATAGCTCTCACAGGCACCGACGACGAAACCCAAGAGCAAGGCGTCCGGTGAAGGTCGGTCTCTCAATGCCGTTATGACAGCTTCGGAGAACTGATACGGACTAGGAAACACTGGACGCCCGCTCCGAGTATTATACGAGCCAAGATGACGGTACCGCGGAACATCGAATCAACCAATATGTGATCAAGCAGGAGATCGGACGTGGATCGTTCGGGGCTGTTCACCTGGCTGCGGATCAGTTTGGAAATGAATATGTATGAGCATGAACCCGCGGGATATGAATCTGGCCATTATGGAAGTAATGGACATGCTAACTCTCAGACAAACTGTCTGTAAATACAGGCAGTCAAGGAATTCTCCAAATCCAGACTAAGGAAACGTGCACAGTCGCATCTGTTGCGTAGACCGCGAGGTCCGAGTCGGCCAGGAACAGATTTCAACTCGCCGTTACATCGGCATCCTTCGGGTGACGATAATGAGACCGCAAAGAATCCTTTATATCTGATTAAGGAGGAAATCGCAATCATGAAGAAACTGAATCATAACAATCTGGTATCATTGATCGAGGTCTTGGACGATCCGACAGAGGACTCGTTGTATATGGTGATGGAAATGTGCAAGAAGGGCGTTGTCATGAAGGTCGGGCTCGAAGAGAAAGCAGATCCGTATGATGACGAGCGATGTCGATGTTGGTTCCGCGATCTGATCTTGGGAATCGAGTATTTGCACTCGCAGGGCATTGTCCATCGAGATATAAAACCGGACAACTGTCTGGTGACCAACGACGACATGCTGAAAGTGGTCGATTTTGGTGTATCGGAGATGTTTGAAAAGGATTCAGACATGTTCACTGCCAAATCAGCTGGGTCACCGGCATTTCTCCCGCCAGAGCTGTGCGTGGTAAAGCATGGCGATGTATCCGGAAAGGCGGCGGATATCTGGTCTATGGGGGTAACTCTATATTGTCTGCGATATGGAAAACTACCCTTTGAGAAGCAGAGCATCTTCGAGCTATATGATAGTATCAGGGGAGATTCCCCGGTCTACGAAGACGAGTCAGATGAAGTATTCAAAGATCTGATAGGACGGATTCTCGAGAAAGACCCAGAGAAACGGATCGACATGTTTGGTTTACGAGTGAGTCAATCGCAACTACACTGCTAGTCAATCCTGACCAGATACAACAGGAACACCCCTGGGTGACGAAGAATGGGACCGATCCTCTGCTTTCATTCGAGGAGAATACGTCGCAACACATTACGCCGCCGACAGAGGAGGAGATGAACTCGGCCATTACAACAAATATGGGACATCTCATGACCGTGGTATGTTACCATTCCTCGTTCTGATAAGTTATTCATTAACCTTGCCCGCAGATGAAAGCCGTCAACAAATTCAAGCGACTAACAGATCCCAACAAACCACAATCTCCCATTCAAAGTAACTTCGGTAAGAGCATTCTGGGCGGAGACCACGATGCCTACTTCGTCGAGCCACCAATGGAGATGGATCCAGATGAACCATTCCCAGTAGTGGGAGCGGCTTCACAAACACACGACGCCCGTGGCTTGGGTGCAAGCGGGCGCAAGGTCATCCGTCGGCCTTTTGCCGGATTTCGAGATGATTCCGGTGCTTTCGGATCTAGCGATTCAGCCAGCTTTTCATCCCGGCCGGAGCACAGCCCAAGCAGCAGCAAAAGGCCCAGCGGCGTTTTCGAGCCCGAGCGAAAAGACTCCGGATCTATCCGTGGCGGGGAGTTCCCGGCTCAACCGGATGCTAGCCAAGAATCTCAATCTCATTCCCAGGGAACGTCGCCCCATATCCCCCTCTCGCGAGCAAGCTCCGGTACGACTAAACGCAGCCTGGAGGGGACGAGAGGACATGCACGTGACCCGCTGGAAGAGGAGTTTCCCTACCTCTTTATTGGACCGTCTACATACACTGGCTCCTCGTCGCAGGAGCCGGCTGATGTGGAAATAAGTGACGAGCAGGCATCTATTTTCCAAGAGCCGGAACAGTCAACGGGTCAGTTTGACCAGATGGAGGATGACGAGCCGGTGCAATTCGTGAGTGAATCGCCCGGTGCTGCGGATTTCAATATATACGAGACGGCATACAGGAAGGAACTAGAGCGCATCAAGCACAGCCTGAAAGACCGCGATACAGGCCCGAAGGTTTATCTGACTCGCCTCGTCGAGAAAAACAGCGCCGAAGTGATGAAACTGGCTAAAGAGAAGGAGTTGGATCTTCAGATTGGGCAACGGTTCACACTTTCTTCTCTGTCGAGAGCACCCTCGGGCTTCGGGTCTGTGGTTAGCGCGATGCGCTCACAGATGCTACAGAAAAGGCAGGCTGAGGGCTTGGAGGAGCAGAGTGGGGGCGGCGATGGTGATGGTAATAGAGGTGGTGGTGGGGATGCAAGTAAAGATAAAGATTACTCTCGGAGCCACCACCCTCACCCTCATCCCCCCAAACGCCTGTCAGTTTCATCCCAACCTATACCCGAGCCTGAACCTTCTTCTCTAGAGGCGACGGGTGTGTCGTCTACGGAGGGGACCGGTGCTTCCAAAGCACAGCTACGGCGAATCCTTGATCGAGTTCGTGGAAAGTCTGATAGCGCAGAATGATAGACTGGGCGGAAGGGTCCTGCGCGAATAGAATTGTGTGAGAATCGTTCTTTGTGTAGGGATATCATCACATTCAAGGCATCGACGGAGCCACCTAGTCTCTTTGTCTATCTAACCCTTTCTTCTTTGATCCATGAATGCACTGCGGCCCTGTTTATCATTAAAAGGAATCAAAGTATAAAAATAAAAAAAATAAAAAGTCATCGCCCGTAGGCGATCCGGCAACTTAAGATCAAACGGCACTCGAGTTGAGGATGGACGGGGATCCAAGTAGCAGTGCGCCAAACGTCGCCAACGACAACCGCTAGGCCAAATGGCCGCCCATCCATTTTATACATACTGGGCAGTGATACTTATCAGGTAGAATGTAAGTAGAAATAGAATATTCGTAAGACCCTCTTACCTTCTTGAGTCACTCGACAGCAAATCTACAATCTGGTCAAATGATGTAAAGATGTAGCTTCGAAATGCGATATCTACATTAACGAAAACAGCATCTAGCTTATATAGGGATAAAGAACGAAAGAATGAGAGCCAAAGTGATGTGTCAGATAGAATACTATTATTAACTAAGGCAAAGAATGTGGGACATCATCCTATCAGGAGAGTCGAGATAGAAGAGAATGAATAGGAAATCCAAAAATCCAAAAGCCGAAATTCACAACAGGAACCAAAATGTCATCAAATATCAGAAGTATAATAAGATAAAATACAGGGTAAACAGGCCTTACACAAGAAGATTGAAAGGCTCAAAGAACCGCCATCGCCATGTACTAGCAATAGATATAATGCATCATCATCGTCATCATCAAATGCATAGCACGCTAAACATTGGGCTGGGCTGGAGAGAGAAAGAAAAGGCAGAAGGATAGAAAGTGTAAAGCGAGTAGAAAAGGAAAGATGCAAGGCATGGAGGGCATCAATTGGCGTGAACGTCTTGTCTTGTCTTAGGTCGTGGGGCTTGGGTGTAGACTTTAACAATATTGAGATTGCATGATTGTCTAGCGGACGAGTGGGAAGCAGGAGCAGAAGGAAAGCAGTGGGAGGACTCGCTTGCTTGAATTTGTTGGGAGGGAATGGCGTAGAGATCAATCATAGGAGAATCGAACATCAAGAATATGAAAGCCGTTATCTTCATCGAACGTGGGGGAACTCGTGGACGCATCAATGGATGTATGAAGGTCACTGTCGCAAAGAGAGAAGAGAAAAGAGCATTCCCCATCCCGTTGTCTGTCTGACCTTGGGGTATATAGTACCAAGATAGGCAGACACTCGACACACGGGCACAAAACAAGAGGGTTAGGCATGCATGGGGTGTTGTATTGTCGAAGAGGGAAAGTCGGAGAAGGTGTGAAAGGGGTCGCTTGAAGAGCTTGGAGAAACACAACACGGGAACGCTGTCTATTGTTCATCAATGGCTTGATCATTCATTCATGGCGCTTGGGCCTCAAAAAGCAAAAGGCTGAAATCGAAGTTGAAAGTATAATCGAGACTAGGATCGAAATGAAAATGAAAATGACGATATAAAAATAAGAAAATATCAAAATCAATGGTCATCGTGGAGGTTTCTCAGCTGGTGTAGTGCTCATTCGTCCTTCATACGGTCCTGGTGGCTGGTCAGGTCGACTAGTGACTGAGTCGCGCCGACCACTATCTGAAGGCGAGAACCGGTCTGCTGCGAAACTGTAAGGCCGCTCGGCCGGGTTACTGAGTCTAGGGAACGCATCTGGGGGTCCTAGTTGCAAGGCATGTGGTGAAGGGAGGGGATGGCCCATCTCTGTCGGCCGGGGTAGCTCACGCATGTTGGTGCCTATACTACGGCCTGGCATATCGCGGCGCTCGTCATTTGGCGCGGGACCGGGACCAGGTGGTGGAACTGCTGCTCGCATGGTTGAAGTATCGTAGAGCATTGGACTTGGGCCTGGCTTAGGTCCGTGGAATGCTTGGGGTGCCGGCGGGAATGGTGTAGATGATGGGCCTGCCGCGGGGCTGGTCGGCGAAGGAGGGACTTTGAGTCTGCCAGAGCCTGATCGTCGAGGGGCAGGGTAAGTTTCACCACGGGCCTCGGCTAAGAGTTTGCGTCGTTCGGTTTCTGCTTTGCTTGGACGTCCTCGTTTACGGGGTGGTTCGCCGGGGCCGATATCTAGTCTTGGGGAGAGCTGGGCCGATGCTCCGCTTTCGCTGCTGTAAGAGGCGGTGCTTGCTGGTGGCCTTGGCTGGATTGCACGAGGGATTGGCTTGTCGGAAGGATACAATGGCCGTTTGCGCATATTGCTGGGGTCCATTGGAGCTGGCGGGCCGGTCATATCGGATCGCGGTGGAAAAGGAGCCACTGGATGTGTTGGAGGGTGCACAGGCTGCTGGACCATATCGGAATAGGCCGCTTTGCACGAGCTGAGTGAACGGCCTTGACCGGGGCAGGTGTTAGCACCATGTTGACATCGATCTGCAAAGCTTTCTCTCTTTTTCTTTTTTTTTTTTTGGCCGGCAATTGGACGATAATACCTTGAGGAAGAGGGATATGCTCCCAGCTTGGAGTGATCCCATATTCTTTAATCACGCGTACTAGATAGCTAGAAGGAAATCCAGCTTTCTTGAGGATCTCAGTGAGTAGAGTGTACTGGTCGTTGATTAGCATCAAATTCACATCTGGCTAAAGAATCTCCATACCTTGTCCTCCTCGGTCCATGGCCTATCAGATGGATTTGACATATCCAGACCATGGAAGCGGATTATAGCCGGCTTCCCTTTCCCTCCAAGAAGAAAAGAAATATAGACGTGAAAGAAAGAAAGGAAAAAAAAAAAACAATAATAGAAAAAAAAAACAAAGAATGCCTCCCAGATTAGAATCCCGGAAAAAGGACAGCGAACAGCAATCGTCAGGGCTGTGATACACAATTCAGATCAATTGATCTCTCATTTATGTATGAGAGGAAAAGTGAAAGAGTGAAGAGAGAATGAAAAAAAATATCAAATCAATCAAAAGACACGCGCCAACAGAGAACGAGAGGAGGTCTCTTATGTCCCCATATCCTCCCACGCGGAGACGAAACAAAAGGGATGACAGAGAAAAACGAGTGATCTGACAATTGAAGGCTTTGTAGCCAAAGAAAATGAAAAAAGAGCAGTAGAACCAAACTCCATTCAAAAAACCCAATTAAATTTTTTTCAGGGATTTTTTTCAGGAAGATTTTCTGGCCAAACGGACTTGAGCAGCCGGGATCGCGCAGGAAGACCAGCGTTCGGGAGGAAAGCTGCAGGGACGATGCTTTCTGGAGAGTATTACAGTACAGGTTTGTAGGAGATATGTAAAATATTGAGCATACCAGGTCAATAGAGAGAGATGGGCGTTTCAGCCAGGACAGTTTCATATGTTTTTCCAGAAGAGTTTCGAAGAACGAAAAGGGCAAAATTACCACTAAGAAGAACGGGAAGCGGGGGGCCTGGGATTTCTGATTCCTCCGAAAGTACAATCGAGGGGTTGAGCTGAGTGGGGGCTGCATTGCATCGAACAGATGGGGAGGTCTTTTTGCATGGTTGATCTTTTTGGGGGAGGGGGGTATAGATATGACCAGGGCAATATATACGATGTATAAGATGGGCTTAGATTCAGCCGAATTGCATCGTTGGTTCGGGAAACGGTTGGTCCTGGCCGTTCCAGAACCAAGGGACAGTTAAGGGAGCATTATTTCTTGTTTTTTTCCTTTTTTTGGGGAATTTTTAGTGCATGGTTTTGGTTTCGTCGCGTCCTTTCGGGTTAAGTTGTGGGCAGTAGTGGACAGTAGTGGACAGTAGTGGGAATCATGGAGCTCAGAATGAATTTTGATAGGTGAAAACATTGGCCCGACACGTTGGGACACCTGTGAGAGAAAATGATTTTGTTTGAAACTAGCCTCAGGGGCGGTTAGAGGGGGGCGATCGTACAGAAAGAAGAAAGCGCGTCTGTCATGCAGCGGGTTCTGATGAAAATAGGCCAGGACGATTGGTAGAGACGAGCCGAGTGGAGATAGGGACTCCGCTGAGGTGCAGCCATGAGGTTCAAGGTGGTAAAAATACAGTAATTTGATGGAAGAATTATGTATGAAGAAGAAGATAAAGAGTAGAGGGAAAAAAAAAAGAAGAGATGAGGTGAAGAAAAAGTAGGGGAAGGATGACATATAGTTTACTTTGATAGCCTGAGGCATACCATTTATATAAAGTATACACTATTTTGATATCACATATCATACTGGTACATTATATTATGATACTTTCGTTCTATATTATATTATAATATATATGCTAAATAATGTACAAAGGTACCTAAACAGTGAAATTAAATTAATTAACTATACAGAACGCACAGACTCTTCCACGTTGACGAACAACACATGCAGACGTGCTTTTTCTTGCTTTCTCCTCCAATCGATTTCTTGTCTTCCAACCTTTCACGGTCTTTTGTACTCCTGCATGATTATCCCCCCCCCTTTTTTTTTGATCATTCGGTCATTCGGTCACCGTTTTTCAACTATATCACTTCAGGTCTATCTATGCTGACAGCCATTTGAAGATTGATAGGTTGAATAACTTGATAACCCCCGGGATCATCACAATCTCACAATTCCCTGAAGAATTCATCAACATCCAACATAAATGTTAAAACACACAAAAAAAAAAAACAGAACTGGGATCGAGGAATGACTTATTGTCACTCTCCCATTTACTCTACCAGAGTTATTTATATCTATTTTCGAGGTATTGCCCTGAGCTTTGAAGTGGAACTGAGCTCCAACCTCCAATCACCCGCAACCAGTGAAGAGAGTATACAAAAAAGAAAAAACAAATCAGACTAGGCTGAAGGCGGTGAGAGACGCGAAATGACAATAGCTTCGATTTCAGTCAAATTAGGAGATTTTTATCAATGAGATTGTTACCTTTACCGCTCTGGAAACCCCCTTGATTCCCTCGGGCATATCCTGGCAGAATCCCCGAACTTCGTATTCTGCTCTATTTTCTTCTAT